AACCCTCCAAAAAAGACATGAGCCCCCAGTTTTGGTTAAATCCATCTGTAATGTCGTACCACTTTGGATTGGTTTTTTTTTTCTCTAAGTCGTGGATCAGCCGAAAACTGTTGTTGTTATCCACGACTCTATATTACGGATATAATTGCATTTTCTGAAGCCTTCATTGGGAAAATGGCCGGACTCCATTTGCGTCATCTTAAACTATAGTTTTTCTTCCTTCAAACTATAGTAGTAACAATAATATAATAATCAATTAATAATGAGATAGAACTGATGAAAAAACTTACCGTCCAGAAAACGAATAATCTTAGCTTGTTGTCCATATACAAGTTCGGAAGAACTTAATAAATATTTGAATGAGAAAAATGGTCATTGTATTAGTAATTTATATAACTATTATAACCAAAATGTCAAGTGTCTTCTAAACTTTAGACAAACCTGCCAGCCAATCTCAATGGTGCTAAGATTATTAATCTCATATCGTCCCGAACTGATCCATATCTGCGATATGGACATCTCTTTTGCTCCTTTCACGCGGGATCCCACACGCTAATTGTGGCTTTTGCTCCAAATGACTTGGGTGGAGTTTTCATTGCTATGACCGCATACTATCCCATAAAAATTATTAACTACTTAGAATTGATAATGTAACCGAGCATACTAAAAATATATATGATCAGATATTATTAAAACGAACCAATTTTTATTATTTAAAATTTGATTAATATAAAAAAATTAAGAAAAAAGAGATTAAGCATATATACATCATGAACGGGAGCAGAACTAGCGATCTCAAGTTCTCTCCGATGATTTGAGTTGTTCCCATAACGCTGTAATGGTATTGTTCCGTCGGGACATGTCGCAATGCTAAGCTGTGCTTCCCAGGTTTGCTATTTGTTCTTTTTAATTGTTTCCATCATTATAGAAAATTCAGATGGTAATTCCTATTATTTTCCCCCAAAAAATATATATTATATTATTTTTTCTTCAACATAAAAAATTAAAGGAAATTGACTACCGATATAAAACATTAACAGATAACTTTATATTTTGTTTAAATAACAAAATTAACAGACCTGGAATTTGTGATTTTGTAATAGAGGATGGCCAAATGCAGGCTGTTTCATTATGTCCACGCAATCAACAACATCTCCATCTGAAGCAAAAAGATACCCATCTGAAGTCTGTAAAAAGATAATCAAAGATTAGAGAAACCTATTAGGGAATAATCAAAGATTACAGAAACCTATTAGAGCACAAAATTTTCAAATTAGTCACAGTAAAGATCAAAAAAATGCACATGTTGTCAAAAAAAAAATGAGAAAAATAAATTCACAAAAAATGGAGGCTAAATACAAATATAAAATAAAATTGTTTCTAATTGTAATTTTTAAAATTGTTTTGTTAAAGATGTATATATATGCATATATATATATATTCTTAATTTCAATAAGTTTTGGAACATTCGAAATAGAAACCTGGACACACTTCAATTATTTGTCCATTTGGTGGAGCTCTTCTATTTCTGTAAGAACCACTTTTTCCCTTTAACTGGATAGGTTGATTCCTTGATTAGTAAATGGTAACTTTTGCAAATTAGTATTGTTAAATTGTACTATTTGGTTCACGATATGAATTAAACTTGTCCAAACCAATTAAAGACTAAAAAAGACTTGTCAAAGACCAAAATTCGTTCAAGCCTTTTATCGTTACAAAAAAAACACAATTAAAGACCTAATTCGGTTTCAAAATTTAAGACTTAAATTTAATCCACTTAATAAACTTCACTAGATTTCATCATGTTTCAAAGAGACTGCAACATTTTCGTAGAACAAAATTTTTAATTTTGAGTTCGTTGATGATATGATCAAATATGTCTACTGAAACTAAATACTTTCTTCTTTTGAAAGCACCTGCATCTTTTAAAACAAATACATCACATGAATTTCAAACATGGATTTTAAGAATACTAATAGCCTCATAAAATATATCTGAAAATCGCAATGCACATTGAGAGAAGATCGGTAATTATTTTCTTTCTTAAAAAGCACCTAATACATATATTATTTTGCATCTATACATAAAACAACAGATAGTACACTCTAGTTGAAAAATGCAACACGCATAGAAAGAAGAGCTGTAAAAATTTTCTTCATAAAAAGCACATAATATTATAACAACAACTGAAGAATTTCAAAACATGGTTTTTAAGATAATAGTTTCATGAAATTATATCTGAAAGCAATTTGAAAAGAAAACCTGTAACTTAAATAATTTGAAAGGCAATTAATTAGAAAAGCTATGTTGAAAGGTAACTTAAAACAAAAATTGTTTGTTGAAATCTATATAGAAGAATCGGTGAACAAAAGTACAGTAATTCTTTTTGAAATGAACTATTGGGGACCAATGGGCTTACACGCACACAAACGCAGGGATTTGGTGTCCGAACGGGTGTCCCTTCGCTTCTCTGCTGATACTTAAGCGCCACGTCACTTATGACACGTGTCGATTGGAAGAAAAAGTGGTCCCATTGATTAGCCAATTAGTCCACGTGACGATTGAGCGAATCTATAATTTATCTTACGCAACTAAAAGATCAATCTAAGCTGGTATTAGTGAAAAAGGAAAGAGAAATGCAAATTTTGATGGAATAGGTGTTGCCACATCTATATAAGTGTTTTTTTACTCGTACTAACACATATTTACGGTATTTCATCATTTATAGGTTAGTTGTTTGTTTTTTTAGCACGACTTTTTAAAATCTGAAATTTAGTGACATGGTAATCAATTTTACAAAATATTTGGTAAAAATGTATTGAGTTGTTTTTTAAAAGACAAAAAAGTGTGATAAAAACTTAGTTCCAGTTTACAAAGCGTTACCAGAAAAAAAATGGATGTTTATCAAGAAAAAGTGTGTTTCATCTTGTCTGTAATTCGTTTTCAATTCGTTTATTTCTACATTTTGGTTATAACCAGTTTTAGTCAGTGAGCCTTTTTTAGAGGTTATTGAATCTTGACCAATGTGTAACCATGATAAATTAGAGGCATATCTAGAAGTTGTTATGAGTTTATGTCTTGAAGAAAATTTCGATCAAAAAAAAAAAAAATCTAGAATTTGTTATGAGTTTCTGAGAAAACTATAACTTAAAATATTAGAAAAATGGTATACTAAAACCGAAATAACACTTTATATATGTACCATACGTTAGTCATAACAAATATTCGATACGTTTGTCCACTGTTTTATTCTTGTCGTTGTTAATTCATTAGTGACTCAACAAAAAACAGCTTATTTTCTAGGTTTATCCTATCATTATATTTAACCATTCCATCCATGTGTGCAATAGATCTAATTAGGTGAATATTTCATCAGATGTAATAAGAAATGCTTAACCTCTAAATATGTTTAAAAGTATTGTGAAGCTAACGAAGTCGAGATTCCGTGATCCATAGACATGTTCGTTTACTCTGGCTTTTTTTTTCTCCACTATCAAGAAAGAAGAGGTCAAAGGCAATGCTATTTGACAGCACGGGACCAGCTTACACCATGTACATTGATTAAGACGATAACTCCTAAGGCCATTAATTAATCTTAGTCTGATTGATTTATTCGAAATATAAACAAATTCAGAAGGGAGAGGAACTTCATCAATTTTTTCACGGTTCAAAGTAGATTCCTAGTCATGACTTTCTAAATTGGCAGCCTATGGGATTCCATTTTCAATGGCTGGACCAATGGCTTGAAGAAGAGATTCGTCTGCATCAGTATTCACTAGTGCTTGATCCAAATATATTATCCCATCATAATCGACAACATATTCAGAACAAAAGTTAGTAATTTTGGGTATGTTTCGGGTTGAATCAATATATGTATATGATCATTTTAACAAGAGCGTTTCGGTTTGGGTTCAGTTTGTCGTATATAGAAATAGTTTTTATTTTTATTTTTGCCTTGCACAGAAATAGTTGATGTCCTTTACAAAACTTTAACTGTATGACAAGAGTTGATTCATTTGTTAAAAATCAGTTATATCACTTATCTGAATTGGAATTGCATTCAGTAATATGAAATGAATATTCTCAAAAGTTACTGTTGGATATCTGAAAAAAACATATGAAAGTTTACATAAAACTTACTATTATTTTTTAAACGTTTGATGTGCAAACATCTTGGTTCGCGTATTGAGTCAATGTTTTAATTTCAATATGGGTTTGGTTTTGATTGGTAGCATTAGGTGGATTCTGTGTGAAACAATAAGACACGTTCACTTCTTATGTTAAATGGACTGTAATGGGTAACTGAAATATGCAATTAAAAATTGAAACGAAGTGGTTCGTAAAATAGATGGCTTACAAGTCACAACCTTATGTTTGATAAACAATGTGTCATAGCTGATATATCTAGTTTTATCAACTCGTTTTATGTTCTATTGATTAGATAATGTCAACATTAAATTAAATATTTTTAGAAAATCGAAAAGATGAAATTTTCTCAACCATTGTTATCTTTCTATTTTATGACCATCATGATACTCCCATTGGTATTTCCCTAAACTTAATATATACATATACAAGCTAAGAAAGTTTTAGAAAAGAATGAAGATAGATGGAAAACAGAATTGATTTTTCGTAATTAAACTAAATAGAGCAAATGATTTACGAAAAAATGAAAAAGTTTATGGAAAAAAAATGTTTAACAAGTAAAATTAGTGGAAATTTCGAATAATGATTAACAATATCTTTTTGCGATAATTCAGAAGTAGGATGAACAAGGCATGAATGAATGGCAATAAATATCAAATATATATCACATACTAATAATGATTTGATCAATAATGTGTTAATTTATAGAACACTTGATAAAAATATCTCTACATAATTGCCTTTTTTGTTACTAAATGGATTTTTAGATCACAGTGGCAAAAAAAAGCAGCTCACCAAACGCGACCATTAAACTCGTATATATAAACCCTCTAGATTCCTTCCTTATCTCTCTCCTTTCATTTTCACTTGTTTCTCCTTCTTCCTTTGGTTTCTCTATCCTTGTGTGTGTGTGTGTGTCGGTGATCAGATCTCTTCTCCTTTTCTCCTGCCGACGAAAACTTGCGTTTAAAGCAATGCTGTTCGCACTCACCTTTCAGCCACAATTGCTCGGTTTAGCTTAAGCTGGGTTTTGTTTCGGTTTTCGTGGGTTTGGTGAGAGAGAGAGAGAGAGAGAGAGAGAGAGAGAGAGAGAGAGAGATAGAGAGAGAGAGATAGAGAGAGAGGGTTTTATTCGGTTGTGGCGGAGGAGAGGTGAATGAGAAATTCGCCTGCGATTCTGTCTCTGTCGGTGAATTATTGCCGGAGCAGAAGCAGGTGGGATTCTAGCCTCGCGATTTGGAGCAGTGGTCGATGGGGCCAATGCGGCTGATCTGATTCTTCTCTCCGATTTCGATTTCCCCTAAATTCAGATCGATCCTGATTTCCACGGAAATTCAATTTTCCAGGAATTTTGTTTTTCTTTTTCAATTCCACCGGTTAAGTCGTCTCGTCGATAATCCAAGGATGAACACGATGCAGCAAGATCATCGTAAGAAGGTGAAAATACTCTCCTGTACCTCTTTGTAGAAATCTTTGCGGTGAGATATTTATGTGTGTTTCGGTTAGTTTTGTCTTTTTGTTGTTGATGGTTGTTGTTGTTAATGTTATGTTACAAGCGTTTGAACAACAACGCATAATTCATAATTCAAGACAAGAAGATGTGTTGTAGAGAGATTTTTATTTCTTGTTCAGGTTTCCACATTAATCTATCTGTCGTCATGCTTCCTTAGGCGTCGTCCCAGCTTCTATCTGCTCTGATCATCTTTCATTTTCTGAACCTTCCGTATCTGTTAAAAATTTTGGCTTTCCGTGAGTTTTGAACTTAAAACCTTTCGATCATGACCTGTATGCTTTATGTTTCTATGTCTGCTGTCTGGGTCTTTCAAGCGGTGTCTGCGAGTTTATGGTTGGTTCATCGTGTTTGTCTTTATAGCTCCCATCGCATTGTGTCGGTAGATGAATTGCATTCAACTTTTGCGCTTGATTCCCTCCCCTCAAGGGTTTCAGTAGTCTCTGCTGTTGGAAAGTAATAAACTTTAGGTGTTTTTTATTGTCTTTCTCATGACTACGATAGAGAATTTGGTTGATTAGAGAAAATTGAGTTTAGTATATATCTTCATTGGGTCATAGTGAAATCTTGTAGCTTTTTTCTTGCATACAGTAGACGATGGGGAATATTTAACAGTTAACGGCTGAAGCTATGTTGTGCTTTGTCAACCGGGTTAATATTTCAGCGATTTTTTTTGTTTGTTTCACATTCCCTTGTTTGTCCCTTTTCACTTTGCAACCTTATCAGCAGCTTAAGATGTTAAAAGAACTGTAGTTTTTTTTAATCATTGTAGCGATTGATGCGTTAATTTTCATGAATAGTGTCGTTTGTTAGAATGTTTCATGACTTAAAAAACTTGCTGTCTGTAACAGAACAACCTGGAGATGGAGTTCTTTTCTGACTATGGCGATGCCAACAGATTTAAAATTCAAGAGATAATTGGAAAAGGCAGCTATGGAGTTGTTTGCTCGGCCATAGATACCCTTACGGGTGAGAAAGTTGCGATAAAGAAGATTCATGATATTTTTGAACATATTTCTGATGCTGCAAGGATACTGCGCGAGATAAAACTGCTCCGGCTCTTAAGGCATCCAGATATTGTTGAAATTAAGCACATTATGCTTCCTCCTTCACGAAGAGAATTCAAAGATATTTATGTTGTGTTTGAGCTCATGGAATCGGATCTTCATCAAGTTATTAAAGCCAATGATGATTTGACTAGAGAGCATTACCAATTTTTCCTGTATCAGTTATTGCGTGCACTGAAGTACATTCACACAGGTAGTCCATTTCTCTTGGTCTCAATTTATACAGCATTTATCTTTCTCGCTCTGTAGATGAAATTTGGACTTACAAACTATAGAGTCTTTCAGATTTGTCTTATAGGACTTTATAATCTACACTACTATTTTGTACGTTAATGCACTGCATTGGATTCATTCGGTTACCTAATATCTGGAAAATGTTTGCCTTTTGAAATTTGGTCTTGTCAATACTTCTGAGCTTTACCACTGCTGGAGATTTAGTTTGTGTTATAATATCTTAATTTACCTTGGTTGTTGCAGCTAACGTCTACCACCGAGACCTGAAACCAAAGAACATATTGGCAAATGCAAACTGTAAACTTAAGATTTGTGATTTCGGATTGGCAAGGGTTGCATTCAATGATACTCCCACAACAATCTTCTGGACTGTACGTTGCAAAAACTGGCTCTCTGAGATTCATTTTCTTCTCGTAAACTAAGTTGGTCTACGTTCTAATCAATTCGTTGCAGGACCTGATACTCTTCAACCTTGTTTTCTATGAAATTTACAGGACTATGTTGCTACAAGATGGTACAGAGCTCCAGAGCTTTGTGGATCTTTTTACTCTAAGGTATTTTGTTTGTTCTCTATATAACGTTTTTAATTGTTGTATCACTGCGAGCTAACTTTTGGTGGATTTTGGCTTTGTAGTATACACCCGCAATTGACATCTGGAGTATAGGCTGCATTTTTGCGGAAGTATTGATGGGAAAACCACTTTTCCCTGGGAAGAATGTGGTCAACCAGCTGGATCTTATGACTGATCTGCTAGGGACACCTTCCCTGGACACCATCTCCCGTGTACTGATCTTCTTCTTAAACAGAGTGCATTGAGTTCTTCAAATCTTAAGCAAGCACCAATGACGAGTACCCTGTTTTATGATATTATACAGGTAAGGAATGAGAAGGCAAGGAGGTACTTAACAAGCATGAGGAAAAAGCCACCCATTCCGTTTGCTCAGAAGTTTCCAAACGCAGATCCTTTGTCTTTGAAGTTGCTGGAGAGGCTTCTTGCTTTTGATCCAAAAGACCGCCCAACTGCTGAAGAGGTTATTTTCAACTTATAATATCACCCCAATTTTACAAGTTTCAGCTTCTTGGCTTTTTATTTCTCTTTAAGAAGAGAGTATCATGCATATGCTAGGTCTATTGGGGTGACCCACTAAACTGATTTTTTCCTAATACTTGCGTCAGGCACTTGCCGATCCATATTTCAAGGGATTGGCAAAAGTGGAAAGGGAACCTTCATGTCAACCCATCACGAAGATGGAATTTGAGTTTGAAAGAAGAAAAGTCACTAAAGAGGATATCAGAGAGCTAATATCAAGGGAGATACTTGAGTACCATCCTCAGCTGCTAAAAGATCACATGAACGGGGCCGATAAAGCCAGTTTCCTCTACCCAAGGTCTTACTTTTTCTGATCACATTTCTGAGCTGAGTATTGTGTCCCACCCAATCCCTGACCATTGATGTTTACTGTGCAGTGCTGTTGATCAATTTAGGAGACAGTTTGCGCATCTTGAGGAAAACAGCGGGAAAACCGGCCCTGTGGCACCTCTAGAAAGGAAACATGCCTCTCTTCCCAGGTAAATCCTCATTTTTGGTTTCTGCAATATCTGTTGTCACATTATCTGATTTCGGTTATCTCCTCTGTTTATGACGGGATATGCAATTGTTAGACTAGTTGTATGTCTATTCATGAGATAATCATAGCCTCAACAACAATCAGTGTTTATGGCACCACCAAGGATAAAAGCAATTGTGAAACCGTGACTATTATCTCTTTCTTGTATTGAGTCGTGCCAACTTGATTTATTTTATATTTTCTTTAGTTGATAATTGGAAGAAAGAATATATCTTCCTGACTCTCTGTTTGTATACTTTCAGATCAACAGTTATACACTCAACCGCAGTTGCACGAGGAGGACCACCAAATTTTTCGAGCCTTGAAACTAGTCAAAACGTTCCTCTTAACCATCATGCATCATTGCAAGCACCGCAAAGAAACTTCTCAGGTACTTTTAACCACTCATCCTGAATCCAAACAGTAATGTATCCAAACAAACTCTATAAACCGTAAAACATCTCTCTACACACAGCCGCCAAACCAAGCACGTTTATGGGCCCGGTGGCACCTTTCGACAATGGCAGAATTAGCAGAGATGCATATGACCCGAGATCATTCATCCGCAGCACTACTCTTCCCTTTCCACAACAGTCTGCGACAACAGTGAATCAACAAGAGAGGAGACCAACCATGGAGTCTGAGAAGCAGGCAAGACAAATATCTCAGTGTAATAGATACGCACCAGACGTAGCTATCAACATAGATAACAACCCGTTTATCATGGCTCGAACCGGAATGACCAAAGCTGAAAACATCAGTGACCGGATCATAATCGATACAAATCTCTTACAGGCGACCGCAGGAATAGGAGTTGCAGCGGCGGCTGCAGCAGCTGCTCCTGGTGGTTCTGCTCACCGGAAAGTTGGAGCTGTTCGTTACGGTATGTCAAAGATGTACTAGTCTCCACCTAATGCGAGGATTTGATCACACAGAACATCGTATGTTTCAGCTTTTGTGATATAAAAGAAAATTGTCTTTGACACAACGTTATTATCAAAGAAAAATTGGTTTTCTTTATCAATGTTGATCCGTCATTTGTTTTTGCTTTTTTATTTGTACTTTATATTCTCGACAGATAAATAAATAGATGTTATATTCTGGTATTCTCACGTTTAAAAGAATCGCTGGCTATAGTCTATAGAGGATGGATTAGTGTGGATGATGATGATGATGGTTTCATGGCACATCCAACGCATGTAATAGTGGGAGCCCATTTCACATGCACCACTTTGTTCTTCCAATGTCAGTAGAAACAGAAAGCTGCATTGCCACTTGATCAAACGAAACAATTCGATCGTGTATATATTTCCTTACTAGTAAACAATCGACTTCGCTTAGTTTCTTCTTTAAACATGTTTCTTCTTAGGATACTATTTTTTCATAAAAAAAAATGGTCCTAAGATTAGTACTAAGAAATTAATGAAGGAGCTAAAAACTCGGCAATCATGATTAAAACCGGATAAAACATCTACAGTACCTTGATTCGATTAGTAATCCATTTCGCTTCATTATCTGTTTTTATTTATAAATTCATGGAACTACGAATAGTCACATTATTACCGCAATTGTTTAGCTTCTTCTTTTCTAAATCTTTTAATACATAAGTCTAAAATAAATATTCTTACTGCACAAGATAAATTTAGTGTACAAATTATAAGTATATATCTCACTGCAACCAAACGAGGCTAAGAAAGGAGACAAATAACACTTGAGGTGGGGCCACAATCACTGTAAGCATTGTCCTAGAGATCACCCATCATGATGGGTCCACTTTGTTTGGCCCATATCTCCAGCCTTACTTAGATAAAGAGAAGAGAATTTTTCCTTGAATGTATTTGTAGCTAAACAAAACCATTCACAATAATCCCTTTGGAGAAAATCATTCACAATATGTTGTTCTTGTCTTAACCAAACCCATCACAATCTTTGTTTTATCTTTGCAGCAACAAAAATGGTACTAACAATCATCTTAAGCTAATCCCATGAATATGAATATTTAGCTTTTTTTCCATCATTTGAAGAGTTAAGAAAAAAACAGAGAAAAAGAAGAAAAAAGGAAACTCCAGCCACAAAAGGACATGGAACTGATTATTCCAAGACGAATGTGAAAGCTGGCTGAAAAAAGCAGAAATTAAATTTCAGAGTGTTATTTTTGTAACATATTTAATGTAAATTGAAATACATAAATAAATAGATACTAGAATTGGGGTAAGTGTCAGTTTGGTAGATGGTGAAATGCGAAAGGCACCCGATTTTTGTAAATCTCAATCCCGAGAAACCAAACCCCTCTTCGTCCCCTCCTTGGAAACATCATCAAAAATCCTTTTTTTTGTACATCTTTATAAACATCTAAACAATCCTGTTAAGAAATACTAATAATTATGTGTCATTCATTATAATTCTTAAACCACAAAACCATAGTAGTCCTATCTTTTATAGTTTTATTACTCTTTTTGAAAACATGTAATCAACTCTATTATATAGTTATGGTAACATGAACTTCCTTGGCTTTCTTTTTGTTTTATATTTTGGTTTTGTTTTTCAAAGGAGTTGACAAAAAATGAAAGGAGATTTGGGGATGGATGTGGACCCAAGGGAGTGACACGTGGCCACCATGCCCGAGAGATATGCATGTGGATGGATCATCTTATGAGAGCAAGTAGTAGATAGATTAGATCCTCATTTGTACGAACCATTCACTTCACTATAGAGAGAGTATCTACTTGATCTCGATCTCATCCATCGATACACATATATTCATGTGCAGTTATGTGTATATAGTAGAGTCTATAGAGAGAGGTGCACATGGGGATGGGGCTTGGAGAGATTTTCATGTGAGAGCACATGTTCCTTCTCTTTGGGCTTTCTGTGGGGTCCTTTCTTCACTCCCCTTGTTCCTATGCACATGTCTCCACTGCCTCTTCCTTATCTTCACGCTCTTCTTCTTCGCGCGTCTCTTTGTTTCTTTCTTCTCCTTTGTTCCGTCCGTACCGCGCGTAGTTACTTTTACTTTACTTAGGATTTGTCGTCGTCTTATTTATTTTGTGGAAGTGGATGTCAAACCCCCCCAAATATAAAGGTTTCTAGTATAATATTTCGTGGAATATACATAAAAAATATTCCGTTTGATTATTTTTACAGAATTTATTATATTAGTTTAGTAGATATCGCAAAAATACCAGTTTTCTTTTTTTTTTTGTTTCCTTTGTTCTTGTCATACTTAGCTTTCATGAGTGTTCCAATAAAATATCAAACTATATAAGATTAAAGTAAGAATGAATTAAAAATGACAGTTTAAATTATTCATGAGTAATTTACTAGACTAAAGCTTATAACTTTTTTTTTTTTAAATATCCATTTACTAAACAAAGCAATCCAGTTTTAGATGTGAGAGCATGGTCGACTTAGATGAGTGACGTGTCCACTAATGTCAGAACCAGTCGACATGGCGCGTGAACTTCTTCAATAAAACCAAACTAAATTAAGAAAAAGTTAATAAAATCTGCACAATCCGAAGCACGAGGATATAATAAAATTAATTAAATTTAAACATACAACTGGACCCAGCTTTGATGGCAAATACCGCCCTATTAACCATTTTCTCATTACCATATATAGAATCTTTTAATCGACTTGCAATTTTATATCGTTTAACCAATAAAAACCGACGACAAAAAAAAAAAACCCAATAAAACCCAAAGTTCCTTCCGAACCGAACAAAATTAGACATTTCATCAAATTTAGTAAAAAACGTACAAACAAGCACGAAAAACCAAACTAAACCGATATAGTATTGTCTCTAAACACAACTCCAGCATTTAATAACTTATAAACCAATCAATCTAAAATAAACCAAAGTAAAATCGGATTGAACCGGCCAAAATATAACCGTCACCATTTTGTCCACTAAATCCATCATCACTCCTATATATATATATACACACACATACACACATGCACTTTCCTTACCTCTTCATTATTCTCTCAATCTCATCATTTCCCTCTCTCTCTCTCTGTCAATGGAGAAAACTCTAGCCACTCCCGATTCCACTAGACGCTCTCTTTCCTCGTCGCGCGCAGCCACCGTGAAATCACGCGCCGCCGGTTTCGAGCGCAGAACCAAACGGAGATTGTCGGAGACCAAGGCAAGCGTGTGTGTGTCCGGTGAAGAAGAACAAGAAGAAGACGACGAAGAAGAAGAAGTGGTGAAAGAGAAGATCTCTGCGTTGCAGAGGATTATTCCCGGAGGAACGGCGCTTGGTGTGGACGCGCTCTTCGAAGAGACAGCTGGTTACATAATGTCTCTACAATGCCAGATCAAAACCATTAAAGTCCTCACCTCGTTTCTCCAACGCTTAGATAAACAAGATATGAAGTTCGGAGGTTGAAGATGATGACTCCAAGATTGCTCTTCTTTTCTTTCGATTCCGACCCAAAAAAAAAAAAAGAAGAATTTTCATTATGTAGTTTTGTTTTTAACTTTATTTTTTTGTTTGATATGGATTTTAGCTTTGATATATGGGGAAAGAGATCTCAGCATTTTTTTCTTCGAAATCTTTTTCTTTAGTAAGACTATCATCGTTGTCAAAAAATAAAAAGTAAGACGATAATCTTTGAATCTTAACTTCTCGTTTATTTAAGCCGTTTCGTAGTTATGAGAAGTGTTGATTGCGATATATTACATATACATTAACGAATATACTATTAATGTTGGGACTTGGGAGTGTAACTACACTATAACTTGTTTATATAGTTGGAGGCCATATACTATACGTAGATATTAAATTAGATCACGAGGTAGCACTTGCATTTGAGATTTGGATTTAATGATATTGAGAAAGTTAATGATACGTGGCCCATTTTTCATTTTGTGTGAGCTCATTTCACATGCTAGATAACAAAAAATTTCCAATGTCGGTCGATATTTTATTTAAGATTATGACGAACATGCATATATTGGATTAGTTTTGAGTTTTCGTGGTCCAGGAATTGAGTTTCATGTCTATATTCCTTGTACATACAAGACAATCTTTCTAGTCGTGTAACTATAGAGCTAGCATTTACACAATTAATAAAGTCAACCGCTATAAAATTTAAACATAATAATATCCATAAAAAAGTCGATTAGTTTTAGGATTAACTATTACGTGCTACAATGATCTATGTATTCCAACACTGTTTATCCAAATTATAAGCATAAAGTACTTAAATTTTCGATTCATATATGAGAAGACCCAAAAAATGTTTACTAATTACTAATTTTTATTTTGAAAAAACTACAGATCTACTTAAAGCATAGGTAGTTAAGCGAAGTTGATCAATATTCATTCATGTTGTTAATCAGTAATGATAACTTTAAATCCTTTACCTTAAGATCATTGATACATTATTACTTTACTACATGTCCAACAACAAAGACACGAGTCAATACGATTTGCTAAACATGTCGTAATTGGGCTTAATAGTATTCGGCTGGGCCCCTTAAACTCTAAGGATATCCGTACAAAAAGTATAATGGAATCTGCTTAACAACTTTTATCAACGTTCGCTTGCCAACAATTGTAACAACATTTAGGATTGGTTACCAAAAGACCATAATCTTGGTTTGCCTGAGGTCAACTTTTACAGATCAGCAGCCCGGAGAAGCTCTAGGAGTCCGCAGCAATTCCTCCACGAAGTTGGTTGCAGCACGGGTTGCTTGGGGCAGAGCAGAGGCATCTAAACATTCAATGGATAGTCTCTTAATAAACGTATGTTAAAAGCTTCGAGCTAAAACTGAATTATTGGTAATGGACACTTTGGATTACAAACCTGGTTTTCATCTTTACGTACAGAAGAAGATTCATCTTGATGGGTCTCAAGTTCTTCGACATGAGCTGAAACCGGTAAGGACCCGTCAAAGTAATACCTGGAAAGGCTTGAATCATGGTCAGAGTCACTGGAGGAATCATCTGTATCCTTATCTGAAGCTGATGATGACTTGATTTCTTCTGGTACTTCCGGTGAATTCAGATTCACTGTGCTTTGATCGGCAAACTCATTGCTATCATTGAAACTGTGGAACACTATATTTGCATTTGCTTGTTCTGTTTCTGCAGGAGTGTCTTCCTGGAACTCAAGTACCATTCCTTGAGACTTGTTGAGATATGGGAAGTTGTTTCTCTCGTCGATATATGGTATTAAACCACTATTACGTCTGAAAAACTCAAGAACCTTCTCTTCTTCCTCCATATCAGATTCATTGACATCATGATCTTGGAAACCAAACGTGTATGAGTTAGATGGATCCGTGGAGCCTTCTTCTGTGGAATCTACTGGATCAACCAGTTCAGCGACTGTACCTCTGATCTTTTCATCTTCCTCTTCACTCCTTACGTCCTCAGCTGAGTTGCTTGCTTCTTCTATGGTGTTCTCCTCGTCTTCACCTTCCTTTTCCATTTCTCTCTCTCTCTCTCTTTCCTTGTACCTCGAGCTGCAACGGTATGGATCTTTTTCCGGTTTAAAGAGAACTTCCTCCACGGACCCAAGCTATCTAGTCGGACGTTGCTTCATATTTTAGTTGCAATGTCGTCGTTCAAACAACCACTGCGAAGCCAAAGACAGACTAAAACCAACCGAGTAAGATAAAGAAGAGAAAAAGTAAATACTATGATGGGAAGTTTGAAGAGTAGTTAGATAGAAAACGTTCACACAATAGTTTTGACTAGTTGGTTCTCGATGTGGAAAACAAGACATGATGGTGTTCAAACACATCAACTTTAGAAACAGAGACACATCAGCGGACAGACCTCCTACTTGCTTTCCCTACTATCAAATTTCGTCTGGACTAATAAAGATGCTAACATTTTTTTTTATTCTCTGGTTTCTGGTGAATTCAGGGCTTATGAAATATGATCATGATGATATGAAAGGCAGTGCATCGAATAGATAATTAGGGATTAGGGTGTTGAGGCATAGTAAGTGCTCCATTTACTGATTATATCAGTTTCTCTTGGTTGATAATTGTGAGTAATAAGACTGATTGCACTAGTAAGGTTAAACGGTTTATCAAATCCACTTCACAATATAGATTTTTTAAATGTAAACCTTCAAATTTATTAAGATATTATTGTTTAATAAAAATGTCAGTTTTCAAATTTTTGGAAATATAAGTTAGTTTTCATAAGAAAAACTTTAGATTGTGAAATCAAATCTCCATTATTAATTGAACAAAATGATAAAAATTATTTTTTTCTAAAATAACAGAAAATAGAAAAGTTGAATATTAATGTTATTTGTTGGTATTCCAATAATCAAGATGCATGCTTATATATACACACAATGTCTGTTTTTATAGTTTACCATTATCATCAATTTATAGAATTTTAGTTCATAATTAGCACAAAAATTGCACATGAACGTGTTTACTATATCGACTATAATCAATAAATGGTGAAAACAATTTTGATTTATATTTGATATTTTCTCTTGCAAAATCTTTGATATGAACATTTTTGGTATTTTCAGGTCTTTAGTTTTTCTGGGAAAACAAGATATCCATACTGGACTTCGGATTGGTTGCTGCTGGAACTCTCGCTGCTCATAAGACTAATCAGTGGAGAAAGAAGAACCTCGAACTTGGTTCGAGTTAGGGATTCTGCGCAACCAAGGTAATTTTGTTAAGGATGATGATAGCCCTTCTGATATGACGTTTTGGTACGTTTAGGCATTGTTGTATTATACATTCTTATGTGTATTCATTAATCGTCATGCATTCTTGTGATTACAAGTTTAAGCTTTTTTTGGAAAGCAAAGCTTGGAATTAGAAGATAGGATCTCCCACTTTGCATTCTGATCTGATGTTTTAAGTACGTTTAGGCATTGTTGTTTCATACATTCTTACGTTTATTCATTAATTTTCATGCATTTCTGTGTTCATGTGTTCAGATTAAAAGTATTTTGGGAATGTAAAACTAAGACATGTGGATTTTATTTGAAAAAACTACTAGATTAACATTTGTCTATCTAATAGTATTAAATCTAAAACAAATGATCCAAGAATATTTTTGTTAACAAACAAAATTTTCCTTTTTAAATTTGGAAGAATTTCAAGGAGCTAACTATGCTTTGCAATAAGAAAAAAAGAAAGAAAAAAGAATACTGCTTTGCAAAGTATTACTTATTCTTATTGATGAAATTCACCTACTCTTATCATAGTTAGCTATTGTTCTAATTTTACTCGATTTACAACAGATGATAAAAGGAAAAGACTCTCTTAAAACATATTATATGAACGTATTATTCCATTTTAACACAACAACAAATCTTATATTTTGCCAATTTACATTTAGTTTTTTTTTTCTTTCTTAGTCGGAAACAGTGGCGGAGCCACATGTATTAGCATGGGGTCATTCGCCCCCAACTAATTTTCAAAAGTTGATGTAATTTAGTAGTGTTCAATGTTAATGCCCCCATTTACTAAATTATATATACTTCTATATCCCCCAGTCAAAAACAATTCTGGCTCCGCCACTGGTCGGAAAAGCGTCGCATCACAATTGCTTTCATGCTGCTTAAATAGTTTAAAAATACAATAAATCCAGTTCGGTAAGTCACCGCCTTATACATACGACCGTATTCAGGACACTGCCTAAAACCGACAAAATGCGTGTAAGAAATAAGATGCATAAAAGCATAAACCAATATGAATATGAAAACCCGTAGGTACACGAGCATTCACCAAGCGTTAATAGAAAGATGAAAAGAGCATCATATAGATAATAATATCAAGACCTAGACGAACCAGCAAAATAGCGGAAAATGATTATAGAAGACACTAGAGTGGTGGCAAGCAAAACATTTGGGATTCGCAACTTGATCCAGCTAAACATTTGGCGTTTCGGAGATCCCGGTACGTGGTCTTGATAGTGAAATCCAGATCGGTACACTGATGAAGTCCTTGGACGAAGTGAGACCAGATTCTCAACGAAATCAGACACTACACAAATGTCTGAAGAGAGGCAAACGACTTGATCTGTCTCTGGGTAGTATTTGAACAACCTGTTCTCTCGTTGTCATGGAAGAAAAGGTTCCCACTGTTAGAAACCGCCACTGGCCTGAACCACACGCTCCTCTGCCGACGGGAAAAGACTCCGGAATTAGCTAAACTGATGGAGTAAACCAAGCTCCAAGTTTCTTCTTGCTCATCCAAGACCCGTATCTCAAATTCCCAAGGCTTAGTATAAGCTGTGACTATGGCTAAACGGTCCTCAAGGTTCACTAGTTGGTCTGCTACAGCACAAGTTGGCGGAAATGGGACAACATCACGGAACTCCTCTGTGTGAAGATCCAAAGCAAATACATTGTCACTTTTAATCATCTCTATCCAATAGAGGGAGCCATTGACAAACGCAGGCTTCCTTCTCGGTTCAACCTTGTAAGGAGGCGGCTTCACTTCCCTCCATTCACCAATGTCGACATCAAGAATCTCGCAGTAAGGTATAGGATCAAAGAACATCCTCACAACTTTATAGCTGCCACTAACTTTGTCCCTACCGACTCCCATTGCCCAATATGCAGGAAAAATATTCCACCATGTTTCTGCGATTTGTAAAAATTTCAAAGACTCGATTTTTATCAAATGCATTAGAAAAAGAAACGATTTTTAAAACTTCATCGTATAGACTTACCGGTGAAAATCAAGTTGTCGTCGTAGTGGTTGGTCACTGGATCTGGCCCGGAAGGGAAACTAACGAATTCTCCGGTGGAAGGGTTTAAAACGTTGACCCAACCTGGTACGGGGATGCAAACCAAACCGTCACACGTCAGCGACGGTCTTGTGGCGGCGTCACGGGAGTTTATATAGACTATATCGATCTCCTCTGTGTCTCCTTCTCTGAATAGCGACTGGGACCGGTGGTCTCCGGCGGCCAGGATTTTCGGCTTCTTCTGAACTTTCATTCGACTCTCCACGAAGCTCCTCGACTCCAGGATCGATCTCCATTGTTTTGAGACGGTTTTGAATTTGAGGATTGATTTCAATGGCAGTCGTAGAAATATATCTTCTATTAGATCGGGAATCACGTCGCTCCGACCCCGATAAACTTCCGACATCCTTTTTTTTTTTTCCTTGACCCCAAATGAACCTTTTTTTTTTGTTTAGCTTTTAGGTTTTAAGCTTTGAAATATTGAGAAATTGCAATAAAACCCAATATGTTTGTATTTCACCTAAAAGATCCCACTAAAATCGTGGATTTGATTAAAACCATTAATATCATAAAACTGTGATTTTATCTCCCACTTTATCTCATTTCTCCTTCTCTCTCTCTCTCTCTTTTTTTCCTTTAAAATTGGAATGTTGTATTCATGATAAATTAAATTTTAACAATTTGTTAACTGAATTTGTAACAATTTCTATCAACTGAATGACAAAGAGAAACTTTTTGCTAACAGATTGCTTGACAGTACTGCTTCACTACACAGATCCTAAGCATTAGTGTAAACTCAAGAAAATGAAAAAAAAAACATGAGCAACTTACTATAAGAAATCATGATGTGGTCGTTACATCATCATTCTCATGGCTCTATATATCTATAATGCCATTTTGGGAGAAATTTTGATAGGCATTCCTAGTGATGGAAATGGGAGAGGATCCATGCTGATTGTCTCATCTGGGTAGACTAAGGACCAATCGTAACTGGTCACGACCAAATGCAAGAAAACGAGAATGCTGACTTTTGCTAGTTGGTGACCTGCACAAAGCCTTGGTCCTCCTCCAAATGGTAGATATGTATATGCTTGTATTGGCTGATCAAACCTTGAAGGATTAAAACTCATTGGATCATGAAAAATCTCAGGATTGTAATGTGTTCCATATGTTGTCCAAAGTATCTGCACCCAACAAATTAAGAAACAGAAATGTATTTTTTTTATTAGTATTTCTTGAAAGAAAACAGAGTTTCTTGATTTGGGAAATTTGAAGGATATCTAGAGAGATGATATGTGTTGTTTCACCTTCCAGCCTTTGGGTATTGTGAATCCTCCATAGTCTATATCAGCAACTGCTTTTCTAAAGGAACCGAAGATTGGAGGAGACAACCGCATTGTTTCACGAACAACTTGCCAGCTATACTTCATCTTCTTCACATCTTCCACTGTTAGATATTCTCTTTCCCTTTTGTTTGCTTTTATTTGATTATGTTCTGAGATGAATCAAGAGAGAAATCTGAGAGTTGAGTATGATACTTCTTTTCTTTCTTGCTGATAGGAAAAAGAATTAATGATTTCAAGATTAGTTATTGTTCTGTTAGTTTACCTTGAATGAGAGTGTCACGACAAGTTGGGTGCTGAGCTAACATCTTGAAAGTCATGGCCATGGCATAAGAGGTTGTGTCGTGTGCTGCAAAGACTAGCAAAACCATATTATCTACAACTTCGTCTTCGGTTATTTCTCCTTTGGTCAACCCTTCTACTAGTCTCGAGAAAAGCGTTGTATTGGGCCTCCTAACTTCTTCTTCCATTTCTTTTCTCTTCTCCCTAACCTTCTCAACAAGAAACGTCTCTATCTCTAGCCTTGCTTTCTTTGCTCTAGCAAACCTAGAGCAAGGAAACTCAACCGGAAAAGCAAAAACTCCTTCTAAAACCCTTTCAAAGATCTCTAACATCCCAAGCTCCACTTTGATCCCATACAGACACTCAAAGACTACAGTAAAAGTGAGGGCTTTTGCCGAACGGTAGAGGCTAATCTCTTCCTTGCCTCCCCATTCTGTGTCAAGATGAGATCGGACAGTGTCACAGAGCTGAGGTACTAAGGACTCTAACCCATTGTAGCTAAGGCTATTAGCTACAATCCCTCTAAGGACTCGATGCTTCTCGCCTTGTTTAGCCATGATGCAGTTCATGCCCATCAGCTGAACAGAAGACGAAGGCCATGAGCTCACCACCAAGTTAAACTCATTAGACAGTATTAGCCTGTTGGCTTCAGCTCCATTGACTACTATTGTTGGTGATCCCATGATTTTTGTCTTGAAGAGGTTCCCATGTTTGATGATCCTTGGATTTACGAAATCCTCGAACACTCTGTTGCTTTTCTGAGCTTTGTAGAACTCCATTGTTTCGCCTATCCATGGAAGCCCCATTTCTCCAGGAGGAAGCTTCTTGTTCTTCTTCTGCTGCAGCTTCTTTGATGTGAATTTGTGAGTTTTCTTGCGTAAGAAGAAAAGTGTGCTGGATATTGTTGCAGCTATGCATAAGAAGACCCATGAGAGAAGAAAGTTTGGTTCTAGAGCCATTGTGTTGTTGATAATCAAGTTTTGCAGAAATCTGGACTCTGAGCTGGGTATTTATAAGTGGAGATTTTTGTGAATGTCTTTAAGGTCAAAACCCAGTGGGATTATTCGGAGTTTCTTTCTTTGTTTTGAAACTTTTTTTTTTTTGGTTCTGACACATGATTGATCTTCAAGATACAGTTCCTTAAGAGCTGCAACAATATATTTTTTAATTTTTTTTTTGTGCGGACGGTGATACTAAACATGTTATGCAGATGCTATGTAATATAGTGATCACAAAATTAATTACGGATAGAACACATACTTTCTTATACATAAATCATTAAATAATATATAAGACAGTACCATATCGAAATGGTTTTCTTCATTTTCTCCAATATGAAGATTATGAATTAAAAATTAGACGAAAATTTTAATTCATAATTTTCTGTTTCGACGGTATTTTGTATAGTAGATCTACTATATCTATTATATAAGTTTCTTGCCTGCAAACACGCCAAACGGATGCATCATGTTGAAAACTTTCTGTAAACTTGTTCCATTAATCTGCAAATTAATAATAAATTGCACTTTCTGGAACTCGAAACCCAAAACTCCTGGTGTAAAAGCATTAATGAACCCATTAACCAGTAAGCTAAAAGACTTTCACAAATCTTCAATATATTCTTAAGAAATTAATAATAACCTTTAACAACAAAATAACAAAAAGTTTATAAGTTGACTTTTCAATGATTTCTTTTTTTTTTTGAATATGGGTGAGAGAGAGACAAATGCATGTGCTTGGAAGTTGGAATATGCTATAACCAAGATTGTAAATGACTATATAAAATATGAATCTGATTCCTATAATCTCCCTCTTAAATAATTTCATAATAGTATTTTTTTGTTCATTGTTATATTACAGTATAAATTATTATGACTAATATGTAAACATATTTGCTGACGAAATTTCCATTAGACTTATATCATTACTTTGGGGGGGAAAATTATACGCGAATCCCTAAAGATCTGCTTTGGCCGGCTGCATCGTTATGTCGAATTTACGTTGCAAACTGCGTTAGAGAGAGAGAGATCAGTTTGTATATTTATCTAATTATCCATCACATACATTAAGTTATTAAACTAATCTTAAGGTGTGTTATACCTCCAAATAATCGCATTTCTGTATACTTTTGGGAATTTATCACTCTCGAACGTTGCGTTATGTTCAGATGATAATTTGTATGTACACTATTGATTCTTGAAATTTGGACAATTTATTTTTCATGGCATTGTTCATGCACCTAAGATAAAATTATATAATTTGGATATTAGCCGAAGAAAGGATAATTTGGAATAAGTAAGAACGAATAATTGGTTAAGAAGTCACTTTTAATAGATTCCTTCTAAGTTCTAACAAAACCTCTCCTCATATGAAAATAATTTTAAAAAGTTTATCAATCTTGTCGCGGCACTAAGCATAGATGAGGCTACTTTACGTCGTCGGTTTCGTTAAATAACTTGCAGAACAAAATAAGAACGGAATTTTAGTTTAAATATCGAATTATTCGATTATCCTAAGATGTAGTTTTGTATTTGTAAACTATAATTAGATTATTGAGAAGAAAGAAGAGTAGCAGCCGCAAGAAATGATGATGATGGTTGGCATTGACAACAACATGATTATAAATCGTTATGATGGTCGTCAATTATCGGTTAGCGAACCCTATATTATATTACATATGAATAATTTAAGAACGTGTTACTCGAAAAATGCAATTAGAACTTTTGAATATAGATAGGCAATTAGGCACACACACATTATCGTATTGGTATGTATATACGTGTGTATGTGTATATTTGGTTGTTAAGGCTTTGATTCTTTCAATGGTCGGGGCTTTTAGTGAGTTTGGTTGGTCGGATCGCTTCGAACGCTTAGAATGAAACTTGTCCGTATGCCTTGTTGCCTTAGTTTTGGAGTAATTTAGATTGAACCGTTTTAACCATTAGTGGAAATTAACTATTCCAATCAAATGAACATTCACCGTTTAACATGTTTGATGGATTACACCGATTTAACCACATCAACCAAAAAATGGAAAAAAAAAATCAACTACATTGACAATACGGAGGGACTTGTTTGGAACCAAATTCACCTTTCTATTACTTTGACATATCGGTCAACCAATACAAACACATTACAATTCTTCAAAGCCTATACAATAAGAGAAAGATATTATATACATAAACATGTATATTCTGTATATATACTTATAAAGAAAGCAATCATCTACAGTGGAAAGCCAAAGGCATCTTGAAGTATCAACGGGTTTGAATTGATATACCAACTAACTAACATAGTTTCATATGTGATGTCTTGACTCTTGTTAGTTTAGTTGGTTTTAGAAAATGGAATTGATCGTTTAGCACTTTCATTTCAAAATTTCAAATTACATTTCATACCGTGACATGGTATCTACATGGGTAAAGGACATTAGTCATACATTTGTACTAACAAAATTGATCATAATCTCTATGGCCCTAATCAACATGTCCGAGTATATTGTATCCGGGTCAGTATAGGCCATTTGCTTGGACAACTAACTCATAAATTTAATTCAGTCCAGAAAAGAACATTTAAGCAATTAAATTTTGAAATAAAGATACATTATAGATCATAATCATTAAATATCAAATTACGCTAGCAGGGAAAAAAGTTTGTGACTTGTCGTTTGTTGAACTAAAGTGACAGGAAAAAATCAATTGATGTTTTAGCGGGCTTTAAATTGAAATTGTGGAAATGTGGTTGAGTAGGATTTTTTAAGTGTATTTATTAAAATTATAGAGAGTTATCTCAAATGTAAAGAGATTTAAATATCTTAAAATGAAAAATGACCAGCGTAGAAACGTCAATATCATGGCTTAACAAATTATTCACAGTTCAATAGTATAGTATAAGAAAATGCAGAAGCCAGAGGAGCAAATCCAGAGAGGATAGACAGTATAAGAAGTAAATTATTTTATGAAGCATCATCGGGTTATAATTTTTCAGACCCACCAAAACCAACTCCAATATCACATTTATTTATCTCTCTTTTTCATATTTTTTAATCTCTAAAAAAAAAAGAAAAATCATCTCCTCTAAAACTTCTTCATTGTGGGTCCTCTTCTTTCACTGCATCTCCACGTGCTACTAATGGCCTCGCTGTATCTACTATTTACCACTCTTATTGTTACTAAAACTTAAATGTCACTTGAATGCAAACTATATCTTTAGGTGAAAACCAAATAAAAAAACCAATAAAAAACCATACATTATGCTAATTGAAAACTTGGAAAATACTATATCTATAAACCAATGATATATATCCAACATTGGGTTTTGCTGCCCATATGAGGCCATAAGGCCATAACACGAGACCGAGATGAGAGAAGTGACCTTATTTAGGTGTATTAAATGTAGCTTGACTTCTCTTTTAACGTCAAGTGATGACAACTAATTTAAGCATCTCCTTAGCTAGTCTTAGAAAAACACAAAACAAAAGGGCCTACGTTAGTCTACCTAGATTCTTGATTTGAGGCTTGCCCTACATTTCAAGCACTCAAGAGTGGAAACTTACTTGGATTAATTAGCTTCACATGATATCAGAGCTAGCTTGCATTTTAAATGCAAAATTGACGTCCTGCAATAAACATAAGCAACGTATAATGAGTTATCGATTGAAAGTACGTAAATAGTAATAATAGTGGTAGAGAGATAAATCATCTATATGGGAGACAGCTTCTCATACGCGTCCATGCCTTTGCATGAAAGATTAATTGAACTCTTTTAGATTTTTTTTTTTTTTTTTGGGGGGCAGAATTCCAAGTGTTATTGCAATCACCAGGGGTATTAAATGGGATAGTGTAAATGCACCTGCAACACATCAACTAACCACACACTCCTCCACCTGTTTGTATTTACTTCGAAACTTTCAAAAACCCTTATGCTTCATTCCCTCTCTTTATAAACCCTTGTTTCCGGTTTACCAAGGACCACGCAACACCATCTGCAAAAAAAAACTTCTGCTTTCTGAATTTATCGTTAAGTTTTCAGAAATGAGAGGGATGAAGAGTTTTACCATTTGGGCTGTCTTTGCTGCTTTACTCTCACAGCAGCTATTTGCTTCTGTTGCTTCCATAAGGTTTGAGGATACAAAAACATACTACTCTCCTCCAGACCCAAATGCAGGAACTCCTCCCTCTGGTAAGCAGAAAATAACACACTTCTAACTTTTAATGCATTTTGATGTAATAACTAATAAGAATCTTGATTTTAGCTATTCCTTACTTGATGACTCGTTGCATTTGTTTGACATGCAGGAACTCCTCCATCACACGGAGGATACACTCCAACTCCTTCGACTCCATCACACACCCCTCCTTCTAACTGTGGAAGCCCACCTTACGACCCTTCAACTCCACCTCACATTCCAACTCCATCAACTCCATCTCACACTCCAACTCCATCGACTCCATCTCATACTCCAACTCCATCACACACTCCAACTCCATCACACACTCCTCCTTGCAACTGTGGAACTCCACCTCATCACGTCCCAACTCCTTCCACACCTTCACACCCTTCAACGCCTTCACGGCCTACGCCCTCAAATCCTCCTTCTGGTGGATATTACTCATCTCCTCCACCAAGTACTCCGGTCGTTGTGACTCCACCAACACCCATTGTTGACCCAGGCACGCCCATCATTGGAGGAAGCCCACCAACTCCTATCACTCCTATTGACCCTGGCACTCCTGGAACTCCTTTCCTTCCTGCTCCTTTTCCACCAATCACTGGAACATGCGAGTAAGTGACAAATATTCCTCTATCTAACACATACATTAAGCCATATATACATGATGGTCTCACACTTCATGAGTCTTAATTATTATCTTTGTGCAGTTACTGGAGGAACCACCCTACACTGATATGGGGTCTGCTTGGCTGGTGGGGCACTGTTGGAGGAGCTTTTGGTACGGTCAGTACTCCCAGTAGCATCCCAGGGTTTGATCCTCACATGAACCTTCTTCAGGCACTTTCCAACACCCGCACAGATGCCATTGGAGCTCTCTACCGTGAAGGCACAGCGTCTTGGCTTAATTCCATGGTCAACCATAGGTTCCCTTTCACAACCCCTCAAGTCAGAGACCACTTTGTTGCAGGACTTTCTTCAACCAAGGCAGCCACAAAGCAGGCCCATACATTCAAGCTTGCCAATGAAGGTCGTCTAAAGCCAAGAATCTGAAAAGAAGAGAGTTTCTTCATTTCTTAGTTGTTTGTTGGTTTGTCTTAATTAATTATCTTATGCTGTGAGTGTGGTCAGTAGAGTTTTAAGTGTCCTATAGCTTCTAGTAATATTTATCATCATGGCCCTTTATATTTGATGTTGCTGTTTCAATTTTTCTTCATCTTAAATAAGTTTTATTACTTCCCCTGTTTCTTAATCAGTGTTCAAGAGCGTCCAAATAAAATGCATTACATGCAAATAAACCTGAAGGAAGACAAAACATTGCACTTCGTTTGATACCAACACGAACATGAAATAGGATCATAAACATTAATATCAAAAGAGACCGCAAGAAAAGAGAGATTATTAAACATATTTCATACATAGACCAAGGTACCAAAAAAGTCAAAGTCTAAATATAGATTGGCATGCCTAGCGACAAACACAATATCATAACTGCTCCAATAAATTGTTCATGAGAAATTCTTAAAATCAGGCCTAAGTGATGTGTCTCACAACTGGATGTATTTCCAAAAAAAACAAGTCCATGAAAGAGAGAGAAAGACCAAACATTAAGAAATAACATTAAAGAAGGGGCAGTACTTCAGAGGTGTGGTGTTACTGTAATAAACTCGTGGAGTAAATATTGCAAGATGGTCTCCATGCATTCAAGTTTCAAACCCCAAGTTCTAACTACCAATGAATATTACCTTCAATGACTCTCTCTACTAATGTCAGGAAAATTGCATTAATGATATTGAGTTAGTAGTGTCATGGTTACAAGGAGACATCAACTCTAGAGATTTAGGAATAACCTCTTTATCTCAAGTTATTATTTTCTCTTGCTATATGATCTTATGACTGATGCTACTTTCTTAACAATCTCAACACAATCCATAAGAAAACTGATACTAATGGTCTCTGCATTTCTAAGGATATGAAAACTTGAAGTAGCAGTTGTTTGAAATCATTTTCCATTGCATTATCATTGATCAGCCTTTGAAAAAGAGATGATCCCTCTCTCATGCCTTCGACATAAACAGAGTGTTAAGTAGTAAAGTCTTTGCTAGGTAAGTGTAATAACCTGAAAAACTGAATTAAGAATGGAAAAAAAGAAAACAATTATATCATAAGATGTCTCAACACATGGGCATTTGCAGCCTATGCCACGAAAGTGTGATCTGTCCACATAGACTGGTGCTCATAAGTTCATGCAATTCTTCTGTGGAATATACATATATATCTTATAGCTACTCAGCTCATAACTTCATCTTGATAATGTATATGGAGCAAATATATCGAGAATCATTAGTATAACATTAATCTTAATCTTTATCGAAAAAACATAAATCTTGATATCTCTAACGATGTTGTATCAAATCAAGATGATAAAAGACATTCTCACCAAATCAGACATTCCACCACATTAAGCAGAAATCAACCACCGAATAGAAGCTGTGCCCAAAATAAAAGATATCAAATCACATTCTCGCATATGCAATAAAAATCTTGACACAATCACATGTCTGCAAAATCAAATTAGTCTAAGGAGATTATTACGTATACTAGCTTAGAACGAATTTCTAAACTTAAGCGTGAACGCTAACAAGATTCGTAAATATACGAGAAGATGATACGAGCTTAGTGATGTTTTTGCGGGCCTGAAGCCCGCGGGCTTATACGGGTCTTTCATTAATTTTTAAGTTCGTAGCCCGTTTAGTTATATGAAATCAAAGTAGATTTATTTACGTCCGTTTATTATACGGGTTTACCCGCGAAATAAAAGGGTACTCATGTACCCGAAAAAACAAGTGAGGATGAAGTGGGTCCCATGTGAGTGAAAATTGAAGAGTATCAATATCATCATGTGAGGAAGGTTGTCTTCGGTATCAGTCGAATCTTCGCTCTGACTTTTCCACCTTTTTTGTTCTTACCTTTTCTTTAATTTTCTTTTTTCTTGTCAACATTTATTATTATTTTCCTTTGGTCGGTTAATGTTCTAAACAAAACAAACAATTTTACAACAAACCATAACTGCACATGAACATTTTTTAGATTTTCTACAGTCAAATGAGAGATCGTTGGCATTATCGCCTACTTAGTCTGTTGCTTTAGTGTTGACTGTCTTCATTGTTGTTTCTTTAATCGTTGAGCGCTCCATTTTTCGTCTAAGCACTGTGAGTAGCCTCCATTTGAATACCTCTACATTGAATCATTTTGTTTCTTCATGATCTTGAACCTTTTCTTAATCATTTTACAGTGGTTAAGGAAGACAAAGAGGAAACCTTTGTTTGCTGCATTGGAGAAGATAAAAATTTTTATGTTTGTGAAAGTTGTTTATAAATTCTTTTTTTTTTTAAGTTAAATGTTATTTCTATTTTTTTTTTTTTGCAGAGCCTGAAGAAAAAGATCAAGTTTAAATCAAAGATAATCTTTACAAATATTTATTTTATAATTTTATGTTTGTTTGAACAAAGCGTTAATGTTATATTTTTGAATTGGATTTTGTTATTAATTACTTATTTACTTATGAAATGTTGGATTTTGTTTATGATATATGTTTATTCATTTCAGAAAGTTTTATTTTTTTAAGATATTATGTTTTCTAAAAATATGTAAAAAAAACGTAATATATATTTTAAATTTATAATAACATACATAATATTACAAGAATTCAAATGTAATTTAAATAATTAAATTAAAAAAAAAGATAAATGGGCTTAAAAGAGCTATTTAAGCCCGCAGGCTAAAAAATTACAAATATAAACAGATTTTATATAAACGGCCTTTAATAAGACGGGCTTTATACGGGCAGGGTTTAAACGGGCCCGGGTAGCCCGTAAAAACAACACTATACGAGCTAAGTTATCTCGACGATCTGGTAACTTTGTGCGACAAACCGGCGAGGGATTAGCAAGCGTTTAACGGCTGAGTTCGAAACACCGTCCCGTTTTCCTTACTCGGTTATTATAATCTTTTTATTCAATGGGCTTGGGCTAATTAATCAATTAAATTATGAAAACAACTCCAAAGTGTGCTCCGTTTAGCGTTTTCAAACTTAGAATTCATGCCGTCTTCTCCTGGAAGCGCTTCTTCTTCTTCTTCAACTAACATCTTCTGAAACACGATTAATCATTCCCCAAATTGCAAATTTGCCTTCAATCTAGTTTCGGTTATATTATTGCTTCTAGTGTCATATAGATAGGAGTAAAATTTTCATCTTTCCCTTTGGATGATCTATATTTACATGAAATTGAAATTACTATTTTTCAAGGATTTCACCCTTTTGTTTCCTTGGTAAATTGGATGCATTGATAGAGTGTTACCACCTTTAGGCTTGATTTGTTCACGAGCACGTTTAATTGTCTAAAGAGAGCTCACTACGTAGTGGTTTCTTATCGTTTTGAGTGAAAGTTACCAGCTTTAACCTACATCTTGTATTGAGGGATCTAAAGGTATTGAGGGAGACAATCTTCTCCACAGATTAAGACAGTTGCCAGAACACATGCAGCAACGAAACAACAGTTAGATATGAGAGTTTTCACTCATTTAACTGACAGGACGTGTAACTGGTTTGGTTGCTCTGTTGCAGTAAAAGTTAGGTCTTTTATGTGTTTTTGTTACTTTTGCAACATGAAATTTTGGTTTACTGTTATTATAAAATCATGGTGAGAAATACACGAATGTACTAACTCTTGTAGAAAGTCATGGAGGAGATGACAAAGTGAGACGAGTCCTCCTTGACAAACTCTTGCAGAGACTATATATCAATTTCTCATATCAAGCTTCTTTCCTCATCACTGCGCTTTGGTTTCAGGTATAAACTTCCTTGCTCTTGAAATCTTACTTAAAGCATGAGTATCAAATCGCATCCCTTTCCTATATATCCGCACTAAGATACGTCTCATTGCACTAACAGAGTCTCATATACTGCAGAGTCATAACCCGAGGACGACTGCCTTTGTGGCAGCCAGGAGGCTTGCTTCTACCACCAGCTTTGAGTTCTCGTTGTCAAAAGACCTTACACATCCTCTTGTCTATTCATAACATGTGACATGTCGCTGTGTCGCTGTTAAGATCTTGATTCATTTAAGTAACTAGGCAAGACTCTCAAATCCACAATCGTTTTGCAATTCAGTGGCCTTGTCTAGAGATTAGTAATCATGAGGTACGTTCTACGATCTCTCTCGTGTAAATTTTTTGCATTAGCTTCAGTAGAAAGTGCAAATCTTGAACTGATAAAGAGGAAAAAAAAGAAACTGTCCTCTGCGCTATGAGAATGGCAGGGGAAAAAGTTTTTGGCCTTTGTTAGCCTCCCTATTCATACTCCATGTCCATACCTACAACTTATATAAAGAAGTAGATGTAACCTGGATGCATGGACCATGCTTTTGCATCTAGTTTTTAGGTCACAGCAACACAATTTTATTTGAATAGGCAAACAGAATGGAAAGCAGTAGGAACTACTCAGAGATTTTAATGACAAGAGACCCTGTTTTTACTTGGTTAAATTCTCTTGTTTTGAAATTATTAGCTGCAAGGTTTACATACATATAAATAATCAAAGATATATGTAAATTTGGTCCCTCTCAAATCGTTGCCCGTCTGCATTTTAAGTATGAGTATATATGCATCAAAACGATCTCAGACGAGGAAAGAAGCTTAGATAGATTAATTGGACATAATTAAACAAGTTGGAGAGGTGGTTGGTCTTGGTCGGAGGGATTCTGATTTGGTTCGAGCAGGTTAACCGGAATATAACTCCGGTTATACTGATCCGACTGATGAGAGGATGATACGCCCGACTCGTAAACCGTCCCTTGATGTATCACACTCGATTCCTGCTGCTGTAGTCCCACTCTTTCAGTAATCTGCACAAGCATATATATAGAATTTTTCACATCAAGACATTGCGTACAAGAAAAGAAAAAAAGACAATTCGAAATGCTAATATATACAAGACCTTGGATCGGAGATACATGTTATCGTTTTGCAGCTCGATTTCCTACATGAAAACAACAAAAAAGGAAAGCGATGATTAGAGAAACAGGTAGTGTATAAAGTAGGAGTGAAGTTACTTGCTGAGGAAGATAGGTTTTTACCCTCTTTTGCATGTACTCTATCTCTGCAACTAACATCTCGTGCTGAGGAAAAACAAAAATCAAATGTAACGGGCAAGAATAATCAGATAAAGTCGTGAACACAATATATCCAAACATAGAAGTTTGATCAATGAAACTATAGTGATTAACCTTTTTGGAGCGGACGCGGCTGATGCCTTTCTCAAGCCTACTTTCGAGGTTCTTGAGTTCCTTGAGGTTCAAGGAACCAAGAGATTCACCAAGAATGTGTCTGTTCAGATTCTGAATGTCCCGAATTTGTCTCCGAAGCTTAGACGACTCTTGCTGATAGTACTTTATCAATATAATAGATGAAAGTCAGAAAATGAAAATGGATAATTGTAAAGAAGAAAGAAATAGCGAATAATTTATTGAAAAAAAGGTGAATTTTACTTCATTAATGAATGTTACCTGAGTATTAGCTTCGGTGACGGAAGGAGGATTAACGGCGTCGGAGCAAGCTTTCTTGTACCTTTCGATCGTTCCTCTCACACTTTTCATCGTACGATTTCACCCACATCCACACAAAGGAAAATATATAAACTTTAAATCATCAGCCTAATCAATTAAACCCAGAAACCTATAACATTAACAGAGATAAAATGAAATACTTTAAGATATTGATTTTAATAGTTTTTACCTTTGGATATTAAACATCCTCTGATATATTTAAGCATTTGAAACAAGAAAGTTTTTTTCCGGCTAAAAACCTTGAATTCAACGACAAAATAGAGTTACTGGACCAGTCTACTACGTACCATATGATTGGTTCTCCCTCTTTTTGGCATATTTTTGCTAAAAACCTTAAAAATTTATGTTTTTTCTATCATAGATAGGTTGATTTCATACAAGGATCAAAGTGTTAGTTTGCAATTGCACCATGTGTGATGCGTATGTGAATAATAGTTAATTTGAGGCAACCAAGAACGTGAAATTCATAAAATCCTTAGCAAAACTGAAATGTTGCGTTTTCATTTTCACCATTTAATTCACAGAAATGGTATGATGGAAAGTTGAGGTTGAAAGATATCAAAAGACAAAAAGCTTGAGGATATTTGAAATAAGAAAGAGAGTATAGACTTTAGCTACACAATTGAAAATAGAAACCTAGAAACTACAATTTTCTACATACCTAATGCATTCCTCTTTTGTTAATCAGATTAGTTGGGTATTTAACTAAAGATACTTTTATAAGTCATGTCACATACACAGTTACTAAATGTAGTTTTTTTTAGTTTAACTTTTATCCATAGGAAAAGAGTTGACTAAAAATATTAGATTATATATAACACCCTCAACTCTGTAGTATTAATTTACCCCCCAAAAAAATTCTAGAATATTTCTAAAACAATTATTATTAAGAAACAGACAAATAATCTGAACGTTGAAATGAACATGAGTTGTTAATAGCTGGAAATGTATTGAAATAGAAATGACAAGTCCCCAACTTGAGAGTGGGGAAAATAATAATCAAAAAGTCAAATTTTCTGATTAAATTGTGTTTTGCTTGATTGATGGATGATTAATTAGTGACTCAACAACAAGCTTTGTCCCGAGATATTTCTTGATTTAACAGACCAAATCACCGAAAGATTTAGAGAAGTGTCAGATAACAAACACCCTAGTTTCCCCCTAGTGTATCAATTTTTAAGGAATCTACTTAGCTTCATAGCTATACATAACATATAATATTTATATAATTTTTTTCTTTCTAGAACCCTACTTTTTCATTACTCTGATGGAAACCTAATGATCAATCTGCAGAAATAAACCTGATGGGTCATCATACTGATCGAATTGTCTTGTAGAAATTGACATACATAGATACATATAGATGCTGTTTTAAGGATTTAATAGAAGAAGAAAAAAAAGTGATCCTGGAACAAGGTATGGTGATGCTTATTAATTTATCAAGAAGACCTCACAGCTTCGTAAAAAAAAAAGAACTCACAGCTTTTCACAGAGAGAGAAGAAAAGAGATTAGGATTTCCCCCAAAACAAAACTAGGGTTCCGAGTTTTAGCAAACCCTAATTTTGGTACACATATATAAGTTAGAGCTTTCCAATAGAGAATTGAGCCTCAGAGAAATTTACCCACTGAGAGAAAAACCATAAAACTGATGCAAATTAAATCCGTAATAAACAAAAAAAAAAATCAAAATTTTATTGCCAAAAAAAAAAGAAAGAAAAGAAAATCAAGATCTTAAGAAGTGAGAATAGTTGTTTCTTCTTCTTACCTGTTGTTGGCGTACTCGTAGAGACGACCTCGTGTGGAGAAGATGACAAGAGCAACCTCAGCATCACACAAGACAGAGAGCTCATAAGCTTTCTTGAGCAAACCATTGCGTCGTTTGCAGAAAGTGACTTGGCGATTCGTAGTGTTCTCTATCCTCTTTATCTCTATCTTCCCTCTCCCTATCTTCTTGCTGCTCTCTGCTACTTCATTACTCGCACCACCCTCCATTTATATAAACCCTGTAAAGTATAAACGAACCAAACATAATCAAACACTACACACACGACAGAGAGCTAGAGATCAAAATCTTTTTGCACTCAAACTACTATAGCTACTATTCAAGTTTCTGAGATTTCAATGGAGAAAAAGAAGAGCCTTTGATTAAAAGAAATGGGTTTTTTAGTGATTAAATGAAAGAACAACCCTAAATTTGGTCACTCCAAGATTCAAGGATTGAATGAAGAAAAAGGAAGAAGAACCTTTGGTTACAAACTTGGATTTCAGTTCTATTCAGTGCATAGTACTAATAACTATACCTGGGTTTGCAAGATTATGATTAGAAAGAAAAAGAAGGAGAAGCAAGAAGAGAAGATAAAATCTAAGAGAATTAATTTTGTTCTTGCCTAAAAATACTATTCTTATTAACTCAGTACCAATTAACTGCTGCTTCCTACTTTATTTTGTTTTGATTCCTTTTTTTGGTTTACATTTTCTTTTAGAGGAATATATCTTTGGAAGTATTTAAAAATCCACTTGCAGAAAACAGAAGGTTTGGTGGTTTTTTTCAAACTGAAATGTTATAGAGGAAAAAGAAAGAAAGAAAATGGACCATTAGTCTAACATTTTCCCAAAGATCTCATACCCAGTTCTTTTAATTCCCTATGTGTACATTTAGATTGAAATTTGAAATTGATGGGAATTAAGAGGTAGAAAATATCAAAATGGAAAAGAAAAAAAAAAGAAGAAGAAGAAGAGAGTTGGGTTTGGATTGGGTGGGAGAGCATTGAAGGAGGACCATCCAATTTTTCTTTCATGTTTCGGGGAAAAAAGAGAGGTATGGGCTCTGTTTCTCATCAGAATCAACTTTTCGAAATTCTCCTTTTCTGGTAATACTCCTTTTTTTTCTTCTTTTCTTTTTATTGCCCTACTCCTATATATCGATCGTTAATATTAATAACCTGGAATTATTATTATTATTATTATTTTTAAATAATCATATATTCCAATTAAACCAGTATCCAACTGACATGATATATGGTAAGAATTTGCGTATTTAATGGTGTTATATTAAGCGTTTAGAACTTATCAACTGCCAAGCGATCCAAAGAATGAGATTTCATGGTTAAATATTTTTTTATGAATTTTTGAAAGTTTTAACCATTTAGATGTTAAAAGATGATTTACATTCAAGCTAAACAAAAAATTCATGACAGAGCAGTGTTTTTAATACCCAAAAAAAGTTGTGAATTCAACGCGAACACACAAAAGAACAATAATTACCAATGCTATAAAAATTGCTTGATAAAAATGGGTACATAGATTAATTGATTTCGTCTTTCCAAAATCTTATGTCTTCCTGGACACTAGGTCAGTGACGTCCAACGGCATCGTGATTATTGAGGATTTTGATTTTATATCATTATATTATATGTAACTAATTGAGCAAGAGATGCTGGTTAAAAAAAAAAAACTTAAGCAAGAAATGACCTCATATATACGACAATATAATTATGGAAGATGAAACTAATCAAGTAAATGAGAGCCCACGGAGGATGACTAATCGTTTGCAGAGTCATTATCCATAAACCCCTTTCATAGATTTGCATTAATTAATTTTAGTGACGAGAGGAAAGTCTTTTGAGTTTTGCCCATACCCCCCATCATTTCCATTGTACTTACTTCTATTTTAATTTTCTTCACGAGCAACACCATATAACATACACAAATATGTCAATTTTTTTGCTTAAAATTGTGCAAAATCATTTCAAGAAGGAACTGGAGAGTTGGTAGGGCTTTGATCGACTTCATTCCGTGGCATATTTTGTTAATATACTTTGAAATCTGAATGTTCTGGATATCTTGTTATCTTTGTTGAGACTTAGCGTGAAATAATGTAATATCATAATGGATGTTAATTAAATTTACTAGCTCAGTCTTTATCATATAATATACTATATGTGTTATGTGAAAGAAAGAGAGATTATGTAAGAAATAAGTCTATATAATTGTTACTTTTATATATAATTGTTAATTTTGCTAGCCCAGTGACAAAAATATAATCTTCATCAAATAGAATATCACTGAAGAACTTTAATTTTATGAAAATCAGTATATAGACGGATAAGAAAACAGAAATGATATAAAGACCTTTACAGGTGAATAACAATTCACAATCTCGCAGACCAAATATCACAATCAAACTGTGTAATACGTCCAATTTCATTAATTAATGCATAAGTTCTTGAAGACTAACTGACTCTTGTGAAGTAAGAAAAGAATCTTATTTAAGTAAAAAATAATATCCCGCATATAATTCATAGGAAGTTATACTAAAACCAAGACTCTAGATTTCCCTTCATCTGATTTTTTTCTCCTATGCAAATACAGAAGAAACAGGTTCATGAAACGTATCAAAGGGTTGCATGTAGATTCTTTACCTGACTTGTGACCTTAACTCACACAAAGATTCTTGTTTGAAGAAACTCAATCTTAATGTTGTGTATATATCAAACGACATAGTGCTAAAGAAGTTTGTTCAGAGAGATCAACAAGAAGACAATTTCTGTTGAAAGAGAAGACTGAATAAAGACTTTAAAAAATGGGTGTCATCATTGTGATTGCAAAACGTTTTGATGCTCTAATTGGGTAAGTTTTGATGTCTCATAAGATGTTTAAAAAAAAAAAAAAAAATCCAGACATTTTCATTTTTTTAACATCTTCAGTTCTTGGTGCATACAGGCCTGGAGTTATGCTTCTCTATCCTCTGTAAGTGAAGTCAAATTTAAACTTTTTATTATGTGGTTTAAATATATTTAAATGAATATTAGTTAAAAGAAATGGAATGAATGAGTAGGTATGCATCGTTACGAGCAATTGAGAGTCCAACGATGTTGGATGATCAGCAATGGCTTACATATTGGATCATTTACTCCTTCATGACAATATTTGAGCTATCCGTTTGGAGAATCCTTGTCTGGTAATAATAGTATTACTCTCACTAAATTCTGTCACGAGTTCATACATATATAAAATTATTATGATATTAAGACTAAAAAATATTTGTCTTTTTTTGCATTTTTTGCAGGTTACCATTTTGGCCATACTTGAAGCTTTTGTTCTGTATGTGGTTGGTATTACCAATGTTCAGTGGTGCGGCTTACATTTACTCAAATTTTGTGAGAAAATACGTTCAAATCGGAATGAATGTTGGAGGAGGAACGAATTATACAGATGAACAAAGAAGAGTTTTACAGATGATGAGTCTTGATGCTAGGAAATCTGTTCAAGATTATGTTGACCGGTTTGGATGGGATTCGGTTGAGAAAGCAATCAAAGCGGTATTGTATTTTCTCGTCAATCTTTTATATTATTCCATGCATGTATTTGGGATTTTAACCCAACTTTATTCTGTCTTCTTTGTGTTTGATTGTAGGCTGAAAGAGAAACAAAGAAACATTGAGATGGAAATTTAAGAATCAAGAAACATTACTCTTCGTTTTCTTGTTTTCGAAAGTGTTTTTATATATATGTGTATAAATTGTATAGAGCAAAAGTAAATACGATTGAACTGTTGGTAATTCGTGTGTGTTCTTTAAGAGCAAAGATACTTAGAGAAGCCACCATATCTTTCAAAAAACAAAAATTGGATTCAATTTGGATGGCCCTCAATTTGATTAAACAAACATCAGGAAACGATTCGAATTAAAATGAGAATACAACACTCTTTGATAAAATAAAAATTTCTCAGACTAGCAAGCCATGACCCAAATTAATCGAGAAGGACAACGCTCCTCTTAATAAAATAGACGTCCTAAAAATTTCATGCAAACAAAATTCACTGCTAGCATTTCACTTTGACTGATGAATTATATTTTTTAACCCTTAATTTAAAAATATTGGTCTGGAGAAAGAAAAAAAGTTCTTTAAAACCGGTAATTGAACCAGGTGAACTCAAATGATGCTTAAAAGAAAGCAGATTACGTTATAAATTCGAGCATTATTAAGACCTTTTTAAATCCTCGGTCGGAAAAACTATAGTTCATAAAGTAACTTCTTTGTCTAAATTTTTGAGAAGAGACTCCACTATTAAAAGAAAAACCTCACACGAGTAACTTTTTTTCTTCCACCATAGCTGTTGTTAACCTTTTTTGTTGTCTATGACTTATGTAAAAGAACACATCGTTTCATAATCGATCTTTGACTTGACGTTAAAAAACTCAAAAGATCCGTGATTATTAGCCCCGAAGCCTTTAGGCCACACACGAAGAAATATATGCGACGAATAAGATGTTTTTATTTCCCATATTATATGGATTGATTGATATATTTAGAGATGTAAAAAAAAAGGAAATATTTTTGAGATTCGACGACATCTCTTCGTCCTATTATTTACTGGTAAATAATTATTAGTGGGCAAAAGTTAATAATTTGACAAAAATCCCTCTTCCTCATAGATTCAAGCGCATACTCTCTTTTGACCAATCTAGGGTTTCTGGTTACTTCTAGCTTCTCTTAAACCTGTCTCACTTGTCAGCAGCCTCTTCCTCTTCCGCTGTCGCCAAAGATTGAGGTATCTTATCGTTTCTGCGATTTTCCGACAAAACACGTTTGGTTTCCCTCTGTTTGTTGTCCTGTTTTGCCTTTCCTTTATCTGGAATTTCTAACAGATCTTTCACGGGATTTCTATCTTTTCGAATTCGTACGCCCATGAATCATTCGTAGATGATGTCCAATTTAGTTGTTGAGCTGTTGAGAAAACAATTCACATTGATGAAAGTTCAAAAGTTTTTTTTTGCATCTCACATATCCACTTTACTCTGGAGCAATTCGCTTGCATCTGCCATGCACTCTGTTCTTTATTTGGGTTTAGTTTTCTCTGTGTGTTTTTCAACTTAATTGATGTGTACGAATGATTTTGTGTGAATCAGTTCTCTTCCTGATATGAATCTCGTTACATATGACTAAATTTAGTGGCTGTATTATGAAAAATTTGAACTTTGATAAGGTTAAGTATGATTTCAATTTTTAAAGCTCTTAAACGAACTCCCTGTTAAGTAGAACTTATTGAATTTGAGTAGATGTTTATGGTATTTGGCCAGCTGGTTGTGTGATTATTGTTCTGTTTGGGTATGACGAGATAAAAACATCAACTTTCCCTCTTTTGTCAATCAGTTCTGTCTTCACCGGATAGTTAAGACGCCAAAATTGCGGAAGAGATAACTTTATTCTGAAAAAAATGGAGACGAAGAATGACAAGTCTAATGATGCTACAAGGGCCGAGGAGATGAAAAATCAGGCCAACGACGCTTTTAAAGGTGTGTCTTTTTTGTTAACGTTAACATAATCTAGTGAAATCAGTATTGATTTAGGGAATAGCTCACTAAATATTGTTACTTGCTTACAGATCACAAATACTCCCATGCTATTGATCTATATACACAGGCTATTGAACTCAATGGCAATAACGCTGTGTATTGGGCAAACCGTGCATTTGCTCACACAAAACTGGAGGAATATGGCAGTGCAATACAGGATGCATCAAAAGCCATTGAAATTGATTCAAAATACTCTAAGGTATCATTCTGTGACAAGATGTTGCCTTTTATTCTTCCCAGGTGTATTCAGCCTTATTCGCTGATTATCTACTGAATCACAGGGCTATTACAGGCGGGGTGCTGCGTATCTTGCCATGGGAAAATTTAAGGATGCTTTGAAGGATTTCCAACAGGTTGAGCATAGTGCCATTTAAGTTCTTGTTTGTTACCTCGTACTTTTTGAATGAGGGAGTCAGGCTCATATCATAATACTAAGTAGGAAATGCTCTGGGCGTCTAGCTTGAACGCACCCAAAAGGTCATAACTTGACGCATTGATCTGATTAAGTGATAAGATCCTGGAATTTTGATAGTAATGTGAGCAAATCCAGTTTGGTATCGGTTTAGAGAAATCTGTGTGTACGGTATTGCTGACATGGTCTGCTATTTATATTTTAGGTGAAAAGGATTTCTCCTAATGACCCAGATGCTACAAGAAAGCTAAGAGAATGTGAAAAAGCAGTGATGAAACTGAAATTTGAAGAAGCAATCTCTGTACCTGCTTCTGAAAGGCGCTCAGTGGCTGAGTCCGTGGACTTCCACACAATAGGTATACTCCATCTGCTTGCTTATCTTGCCGTTGTCTTATAGCTTGCAGTTTGCTCTGTCACCCCTGGCTCTTTCTTCTCTCGTTATGACATGCCTTTGATTTAGTAGTTGACAAAATGGTTGAGTGTAGCTTTAGACTAGTAATCATTCTTCTACCTATTGTCACATAATAGGGAACAAACCCAGATCATCGCCCATGCCCACCAAAACGGCTTTAGCAGCAGTTGTTGCAGCAGTAATGGTGGTGGCTGTCCGGGGATTTGCCACAACTGAGATACTCATGGTGTTGGTTTCGGTGGTATTAGGGACATATTGGTGGGGTAGCTTCAGTGGTAGTAGTGTCTTTTCTCTGGTTAAATCCTCATCCTAGGATCAATGTGGATCATTATCATGCATATCGAAGCATGGATGTGTTTCCTTTCGTGGATACTCAGTTGAGAACTGAATTGTTCAATGATATTGATCAAAACCATCTCCATAGGAGTGGAACATTTCGTAGATTTTCTCCTTTTAAAAAAAAAAAGAAACTGCCATAGCTCTTCTGCTACATTGTAACTATTAGCAATAAAAGGTGTCCATGGCTCTTAGTTTTTAACATTCTTTGACACTGGTGCTCATTGTTATAGAGGTTTTAGCCCCTCTTCAATTTACTGATGTTCTTTTTTTTTTCGATTTCATTGTAGAGGTTGAGCCACAATATTCTGGTGCTAGAATTGAGGGAGAGGAAATTACCTTGGATTTTGTGATACAGATGATGGAGGATTTCAAGAACCAAAAAACATTGCATAAACGGTTCGTTTTCTTTTTTGTGGTCTTAAACTTAGTTAACACAGTGATCATCTGGTAATGCGTTGCTGCCATAATATTTGTAGGTATGCATATCAAATCGTCTTACAAACAAGGAAAATCTTGCTAGCACTTCCTTCTCTTGTTGATATTAATGTACCTAATGGCAAGCATTTTACGGTCTGTGGTGATGTTCATGGTCAGGTAGGATTTGGTTTCACTCACTTTCCTCGCATTACTTTTTATCTCAAGTAATTCTGAGAGGCTTGAGTTTTTTTTTCTTTATACATGCTTGAGGTTGCAATAAACCTTGCACATACTAACCGAGTCCCTAGCTATATCTATGAAACTAGATTTTACTTTATCTTGGTTTGTTGGCTAGCCTTCTGCTCCCTTTTACACCAGCTAGTGCTGTGTAGTGTGCTCTATTGGGTGTGTTTGACACTTTGGTTTATTTTTGCAGTTCTATGACCTCATGAATATCTTTGAGCTTAATGGTGTTCCGTCTGAGGAGAATCCTTATCTTTTCAATGGCGACTTTGTGGACAGAGGCTCTTTCTCTGTTGAAATCATCCTCACATTGTTTGCTTTCAAGTGCATGTGTCCATCATGTAAGCTCTCTAATTCCTCTGAACCCTTGCTGTAATGCTTCTTTGATGTTCAACTTAAGAATCATTTTTAGAGCAGATGATTAATATAATACACTTTGTTTATGGGTTAAAAATTTCCAGTTCAATTGCAAATTGCTGTTTACCCATAATTAATTTTTTTAATTTGCAGCCATATATCTAGCGAGAGGAAATCATGAAAGCAAGAGTATGAACAAAATATATGGCTTTGAGGGTGAGGTTCGATCCAAGCTGAGTGAAAAATTCGTGGATCTCTTTGCTGAAGTTTTCTGCTACCTACCGCTGGCTCATGTTATCAATGGGAAGGTGTTTGTGGTGCATGGAGGTCTCTTCAGTGTTGATGGCGTGAAACTATCCGATATCAAAGCCATTGACCGGTTCTGTGAGCCTCCCGAAGAAGGTATGTTTCATCATACAAATCTGTTGTATGATTGCTTCTGTCTAATCTGGGTAATGGTTTTTTTCAGGATTGATGTGTGAACTGTTGTGGAGTGATCCTCAACCTATCCCTGGAAGAGGCCCAAGCAAGCGAGGAGTTGGTCTATCATTTGGTGGAGATGTTACGAAGAGATTTTTGGAAGACAACAACCTAGGTTAGTGTATTTTGACTTGTCTGATCTAAGATTCTCATTTGATTCTTTTTAGATGGCTATTGGCTAACGTTTGTGAATCTGGCAGATTTGGTAGTCCGATCACATGAAGTCAAAGATGAAGGTTATGAAGTTGATCATGATGGTAAACTCATCACTGTGTTCTCTGCACCAAATTACTGTGATCAGGTAACTCTAAAAACTCTCTGTTTAATTTTGAAACCGCACTAAATTACTTTATTCTTACTTATATGAAAAATATTATTGCAGATGGGTAACAAGGGAGCTTTCATTCGCTTTGAAGCTCCAGATATGAAGCCAAACATTGTTACATTTTCAGCAGTGGTGAGTGTCATATAGCTTTTGCCTCTGGTATATGGTTAAATTCATTTTGAAAACTCTTCTAATTTTATGATATTGTTATTTCACAGCCTCACCCGGATGTGAAGCCAATGGCATATGCAAACAATTTTCTAAGGATGTTCAACTAACTAAGCAAAAAGCTTCTTCAACTCAAATGCTAGTCTAAAGACTCAAAGACCAAATGTGTTTTCAGAAACATAATGATATAAATTTTTTTTTACCCTTGTCTTATGCAGTTTTTCATGTTGTTCCAAAAAAAGGGAACGATAGTATAGTATCCGGATTTAATCGGTTTTCTTCATTTTGATAAAGATGTTACCTCTTCCTCTAAAGCTGATCCAGTAACTTTTGTCTATTTTGTCTTATGTTGTGAGACGGGTAATGAATCATTCTTATTTTTAGATGAAAATCTTGTGATTACACAACAGAAGCGTGACCAAATGACCCCCCCAAAACTCTCTGTACAAACATGTTTTCTTGAATCAAAAATGAAAAATCAAAGGGTGGTTTCTTAAAGCTTCTTGTCTGCTTCTTAAAACCTTTAGATTCTTTTTTAAATAGGATGTGATTCACATATTCAGACATACAATAGATAAAAGACAAAAGTCAGTGTATAGTTCTTCCAACAGTTTTTCTCATGTAGAATTCAGTTTTTCTCATGTAGAATTCAGTTTTTCCCTTCTCTTATTTGAGTGAGTACAAACCGTGAGCTGTTAAATACACAGTCGAAAGAAAAAGCTATTAATACTATTGTTTTCCACTCCCCACATGAGCTGTTTTAGATCAAAATAGCTGTGTAAGAAGATACCTGCAGATTCTCAATAGATCTCTCCATGAATTTTGCAGAGAATTTGGCAAAAGATGGCCTTTGTTTATCAATCAACTGCTACTGAATCACAGAAATATAAGCCCTGTTTTGTAGATAAACATATCATCAGGTGATCCGAGGATATATCATCCAATGTGCATACTGTTAACTATATGATTTGTTTGATATATCTATGCATGTCTATACGTAGGAAAATGTGGAGAAAGCAAAAGGAGATGGAATTGGAAGTGGTGTCAAATCGTAAAGCACTTTTATAAGGAGTGAGAGATCCAGAAAGCATTACGTGGATTAAATAATACAGTAACAAAAAAAAGTAGATACTTTTTTTTTCTGTTTTCATGGTGCTTAGCAAAATTTGACAAGTTTAAGAAGGGAAGAAGAAATCTGGAAGATGTGTTTGAGTAATATGATTTTGTTCGATTTTTAAAATTCTTCTACTAATTCTAGGATAAAATTTATAACCGTTGGATCATCTCTTTGTAGGCCATATGTGTTTAGATCCGTACGGTACATAGTTGGGGTTCTGATTTAACCACTCCAGTGAGTCAAGGCTACGATTAGATCCTTCACTACATATAACACATACATGTACGTTTCTTCAAAAACATCTGCTACATTATTGGCAAGTGTAGTACAAATCACTTAACGTTTAAAATTTTGACATTTTCTTTTCTTCTCACAAATATATGTTTATTTATCTTAATTAGTGTAATTTTCTGAGATTTTTTTTTTGTGTGCTACGAAGAAATTACTTTATGTTTTATCAATTTAATTACAATAATCGAAATCTTTCTGCATCAAATTTACAACCCTTTTTAATTAGCTTGCGCTCTAAGAAACATTATATATCAATAAGTAGAGTAAACATAAACTGAAAATCCAAAGGTTTAACAAAAACATATTGCCACTGAAAAAAAAAAAACAAATTTATGTGGCTGTTAAAGGTTGTTCCCTATGCTTTGAATTAAGATACAAGATACACGTATGGAGTATCTATGATTCTGTTTGGGTCAAAATTCAAACTATGGATGATAAAATCTCAGAGAAATTTAGAAAGAAAGAAAAAAAGACTTGAATAATTGAAGACAGTAAATAGAGAGACATACTATGCCCACCACTTTTCAAGAGCCTTTCCTTATTAGTTTTTCTCATTAAATAAATATCTAAACAGAAAGAAAAATGATTTGAAATACCTGATAGATAAAATTCAAACTGTTGAGTGAACAGTCAAGAAAACTATTGTGAGTAATATTTGTGACAGTGTGGACTAATAGCTACACATTGTGATTGTCATGTGGTGTATTGCCTTTTGAACCAACCATCAAATTCCTCCTACATAAAAAATTTACTAAGAATTTGTAATTTTTAACACGCTCTCTGAAAATGTTGCCTAGTCATTCATATCGACATAATCTCGTTAAGGGATCATATTCCGAGATGGATCATTTTGGACCTATTCTGGATCGAATCAAGTTGGTTATAATTTATTAGGACGTGTGTTCTTGATACCTTGTCAATTTGTGTGAGTTTTTAACTCAAAAACCATCGGTAGTGAATGGATCATCCCATGTTTCTCATATATTATTTTTAGTCTCATCTTATTTCTAATGTGTTGTTTCTAACAAAAACCCAAAAAAATTTGATTTACAGTAGACATGATTCATACAAAATCGCTTTCTTTACACACTCGTCTAAGCAGACCATTGATAAATATCACATGGGTGGAAACTAATACATATAGACAGGGACACAACACAGGAAAGCCGCTCCACATAACCTGAGAGATTCGAGGAGCTAATGTATTCACAAGATTAATACCAACAAGACAAGTCATTCAAAATTTGTTCAAACAAAGGTGCTTGAATAAAGAAGAAACATGTGTCTATGGCCTTACAAAACCATCAAGTACTCTTTTAATTTGTGTCTTCTCTTTCTCTTCCCAATCTCATGTGTTGAGTCCCTACCTCTTTGTCTCTCACTACCCCACACGTGTCACTCTCAATCACTTCCACTTATAATTGCATCTCACACACACTCAAAGCCTATTCCGTATTATTTACTAGCTTTCTTTGAAGTCTTCACTCTTTTATCATACCTTGTTTAGATTCTGATTGTTCACGTGTCTCTGTCTTGTCTTGTCCCCAAATCCTTAAACTCGTCACTTAAACTCATAGAAAGCTTGAACCTTTTTACTAAGTTTCTCTTTAAGGTTTTTTACTCATCGATCATGATCTAATGCTCTTTCTTCTCAAAGATCCTAATTAACGTCACATTTCTCAACTTTTCTATTCTTTGGAGAAAGAAACTAATGAAAAAAAAAAAAAATCTTTTATGAATTCTCAGTATAATATCAAGAAGAAGGAACACACTCTCTTTCCTTTTCTCTCTCTTACACCACCAAATCCATGACGATGAAGAGAGCTTTATCGTCTCCTTCCTCACTGCTCTTCCATCTCCTGATAACTCCTCTTTTTCTCTGTCAAGCAAACAGAGTCCCTGTCACAATGCCTCCATCTGAGTCAGAGACTCTCTTCACAATCATGGAATCAATGTCATCTGATCAACAATGGCGTCACTCCCACCCAAACCCTTGCGCACCTGGCTCGTCTTGGCCAGGCATTGAGTGCAAAACCGGTCCAGACCACTTGCCTCACGTCTCTCGACTCGATTTCGGCTCTGCTCCAAACCCTTCTTGTAAATCCTCTGCTTCTTTCCCACACTTAATCTTCTCTCTCCCTTTTCTCCAATCAGTCTTCTTCTTCAACTGCTTCACTCACTTCCCAACCACAATCGTCTTCCCCATTAAGCTCCTCCCTAACTCCTCCCTTCAACAGCTTAGCCTCAGATCAAACCCTTCTCTCTCAGGTCAAATCCCTCCTCGAATTTCATCTCTCAAATCCTTACAAATCCTCACTCTCTCACAGAACCGATTAACCGGAGGAATCCCGCCGGCGATTTTCTCGTTGAAAAGCCTCGTACACCTCGATCTAAGCTACAACAAACTCACAGGTAAAATCCCTCTGCAGCTAGGGAATCTCAATAACCTCGTTGGCTTAGATTTGAGCTACAATACGTTAACGGGCACCATCCCTCCCACGATTTCGCAACTGGGTTTGCTTCAAAAACTCGATCTGAGCTCGAATTCTCTCGTCGGAGGAATCCCAGAAGGAGTAGAAAAGCTCCGATCTTTATCTTTCATGGCGTTAAGCAACAACAAACTAAAAGGTGCTTTTCCAAAAGGAATCTCGAAACTCCAGAGCTTGCAGTACTTCATAATGGACAATAACCCTATGTTCATACCTCTCCCCGTTGATTTAGGGTTTCTCCCTAAGCTTCAAGAGCTCCAGCTCGAGAATTCTGGATATTCCGGCGTAATCCCTGAGAGTTACACCAAACTGATGAACCTGAGCTCGCTGTCACTCGCTAACAACAGATTAACCGGAGAAATCCCTTCCGGGTTTGGCTCTCTGCCTCACGTTTTCCATCTGAATATCAGCAGGAATTTGCTGATCGGCGTCGTGCCGTTCGATTCGAGTTTCCTGAGACGGTTGGGTAAGAATTTGGATTTGAGCGGGAACAGAGGATTGTGTCTGAATCCCGAGGATGAGTTCAGCGTCGTTAAAACCGGAGTCGATGTCTGTGGGAAGAATGTTACAGGTGGTGGTGGACCCAGACCGTTGCCATCGAGGAAGAAATCTCAAGCCTCTCCATGTCGATGTTACGGATCTTGTTTCTTCTCCAATGCTCTGTTTCAGTTTGCTCTGTTTCTTGGTTTACATCATCGATTGGTTCTCTGAGTTGGGGATAAACCAAAAGAAATGTAGAATTAAATATTTTATCCCTAAAAAAGAGAGAAGATTTGTGTTTGTTCCCAAAGTAGACGATGATTTCAAGGGAAGTTATTTAATAATCGATTTTGGTGTGTACTAGTTTCCTATTAAAGCAATGTAGTTCATGTTGTTTTTAGTTTAATAATACTCGTAATTTTTTGGATTATTATATGATTGTTGAGTCATTATGGGTCTAGGTGTAAATATGGGTCCTGAACAACTTCTTAGCCGTGTGTATGAATGTGTGTGTATACAAAAGGAAAATAACAGATGAAACGACGTTTTTGTTTTCTACTGGATAGTAAATATTTTATTCTGGAAATTTGTTATAAATAACATCTTTTCTTGTGAAAGAAATAACATAAGTATTTGAGAAAATTTAAAATATAGGACGTATATTTTAATACTAGAAAGAGTGTAATGAACAAGAAAAATAAGGGAGCAGTTTGGACAAAGAGTGTGAAGTTATCTGATAAAACGACACAACCTGATTCAGTCTGACCATACAATAAAATTGAAGAGTTACAAGATATTGATTTATGGAAAATGATGTCAAATTTCAGGAGAAATTGTGCTTAACTCTGTAAGTATGATTTTTTAATGCGAAATTGGTTCATTGGTCACTAATGATCACTAACATATACTATATACAATAGAATATAAATAGTTTTTTCCTGTTTCAATTATACAAGTATTCAAAAATACTTGCATACGTTGTTTAACTTTTCGATAATTTTGGACAAGTGAATTTAATTTTATATACATCGGCTTTGATTACGTCAAACATTCAAAGTTACTAACATTGTATGACACATGTTTTTGGTTCGACTATTAACGCATATGAGAATTTCGCATATTTGCAAAGAATCAACTCTAGATGTGTAAACAATGTTATGTAACAATTAAATGCGAGTAGACGTCATGCTCTCAAATGATCGTGTCTAACTAAAATAAAAACAAATATGATCCACTAGTATAAACAAATTTTGGTCTATAATCCTCTTCCACCTTTTGTTTATCGTACAAATCTTGCGGATGTGATATGACTAAGGAGAGGTTAAAATATATTTAAACAATATACAACCGAAAGCACCATAAATGGGAGAAAATTATTTTATAAAATAATAATTTGTCAGTCATCTGTCTAAATCCAACTACTCTTTCTCATGCTTTCTTCCTGCAAGAATGGCCTTTCCTTTGCCGCTCTCACACATTTCTCCTTTTGTTATTTTTTGAGAAAACTCCATTAATGTGAAAAACCTCTCTTTTTATACTATATATTAGTAAAATCTATTTTCACGTACTTTCTTGCTGTTTATTTTATTGATCTCTGATTTTATCAATTATTATAGCCTTAGTTGATGGGAATTGTGTTATTGTAAAGATAAACAAATTTATCTCCTAGATGTGTAAAACATAAAAATTATGCATGAAAGATGTCATAGTAAGAAGTAAGAACCGCTGCAATTTATCTTTTAATCAGGAATGATAATTGATATGAATTTTGATATCGCATATAGTATTAAAAATAGATTCTTCATTAGTTTTTCTGAGTGGTCGATTAGATCCTTCATTAGTTGAAAACGGAAGGATTGAAAGAAATATATATCTATCACTCTCATATTCAGAGCCTCACGTGGGGGAACTTAGAATTCCAAAATTAGGTACGAGTGAAACTATACGGCAGGCCGCTTTTAACATCTTATTTATTAGACCTATCACTCTCAATCTCATATTCTTCTTTTCTTTTTTAAAACGTCATTAGACCTATTCTCCACATATATAAGAGTATAAGACTAATAACGCAATACACGACCATAATAAAGGAATAAATTATAAACGTTAATTCCCATGTATACGATAACTACACTTTGGTTTTCTGGTTAACTTTGAAAAGACTCATCCTTAAAATCGTAGATAATTCATCATGCAGGTCGAGATTATATTTTTATTTTTTTGGTAAAAAGGTCGAGATTATAGTTGACAAAAAAAAAAAAAGGTCGAGATTATAATTAACCATGACTGAAATGACTGTGACTATCATATACACTTCAACTGAAAAAAATTACAGAATTTTTGCCATACGTTTTGAAAAAGTAGTCTAATTTTGGTCTATAATTTATCAGATTATAAGATTAAATCATAATTCGAAACGAAAATGTTGGTTTCTTCGAAGGTAATGAGTGAAGCCAAGAAAAATAAAGCGAACGAAAATGGTCGTCCTATAGAGAAAAAAACTAAACACTACTGTTGGGTCGAAAGATGCATATCCGGAGGCCCATATTTAAAACTCGGCCCATTAAATACATTTCCTGGCAATCACACTGGATTACATTTAGCAAATCGAGGAAAGCATTCAACTACTACTCGTTGTTGAAGCGTCTGAGACGACGCGCATGGAACAAAAAAACACGTGTCACATTTCCATGGCGAGTATACTCTACTCTCGTATCACCTAGAGAAGGTTATATCAGATGGGAAACTGGATATGTAGGTCCCATGTAACTCTATAAAACAAGATAATCACCGTTGATCCAAAGATGGGTCCCAGTCAGAGTTCCGCAAGGCTAGTACTCTCTTGCGCTTTTCTACCGTTGATATCAGGCTATCCGTTGGATATCAAACACGTGTATATGCTAGATCGATACTCCTGCCCGCAGGGGATAGAAACGCGCGTTTCATAACTAAGAGTGACTCATCATAATAGCTTTTGCTCGCTTTCTTCTCCAATCTTTGAATTCTGATTTTGCTGGTGTTGAAAATGGAGATACCGGAGAAAGCTAGAGCTCGATTGGGTGTTCTCTCGGCGCATTTTTCGGCAAATGATCCTGTCGAATCAGTACAGGGATCTCCGGCGATCGAGCGATGTTACACGTTGTCTAATATCAGTCCCCTGAAGGGAGCCCTGACGGTCGTCGACGACCGCACCGAAAAGAAATATCAGGTCCCGGTCTCAGCTGATGGCACCGTTAAAGCTGTTGATTTCAAGAAGGTATCTTTCTCTAATTCTGATTGGAAAGTTGGAGAATTTTGTTAATATTGTTTGTGATCTTGTTTTGCCTGTAATATGGTGAATTATGTGTATATAGCTTATAAACGGGGATCTATGTTGTGTCTGAACTGCAGATAACGACGGGGAAGGAAGACAAGGGGATTAAACTATACGATCCTGGTTACTTGAACACGGCTCCTGTTCGGTCCTCGATTTCTTACATCGACGGAGATGAAGGGATCCTCCGTTATCGAGGGTACCCAATAGAGGAAGTGGCTGAGAGCAGCACTTTTCTGGAGGTTGCGTATCTTCTCTGTAAGTATTGGATCGGTGCTTCATTGCCCATTTCGGACAAACTGAGTTTCTGATCATCTCACGGATAGTGATTTTGTCGGTTTGGTTTGTTGATAGGATCGAACCGAACATTTGAGTTCTTAGTTCTAATATATTTATTTTTCTGGCAGTGTATGGGAATCTGCCCTCTGAAAGTCAGCTATCTGATTGGGAGTTTGCAGTTTCTCAGCATTCAGCTGTGCCACAAGGAGTATTAGTGAGTCTCTAGTCCCTTTTATATAGTTTTTTTCTCATGTGAATTTTAATTCTGAGACGATGTATAAAATGACAATCGTAAACCAAAACAGAACTGATGAATTATTTTTTCTAACCTATGATTGTCTGGTCCATCATTGATTCTCAATACATTCTATGCATGTCGTTCTAACTGTGCATTATTGGAAGCTATTTTAAACGGAGTTACTTGATAAATTGTGTGCAGGATATTATACAGGCTATGCCTCACGATGCACACCCAATGGGAGTTCTTGTAAGTGCAATGAGTGCCCTCTCCATCTTTCATCCTGATGCTAATCCTGCTCTAAGGGTAAGTTTGGATTACTCTCTTTCTCTAATAACATGTTTTACTCACACCAGTGTTAAGAACTAGTTATTCTTTTGAAATTGTCCACATTAACATGTTAACAAAAATAGTCTATTGGGTGCAGGGCCAGGACATTTACAATTCAAAACAAGTTAGAGATAAACAAATTATTCGCATTATTGGAAAGGTATATCTTTTGTTTCTTCCTGTGATCATTCTTAGACATGCAAAAATGTAATATTTGGACTCTGAATTTCCTGCAGGCACCAACTATTGCAGCTGCTGCTTATTTGAGGATGGCAGGGAGGCCTCCCGTTCTTCCTTCGGGAAACCTTTCTTATGCAGAAAATTTCCTCTATATGCTGGATTCCCTGTATGTCTCTACTATCTTCTTATTTGAATTAATTAGAAACTCAATTTTTAGATTCATTTTTAATTGATCTCTTAAGAGTCCATGTACTAGAAGGGAACCTTAGTATTTAGACTGTTCATAACTTGTTAGCTTGCCGTTAACACGTTTATCTTTTCCTTCTCACAGGGGAAACCGATCCTACAAACCTAATCCTCGTCTGGCTCGTGTGTTGGACATCCTCTTCATACTGCATGCTGAGCATGAAATGAACTGCTCCACCGCTGCTGCTCGGCATCTTGCCTCTAGGTACATTTCTTTGGTTTGAATCTTAGTCACCTTGATAAGAGATATATTGATTAAGAAATGTCTTCTTGTAGTGGTGTTGATGTGTACACTGCTGTTTCTGGAGCTGTGGGGGCGCTTTATGGTCCTCTTCATGGTGGTGCGAACGAGGTATGCTCCTTATTCTCCTGTTTTTATACGTTCCTGCATGTTCAATGGTCTCTGAAATTCTTGTCTTTGATTCTATTAGGCTGTGCTTAAAATGCTATCAGAGATCGGGACTGTTGAAAATATTCCAGACTTCATCGAGGGTGTGAAGAACAGGTAAACTCAATATGTGAAACTATATGCATCCGTTTTCTGGAATTTGTGAGGAGCCTTTCCATCAATATTCTCATCTCTTTAACATATTAGGAAGAGGAAGATGTCTGGTTTTGGACACCGTGTGTACAAAAACTATGACCCACGAGCGAAAGTAATAAAAAAGCTAGCAGATGAAGTATTCTCCATTGTTGGAAGGGATCCTCTAATTGAGGTACTCTTTAAGTCCGTATAGTTGAAGCTTATACTAAAAATTCATGCGCACCTTTTTATGACTATGTTTGACAGATATAATTCTGATGGTCTGCAGGTAGCTGTTGCTCTCGAGAAGGCAGCTCTTTCTGATGATTATTTTGTTAAGAGAAAGCTTTATCCGAATGTTGATTTCTACTCTGGATTAATATACAGGTAAAAGTTTGGATTCATGTTCAGCGTTCATCAGTGCCACTTCAAAAACTTCATCTAAATCTTCAAACTTGGACCATTGAAACAGGGCAATGGGATTTCCACCAGAGTTTTTCACGGTCTTATTCGCGATTCCTCGCATGGCTGGATACTTGTCGCATTGGAAAGAGTCGTTGGATGATCCTGACACCAAGATTATGAGACCACAACAGGTATACTTGTCTCTTTCCAATAATAGTTCACTTCTTTTTTTCTTTTGAGAGAATAAGATGTTTTGTTTGGATCAGGTTGAAACTTGGATTTCTCATTGGGATATTGAATGTTGTAGGTGTACACAGGCGTGTGGCTGAGGCATTACACACCACTTACAGAGAGAAAGGTGACTGATGAGTCAAAGGAGTCGGACAAATTGGGTCAAGTCTCGACTTCGAATGCATCAAGAAGACGTTTGGCTGGATCTTCAATTTAGGCGTAGATCTTTTTAGGTCCATACCATACGCTGATTCACCGCACTGTACCGCAAAGAATAAAAGAGATTGGGTTCTCTAGCCAAATGCAAAGAGGGTCTCGAGTCTTGATAAGATCATACTCAAAATTAAGAATTTACATCCTGTATTCACAAGATGATTCTCCTATATTGATTGATGGTGGAGACAGCTTTTGGGACCTTCCATAAATAAATCTATATGAGGAGTGTTTGTTATCAGAAAGTGTTTTTCCTATAATTTATGTGTCTGGATTGTTATCCCAAATACAATGTTTAACGTTACACTAATTCAAAGTCGTATGGTTCTACAGAGACTTTCGTTGTGACTTGTGAGATTCCTGGAGAAAAGCAACAGGCAGAAAGCAAAAAACTTTGATTATTTATTGTTACAAAAGAGGATATCATCAAGCGACACAATTTCAAAATTCGGAGTTCTTGAAACTTGAAGCATACATGCAAATGATACACTTGAAGAAATATGATCTGAAAAAAATGCGCTACACGTTACATAACATGTTTTCGTTTGGTGGCTGCATTTCTTGAAGTTGAAGGAGCAGTACCAGGAAGGCTGTTGATCCTATTCGGAGGTAGATTTCCTTCACCATAAGATTTGCTTATTGAAGTTGAAGTCACGTTCGCGGATAGGCCGGTCCTCTTTGGAGCAGAGATGCTAGAGAAGACAGAATATTAGTGAACGGAGTTAGAGAACTCAGAGGATAAAGAATGTGGATTCAGAGAGAAGAGTCAAAGAGATACCCGGAGTCAGAGTATGTTACCTGAAACTCTTCTGAACCGTGTTCCTTTTAATGGCAGTAAGATTTTTCAATTCACCACTAGAGTTGCTTCTTGAAGTTGAAGACACGTTCACGGATAAGCCGGTCCTCTTTGGAGCAGATATACTAGACAATACAGAATTTAGTCAATGAAGTTAGAGAACCGATGAATGGTTAGTAGATGGTAGATACCCGGAGTCAGATTTTGTTACCTGAAGCTCTTCTGTATCGTGTTCCTTTTGATTGCAGTGAGATTCTTCACTTCTTGACTGTAATCAATACCAAAATAAAATTTGAATTAAGAATTAGATTGTTGCTAGTGATTTTATAAGCAACCCCGAGTGACTTCTGATTGTACATTTTAAGGTGAAGGATCGTTTACCTCTTTAAAAGATCTAGTTTTGCCTTCTTCATGATGTTGCTCTTGACATTCGAAAGATTGTAACCTGATCCACTATTAGCTGCAAATAAATCGTTCCATAGAACCATTTGAGTACAAAAGCCAGAGGGAATGGAGCAATTCAATAATGACTTTGCAAGATAGATCAGATGATGCAAGAGAATCTATAATAGTGTTACCCCAAAAGGCTTTCTTAGTTGGAGGAGCTTTTGAGCAGAGCTTAGTTTGTCGACTTTGTTTCCCTGACAAAACAAATTGAAAAACATTACAAGGGAATCAAAGAAGAATAATAGATTTAGGTTAAGAACATGCTTCTCATGATAAAAAGATAGATTTGCAAAGATCATACTTGCATCTTCCGCCTTGTAACGTTGCTTCAGTTTATCAACGGCTTCCTTCTCACCCTCTTTCACGGCTTTCAACTTTGCCTGCATGCAACACATGCCTATATCTTAAGTATTTCAATGCTTCTATATATATGTACATAAAGAAAGACGTGAAGAAACAAAACCAACCTCATATAACTGTCTCCAAGTGAAATTTATTTTCTCCCGCTTCAATTCCTTCACGACAAGAATCAAGTCTTCTACATTTGCACCATAAAGCTTCTCACAGTATCTCTTCCAAAATTTATTGGTAACTGGACTAAGATCTGTGTCCTAACAAAACGAAAGCATAGGTTAAGATCAGAAACCGTCAAAACATAAAAAACAAAATTACCGAACATATGGTAAGAATCTTCTTACATGAGTACAATCCTCTATATGCATCAGCTGTTCAAGTGTACAATGTTGTAGAATCTGCTCAAGGAGATGGAAATCAACCCCACCAACATATCCAATATATCGTACATTATCAATCAAGGTCCTGAGGCAAAGATCAACAAGCGAAGGTGGTTTCTTGGAAAGTCCTTCAAACATCATAGCAGATTCTCTTTCAAGAAGAAAGAGCCTACAACAAGGAAAAAGAAAAAAAAATTCCAATATCAAATCACAAGGAGACACAATCTATACTATAACACTAAGGTAGGATACAGAATTTACCAGCTAATGATAAAACTTCACTAGGATAAATGGAATTTTCACTTAAAATCTAGTATACAACCTCAGCTTGATAATACACAAACTTCTTTTGAATAATTTACGTAAATCAAGAAGTTTGATCATGTATAGTCAAAAATTTGTACAACATAAGATAAAAAAAAGCAGATCTTCATAAAGTGAGCTAGTGCAATCCAAATCTAAAACCAGAGGATGTGATTTGATCGAAACGAACATGATCCAATCAATCAAATACCCAAATTCGAATTCAACAATCCAATTCCAAATCGAAAACAGTAGATGCATCAGGAGTTTACCAGTAAAATTAAAAGAGAGTCAAATCGAAGATTGACCCACGACGGAAACAGGTCAGAGAATTTCCTCGGCGATCGAAGAAACCTTTCCTCTTCCCGGTAGAAGCTGATAGCCGTGAAGGAGACGCCGGAATTTTGTTTTTCTTTGCCTAATCGTTCATCCACCATAACAAATGATGAAACCATTGGTTTAAGATTATATATCTCCATAACGCTGTTCTTCTAAACGCGCGTTTTCAAAAACGATTTTCGGTCCTAGTTAATTTACAAACTTACGATGCATACATACATACATACGCGCCTGTTTAATTGCCGGTTTCACGTGACGACGCCGTTTTACAGCGTATTGATCGAATCGAACCGAATAAACTTAACCGAGTCGAAATTCGTCAATTTTATATCAAAAAATCGAATTTCACGATAAACCAAACCGTGAAAAACAAATGGCCAGGAGAAGAAGACTCATTTGCGATTTAAAGATTTGGGGAAACTCTGTTTCGACGGAAAGGAATCATTTTTAAATGGACGCATTGGGTGGTTGCGGCGGCGCTGGCGGTTTCTGGGGATGGAATAGCTTCGATCATCGGAGGAAGAAGAAGTCTTCCGGCGATAGAGGTAATCAACGAAAGTCTGGATCGTCGGATTCCGTCGATGTGAGCAGAGACGGTGGCTATCGGTTTCCCTTAAAGCAAGCTGTGACGGCCGGCGCACTCACATTCACCGGTGACACGATTGCTCAGTTATCTGGGAGGTGGAAAAAGAGAAACGCTCTTAAACAATCATCTTCTGATAAACCAGACGAGGTTCGTCTGAAGAGATTTCTTTCTTTGTTGGTCATTTTCGAGCTGATAAATTTGAGAGATTTTAGTGAAAAGGTTTGATTTTTTGACTAGATATGATTCAATTTTCTGCTGTGATTTAGTGATACCTAAATTGAAGTTGGAATTTTTCATAACCAAATGTTGGTGTGAGGTCTAGTCAGTGAGTAGTGACAGTATCTTTTGATTCAAAGTGTAATGTTGGGATGATTTGATATCTGATCTTCTTGCAAAAATGTCTTTTACATTGGTTAAACTTGGTTTGACTAAGGATTATCTTTAACCTCAGGAGGAACTGTGGAACATTTTCTCAGAACATGACTGGGTTCGTGCGCTGCGGATGAGTTCTTACGGGTTTCTCTTGTACGGCCCTGGTTCTTATGCATGGTATCAGTACCTTGACCATTCTTTGCCGAAACCAACCGCGAAGAATCTAGTGCTTAAGGTTACTATTATCTCTAGCCTTTTATGTTTATCTTGCTTTGGAACATGTTGTGCTAGAGTTTTTATTTGTATCCACCGATCCCTTTTGTTAGGTTCTGCTTAACCAAGTAATCCTCGGTCCATCTGTGATCGCTGTTATATTTGCTTGGAACAACTTATGGCTGGGAAAGCTCTCTGAGCTTGGAAACAAGTATCAGAAAGATGCTCTTCCAACGCTTCTATATGGTAAGATACCAGTTAAACAAAGCTGTCCTTTTTACCATATTGTTCATTATATTTATAGTTCTTGGCAATTGCTACAGGGTTTCGCTTCTGGGTTCCCGTTAGCATACTTAACTTTTGGTATGGCTCTCTCTCTCTCTCTTTCTCTATCATTATTAAGTTATTTGGATTATTATGCATATATAGTAGGATCGGTGAGTGTAGAGTCTGAATTTGGCATTCTACATTAGATATCTGATTGAAAAGGTGTGATGTTTACAGGGTAGTGCCACTTCAAGCTCGTGTAGCATTCATGTCCATGGGTTCTGTGTTTTGGAACTTCTACTTGTCTTCAACTATGAGCAAGTAGATACACATATTATTCGATACGGGGAGACGAAGAAGACATGAAATTATAAGCTTTTTTTTTCTAAATTGTAATACAGTATAATGTTGTTGGAGGATAAACATTTGTTATTTAGATTTTTAGTTTTAATTTCCTTTTTTTAATGAACAGATATTCATGAAAGATTTTTTAAATCCATCTTATATTATCTTTCTTAAAATATACATTAACTCACTTTGATTTATATATTAAGAAAAGATACATTAACTTGAGCAATACACTATCTCTCTTTGAAAAATTGTCACTAACAATGACAAACAGAGATGTGGAAGAGCTTGTGCCCTTTAAAAAACGACATTTTTTTCGTCTTGAGATAGAAGACCAACACATCGTCGCTGTGGAGCCGCAACATCAACAACAAGTAGAAGAGCTGCCCGAAAAGTATAAGAACAAGATAATAGAGATGAAAGGCACAGAAGAGACATTAATAACCAGAAGGACGTTGACGAAGACCGATGTTGATAAAGGTCAGTCGCATTTATCTATTCCCATGAGTAGCTTGTTGACTCACGATTTTCTGACGTCTGATGAGAAGGAAGAGACACAAAACCGAATAAAAGGGGACCGAGAAGGAGGTTTATCCGAGCAAGTGATTGATCCGAGGTTAAAAGTATTGGAGCTGAAGCTGAGAAGAACTGATATGAAGAAGAAGAAGAAGACGAAGAAGGGGAGGACAGGAAAGACGAGTTCGTTGTATTGCCTGGCTTATCAGTGGAACGATGTGATCAAAGAGAATACTCTTAGACAAGGTGATATGTTGCACCTTTGGTCCTTTAGGTCTCAGCAAAGGCTATGCCTTGCGCTTGTCTTGCTTCGAAGAGAAGAAAGGTTATTGGGAAATTAGGGTTTGGGACTCTATACCCTTATTTTCTAGAAAGCCTTTAGAAAGCTGTGTTTGGTTTGTTAGCTAAGTTATTTTGATAGATCTTGATGTGCAACATTGCACGAGTATACATTTTTTTTTGTTTCTTCTGTTAGTGTTTGAGTTTTAGTAGACTAAGGTTTCTAGCTAAGGTTTTTTGGTTATTTTTGTTTGAATGGTTGTTGGCCATACATTAGATTTGTTATAATGAATTTTTAGCTGTGTTTTTGAAATTCGCTGAGTAAAAAACGAAGCTATAAGCATAAAGCCTTAATGGTACGATAGCTTGTGACCCTTACAGTTATGAAATAAACTGGTGATTAAATCTCAATAGTATTAAACTCTTTTTTGGGTAATTAATCATAATCAGTTTTAAGAAACCCAACCTTTTACACCATTGCAAGAACTTTTAGTTTTCTGTGTTTCGTCTCAAACTATACCATATATAACCGCGCCAAATAATAGTAAAACTTCGTCTGATGCCGAAACGTGGCCCGCACAATTCCGAGAACACTCTCATTGCCTGTTAATTTTCGTATTGAATAATTTTTTTTTTAGATTACGTTTTTTTTCAGTTGTATCTTTAAACTGAATTGATCGATATTTGACGGATATATTAAGCTGATATTTGTTAGTTACGAAACGGATCATAGTCTAGACAAATACTACTTTTTCTTCAAAATATCCACTACCAAGTCCTACGTATATGACTAATCAACAACTCTTTATTTTGTTTGGTTTCGTGGTTGAAATGTTGGTTAGTTTTAGGTATAAGATGGCAATGTCTTACCACATGTTAAATATGAATAATTGCCAATTATTATAATGAGTTTCTAGTGTGTTTTTTGTTTATCTATTCAAAACTCTTCTTGTCGTTGACTTAAAAAAAAAAGTCACAACTCTTTTTGTCACGCTCCCTTCCGCGTCACACGCATCTAACAGAGATATTCGAACCTTCGAAGAGCCAAAATGCAATATGAATACACGAGTATATAAAAGAAATACACGAGTATATAAAAGATATAAATGCAATGTTTTTAATTTAAGTTGAATACATCATAGACTTTAATGTGTACTCAAATGCAAATCAAAGGTAAATCTATTTTGAATGACCAATTTGATTTGTCTAATGAATTAATCAATTAATTAACAATACATATAGTGGTGTCTGAGTCTGACTTTCAGGCGCACTGTTAGTAGTGTAATTAGTGTGTTAGAAACGATTGGTCCACACGTAATTATCCGAATGCTAAAGTTATTATGGTAATTAGATACAAGGTTTAAATACCTAACCCCATTTCTTATTCCATCATCATCTCCTCCAAAACACACAAATACTAAAGTAAGAAAAAAAAAATGGCTGGAGAGGAGTTGTTGAAACTGTTCGAGGAAAACTGGTCGGAGAGACCAATCTTCAAGAAAGAAAAAAACTCTTTGAATCTCAGTGAACAAGTTCGAGAAGAAAAAGAAGAAGAAGAAGATGTGAAGAATAATCCGGTAAGCTTTCTTGTAGAGAGGGCTATGAGTGATCAGACGATGATGACGAGTTCCAAGACGAGCTTGTTTGTTTTTTCATCAGATGATTTGTTCTCGTCTCCTAGATCGGTATTAAGCGTTAAAGCATCGCCGATGAAGCTTCAGACGATTCTCTCCGGGAAAGAAGTGAATGAGTTCTCGAAAGCGGAAAGGGAAAGGGTATTCTCTGAAAAAACAGAGAAGGAAGAACAGAGGAAAAAGAAGCAGAGCAATGTGAGAACGAGAAGGGGAAAGAGTATGTCGGATTTGGAGTACGAGGAGCTTAAAGGGTTTATGGATCTGGGTTTTGTCTTCTCCGAGGAAGACCATAAAGACTCAGATTTGGTTTCGATTCTTCCTGGATTGCAGAGATTGGTGAAGAAAGATGATGGAGGACTGAGAGTAACAGAGGAAAACATAAGCAACGGAAACAGAGTAGCGAGACCCTATCTGTCGGAAGCGTGGGATCTTTGTGGAGGGAGAAAAGGGAAGAGACAGATGACGCCGGAGATAAAGTGGAGAGTTCCGGCGCCGGCGGTTAAAGAAGTTGAGCTGAAAGATCATCTAAAACTTTGGGCTCATGCAGTGGCTTCGACTATTCGATGATAATAGCACAAAAGCTATATCCGATCCTTTGTGTATCTGTTAGCTTTGATTATTCTGGTTTTAAATTCCTGGGAATAAAAATGATTGTTCACAAAACTTCGATTTTCGTTGAGATGCGAGAAATCTCTAAAGATGACAATTGAATAAAAGCGTCATTTTCGGGAAAAGAGAATTTACCATTAAGTGGTGGGCCAGTCTTCTTATCTATAGATAGAATAAATTTATAATTGAAGCTTCAGTTATACTCCTTCCGTTTCATAATAAATATCGTTTTAGATTTCATTTTTTTTTAAAAAGAGTGTTATTCTGCATTTTCAATATAACTTTTTACTTTTATTTCCTGTTTTATCCCTCATTTAAAATAATAGTGTTTATAATTAAATATTATAAAAGTATATTAATTAGGGATATATTTGTATATTTTCTTAATTTCTTAATCTATGTGAAATGTGTCAGACATTTTTCTGACGACATGGAGGGAATACATTTTTCTGAGTTATTTTCTGAGTATAAAATTATTCTGAGTTATAAAATTCTGAAACTACAATTTTTTTTTTCTTGTTACATTACCAGTATATCAAAAAGAAATTTATCACTCAGAAAATTCGCTCCTATGTTTTGGTCAACTTCTCCCTTAGGCACTTCTAACTTATGTCTAGCTTTTGTTTTTTCTTTTTTTTTTCAGCTGAAAAACTCAATAACTTTCTCCAAGCATTTAAAAGCCTTCTCTCTGATATCGTATTTAATTCCTCAATTCTCGCTCTCTGCTGTTCTCTGAAATTCGGTCATGAATCTCCCCAAAAAAATTTGATTACAAAATGTTGAAACTGTTTTTTGGATATATATAAATATATATGTGGATTATGTATATTTATATATAAATATATATGTGGATTATTGCTGTAAATCTGATAATTTGTTTACTCCTCTTTATTGTTTGCGGAATCTTTGGATTATGTATGTATCGTCAATGGCTATCTTTTTCTAAGAACCCCTCATCTACTGCTTCCATTGTCGATCACGATGAGGACAGATCCAATCAAGTTTGAAGAATTATGGGATTTTTGGTTTAATTTGTTATTACTTTTTTTGTTTGGATAAATAAATTAAATGTATATGATTTAATTCAATATGATAATTTTGTGGTCATCGTCTTTCAATGGAATTAATATGTTTTGCTCATCTTTTATGGTTATACGTTCAACGTTTTAGACACTAATTTTCACTAAATGATGAAACTTAAGTAATTGGAATATTATATATATAAAAGACCTAATCGTGAATGAATTAGTTATAATTATAATTTGATTGAATATGTGTTCATGATCCACACTCAAGAATACATGCTTTGAAGGGTAAGCAGTAAGCATGTGCACATTCATACGCTCTTCACTGAAATCGTCTGTAAGGAACTAATTAATAGACACACGATCAAGAAAGTGACATGAACGAATACAAATTGTTAGATCCAAAAAAAGCTCTCAAATAAATAAAAAAGAATCAAAACTCATTTAATCTAAACACCAACAAATTGAGTGAACATCTACTATAGCTAAGGAGGATGCGTGATGCGTCCATCTTCTTCTAGGTCGTACTAGATGGTAGCTTTGATCTTCAAATATATTATATGTAAAACTGTCGAGTGAGAGAAGTATAAGTATGAGGACGAAGATCATCGCCGAAACACACAAAATGTCAATCTTATTCTTATGTCAATCCATTCATGTGACCCCGCTGGATGGTCCATCAATGTTGCTTAATTTTGCAACAACCACAACTATGATTATTATGATCAGCCCTATCGTACGTTAACAACATCGAGTATATACACATATTCTTTTCAAGGTTATGATTCTTATATATTAATTACTTCATTATCTAGTTACTAAAATCTTACAATGTTCCTTTTAAGACTGATTTTTTTTTTCTTAATTCTTTTTATACACTTGTTTATCAGTTAATGTTAAAAATAATAAACTTAAAGAGGTATATTACTATTGGTTTGTAATTATGGAAAGGAAATAAAATAATGTATGTATAATTCTTTCCGTACATACATTATTAAAAACACAGTACAATAATTAATTAAAATATTTGATACAATGTCGCCAATTGTCACAGGGTTGTTTTGCCTTGCCATGTCACCACTATCCACACAATTATTTAATGCATAAAAAGCGAATGTCTTTATTTTTTTTGTCATTAGTTTATTCAAATATTACAAACACGTGCCTTACTATTTTGGGCTCCATAACTATGGGCCAAATATGCTATGCTGATTCACCGTGCGTCTCGGAAAGACGCAAGTCAGTACGGAAGAAGCGAGTGAGAAATTTGTCACTACTCTGGATATTTTCAGTAAAGAGACGAAGGAAGAAGAAAGAAGAAAAAGAGAGAAATAGAGACGACGAAAGAGGAAGGAAGAAAGCCAGAAACCATGCCAATGACTGATACGCAGAGCTCTGAACAATCTTCTTCACCAGGTATGTCTCACGACTTAAAAAAGACAACGTACGGTGAAGAATCGGAAGCTGTTTAGCAGAAATTGGGAAAACAACTTAGATAAGATGTTCCATTCGAAATTTAACCAGAATCTTGGTGGAATTTAGACTTATAAGCGTTTGTTTTTTTATGCGATTCTATATTCCTAGTCACTGTATTCAGAGAAACCTTGTTCTGCGTGTTGTTGATTTTGTTGTTAAGTGCAAAGAAGAGTGGCTGGATTGAAGACGAGGATAGTTGCTTTGGATTCGGGAGTAAAATCTGTGAAAGAAGCTGTTGCAAATGTAAAATGCATCAAAGAAATGTTAGAGGGGAAGCTCAACAGCTACAAAGCTGACTTGTTTTCAAACGATGTTACCACTATTCAGTTTCTAAAGGAAATGGAGGACAACGAAGGAACACTCAGGTGATTTCCTCTTGCTTGTTTATCAAAAAATCGAATTCCTTGTACTTAATGACATAAACTTTACGTTTGTGTTTATGGATTGCTTTGTGATGCAGAGTTGAATTTTTCAAAATGGTTGATAAACTGCACATGGAAATAAGAGATTTGGGAGATTATGTAGCTTCCAGTTTGGGCAATGGCTTTGCAACAACAACAAAAAGTGAGAATCCGGAGGACCAGAACATACAGGTGATTAAAGAGCTCAATGAAAAGATTCTTGGATTAGAGCAGAAAATGGTGGTGATCGAAGAAGATAAAGAGGATCTCAAAAAGAAAAATCCAAGCCTCGACATGAAGCTCAATGAGCTTGAAGAGTCAAATTCAAGCCTCTACATGAAGCTCAATGAGCTTAAAGAGAGAAATTCAAGCCTCGACATGAAGCTCAATGAGCTTAAAGAGAGAAATTCAAGCCTCGACATGAAGCTCAATGAGCTTGAAGAGTCAAAGTCAAGCCTCGAAATTCAACTCAAGGAGCTTAGAGAGTCAAATTCAAAGCTCGACATGAAGCTCAATGAGCTTGAAGAGTCAAATTCAAGCCTCGAAGTTCAACTCAAGGAGCTTAGAGAGTCAAATTCAAGCCTCGACATGAAGCTCAATGAGCTTGAAGAGTCAAATTCAAGCCTCGAAATTCAACTCAAGGAGCTTAGAGAGTCAAATTCAAGCCTTGACATGAAGCTCAATGAGCTTGAAGAGTCAAATTCAAGCCTCGAAATTCAACTCAAGGAGCTTAGAGAGTCAAATTCAAGCCTCGAAATTCAACTCAAGGACCAAGAGCAAAAAGAGCAAAAGCTTACGAAAACGTTCACAGAGGTAACTAAACAGTTCTAAATCTTACTCACTTTAATCCTGAGACAAACGCACGTTCTGAAATTTTGCTCTTCTCAATATTCAGGTTAAGAAAGACCTGCAGGACGAAAATGCAGAGTTATTGGCACTTCAAACAAAAATGATTGAAGAACTAGACGATGTTACCAAAGGTTAAACAAAATGAGTTCAGATCTACATGTCACCAAACAGGTTCATACTTGTAAATTCATTGTGACTTTATACTAGAAGATTGAGTATTTTTGTGTTGACTCATCTTTTTTGAACCTCTAATTTGTTTTTTTTGTTCTCAGAATGCGTCTAGTGGGAACCACATCATTGATTCTCCACTGCAACAAATTGTCAATCGTCTTCCAGAGCCAATGAAAAAGATCATTGCTCCTAAAGGGAGCATTACTGGGGATGAGCTAGGAATCTTCATGGGAACATTTGTCAACATAACTGCATATATAGTAACTCTGGCAAACAAGAATCTGAAATTCACAGCAATGACAGGATTTGCAACTTTACTTGGGGTTATCATTGGGACAATGTTCAACAATATTGTTAGCTACATATCCACGGTAAAGTTTTCTATAATTAGATAGTTATTTTTGCTAATCCCATTGAGAATAGAGTTGTTGGTTGTTGCTAGGTGTATGTCTCATGATGCAACTTGATCCTTTTAAAATAAATTCTAGATTTTATTGTTTTTTTTTATAGTGGACAAGGGTTCATAATCTCAAGACTTTTATACTTTGGATTATACTTTGGTTGTAGACTTTTATGAGTTTATCCTTTGGTTGTAGACTTTTGTTTATGAAGTGTTTTGGTTTATGGTTGTGGCAACATATGTTTTTTTAGCCCTCTCTACTTTATATTTCAATGAATACCCGACGTAAAAAAATTAAATAGATAATAACACTGAAACACTAATTAAGAAGTATATTTTTTTTAAAAAACCCTACAAGGAAAAGAAAAGATATGTAGAACTAATAATCTGAGATCATTGTCCCCAAAAATCAGCCGCCGTGTTGATCTTCGACTAAACCATCTGAACTCTCTTGGATAATCACTCCAGCCGGCTGCAACCTTCCAATTTCGATATTGCGTAAGCGAAAATATTCCTTTTTATTTTCTTCTTTCTCAACCAGCCAAAGCAATATTCCTGTATAAATGAGTAAATAGATGCAAACAAAGCAAAGGACTAAGGTGAAAATGAAATCTGCATTGTCTATTATATCATCACGCCGTGAGTCGAACGTTGGAGAAGTAGATGAAAACGGAGGAGGTGCCATAGATTCCGTTATTACTATTATTATTCGTTGATCGAGCATATATAACTAAAACAATTGTAAGACTACTTATATATATATAATTAGTACGAGAGGGCTAATCCTGATCCACGTTTCCTATTAAAAAATAAAATAATAAAAGTATAACAGTTATCTAATCTAGATTTTTTCTTGTTTAGAGTTTGTTAATTAATGCATATTCTCTTAAATTAAGTCCCATTAAATTATAAGATTTAGTTAATTAATTTATAAATGATAGATCTCCCAATCGATGTTAAATTAGCAGATTTTATACACGGGACTTATATCCATTATTTGAAAATATGCATTAATCTATATGTGTATATATATATATATATATGTATATCTAGTGAGCCTTAGGTAAGGTAAACAGCTCTTATATGTTTATTTTCTATACAAAGACTTTCACAATAAGGTGCATTAATTCTTCTCTAATCAGGATTCAACAAGAAGTGCTTGAATTTTCGGAGTCGGTCTCGTAACGCCATGGATACATCACGATATGAAGAAACTGTAAAAGTGTTGTTTCGGATAATGATGGTGATGACCTTCATTGTTATCCTTTTCGGCTCTTGTCTTTGTGGTAAAATGTGCTCGCAGATGTCGTCTAGTCAGAAAGATGAAAAAGATTATGCATCTGAATTTCAACCCATTAATATATCTAACGTATGAGCTTAATGGTGGACGATCAAGGCGAAGCACCAAAGTTTGTGAATGAAGATAAAATTCTTCGTGTTTAGGAATTAATTATGGAATAGCTTTTAGTCACTTTTAGTCTTTAGAGGTTTTAATTTTTGTTGAAGATTTTGTTTTATTTATATCACATATAAAGATTTTAAATATCTGCTTAATTATATAGCGTTTTTATTGTTGTTGCTACTATCTTTTTAAAAATCTATCAGATATACATTAATGATCTTGTGGTTATATGTATTTATCTTCTGGAGACAATTATCTTTAGAATTTATCATTCAATATAAGAATATATATATATATATATATGAATCAAAATCATATTTTTTTGGTTCAAAATACGACTAGCCACTCTATATACACAAGTGTTTTTCTCTTTTATAAAAAATTATTGAAGACCTTTGGTTAAACTATAAGTCTATAATATCACAAATTATCTAGTTCGTTTGATTGCTTGACCATGGGCGATTATAGTGTAGATTCGCCAGAAGAAACGTTATCAATTCTGTATTTCATGGTTGGAGAAATATTCCTACTCCTTGTTGGATGTGGAATCTTTGGATTGTGGGTCTTTCGTCAGTGGCTATCTCTTTTGAAAGAACCTTCATCTACTACTCTCATTGTTGACCACGACGAAGAACAAGGATTAAATCAGGTTTGAGGAATTATGCGATTTTTGGTTATATTTGTTATAAGTTTAAAAAAAAATATGAGTTCTATATGATAATTCTGGTCATCGTCTTTCAATGGATATTGTATGTTTTGTTCATCTCTCTCCTCGTAATATTATGGTTGCGTTCTACTTTTTTACAAACCAATTTTAATTAGAATATATATAAGATCTAATCGTGAAGGAATTAGCACTTTATTAATTATATATGTGTTCGTGATCCATCAATTGATGATTGTAAAAGCAAATTGAGAAACTGAGTAAACAACGCACAAAGCCGAAGAGCAAGAAGGTGACATGAATAAATAGAATTGTTAAATTCAAGAACACTGAAATCAATAAAAAAAGGTAGCAAAACTGGCTTCATCTAAAAACAAAAAAAAAAAAAATTGAAAAAAAATGTCTATTAAAGCTAAGGAGGATGTTTTCATCTTCTTCTACGTCATAGTAGTAGATTGTAGCTTTGATCTTCGAATATATTCCACGTATAAATCGTCGTCGTGTTCATTATAATTCTTGGCATACCGGAGTAAAAAGAGGCAGCCAAAGAGTGAGAGAAATATAAATATTAGCAAGAAGATCATCGCCGAAAACACAAATATCAATCTTATGTCGATCCATTCAAGTGACCCCTTTGTTGGATGCTTCATCGATGTTGATTTAATTTTGCAACAAGAACTCTAATTATTATGATCAAGCCCTATCATTATATACCAACCTATATATATATATATTCTTGATAGTATCAAATCATTAAATTAACTCAATATATCACATCACTATCTAGTTATTAAAATCTTACTATGTTCCTAAAACAGTTGACTTTAAGAACATATATTAATTTATTGTTTCACAAAATTTGAGTTTTTAAGATTTTTTATTCACTTTTTATTAGTTAATATTAATAAATAATTAAGTTTAAGGAGTATTACTATGGTTCATAACTACGGCAAATAATGATGTATTTATAATTAAAGATGAAAATTATTTGGATATAATAATGTCAACTCTTCATACCCAAAATAATAATAACAACGATAATCTCAACTCCTGTTTTTTTGCCACGGTGATACGGTGATACTATAATAGCTTAACATTGAAAACGTTTATACACTTGTTCTTTTTGTTTTTTAATTACTTTTGCTTAAGTCGATGTGAGGAGAAAGCTATACAAGTGTAGAACGGGACAAATATAACACACGACCCGTACCAAATGAAGCTATTACGTAGCCATAGAACTATAGGGAAATGTCTCCATACAAATATAACACACCCAGAGACCATTATGACTCATGCCTCTGGGTGGTTTTCAGTTCTCTCCTCTGGAGGCAGAGTCCGGGAGTTTGAAGGTGGGCCGCTTATCCACGCCTCTTCGTGAGTATTCCCTCCATCTCCTAGCTGCTGCGGCAGCTCTCTGTGCTCGTTCTTGTACTTCTTCCTCTGTCATAAACATCAAAATTGAGTAACTCTTTTATGATCATCGATCAGCCAACGAGGAAGAGAGTTCACTACCAATCTTACCGCTTTTCTGGTATTGATTCTGTTTGCCCCATAGGTTATCCCAATAGGTAGGTGTTTCCTCTGTGCTTTTCCGCTTCATCATTCTACTTCTAGCTTGATTCTGAAACATAACATAGGTAAGCACAAGGTGATCATGAGGTTTGTGATCTTTCAAATAGTTTTGCAAGGTGATGAATGGTAGTTCATACCAAAACTTTTGCTTGCCTCTTTTCCCATCGAGATCTCGCCTGTTATGGATTCAAAGATTGATCATCAGTTCAATGAAAGATGAAGAACAATAGGCTACCTTGACTCACTAAGGATGAAAACATGGGCCAAAGTCATTTTCAAAGTGGGAATAACAAAGACTAAACAGTCGAAAGATAAAGGACTAGTAGGAACATTGCAGCTATCATCAGCTTACCATTCTGAAAACATCAACTGCTCCTGATCCCATTCCAGAAAGCATCAGAGCAACCTGATCAATCAATGACAATGCCAAGAGATTAATGCAGGAGTTTAGTAACAAATACTATCAAGCAATGCTTTATGTTTCATCTCAAGTGAGTAACAAGATAGCTACAAGAGAGATGCTAGTCTTTACATTAACTCTTTCAACCCGTCGCATTTCGTCTTCAAGCAATGACAACTGTGCAGCTGATGTCTGATAGATACAATCCACCGGGCTGAAGAGAGAAAAAAGGAGAAATTAGTTCTCTGAAATTTGCTAACAAAGATCCTGAAGTGAAGTCCACAATCAGTTGCAGCATCTACAAGAACATATTAGCTTACCATGTTTCAACTGCTTGTTGAACTAAATCTGGGTTGCCACGCTGGTTACAGGCCCTTGCTCTTCCAAAGTCTTCCTCAATTTTAAATACATCTGGAGCCACATTGGCACAGTTTTTGCAGCCTGTCATAAACAGCAGACGCAGATGTAGTTACTTCCAAGATAGTCAGTGTTGGTCTTTTCAATTATTGCTACCAAAGCTTGAACTTGGCCTCAAAATGAAATGCATCTTGACGAAATCGAAGACATACCTATACAAGCAAACTCATCAACAAAAACATGATCCTTTGGGCTGGATTCATCTAGAAAAGGATTGATGGCAGTCACTGCATACCCATGGATTTCATCGTAAACCATACGCTGTACAGGGTCACTGAGAATCTGCAATTGCAACGGTTATCGGTAAACCAAAAAGGCACATACTTTACCAACGGATACAGAGCGTATTCCAAGTTAGAGTAAAAAGCTCACCTCATAGATATCGTTTATGAACATGCAGAAATTTGTAGTTTCTGGGTCATTGCCACTCAAATCTGGATGGCAAGATTTCATACAGTTATAGTACGCTTTCTTAATCTCCTCCTGTGTTGCATCTGGAAGCTATTGACATAGCAGAGAGGAGAGTCATCAAAGTTACAAACTTTTTGATCTTTTTTACAATTTCGAAAAAGACGAATCTAGTTTAAAAGCGAAGAAGTGTGGGGAAATTACCAGTCCGAGAACGGCATAGTAATCATCGTCGACATCACCGGTGGAAAGAGAAGAAGCATCCTCAGTTGCAACTCTTAATCTTCCGACGGCGCCACTTCGCCCTTTTCCGGCGTACGAAGGTAAGCACACACCGGTCTTCGCCGAGAATCGCGACGCACATGATCTGGAGCTAAGAACAGAGTTCTGGAACTTGAGAAGATCCGTACAAACAGGGGAAAGTAGCTGCGCCATTGATGAACAACCTCAAAAGGTCCGGTCCGATTCAAAAAATATCGTCACCGTAATTTCAATTTCATTCGCAGGAGACGATTTATTTGAATTAATATATTTAGATTTTTTTTTTGTGTGTGAAGGGAATGAGGAAGAAGTTAAGGCGTGCGAGGGTGAGAGTGCTGACGTGGCAGGATAAGAACCACGGAAGCGTATTTGGAATCTGAGATGAATCTAGCGGCGACCGGCGAAAGCGTGCTTAACCGGAGGTGGCACGTGTCAGCTAGTGGAGACATGTGTCTCTTCACGCTTCAACTACCCGCCAACAAGTTTTTTCTTTTTTTTTGTTCTCTTTGTTTGCTTGATCTCACACGAAATCAAATTTTGATAAACTCAAAAATACAAAGATTAAAACAAGCCCACGTTTCTCTCACGTGACATCTTTCCCAAATTAGACTACCACCAAGTCCTTTCTTCATCACTCCTTCCACTTTACTCTTTCCCTGAGGAGGAGAAATGGAGTCATGTAATAGATGTATCGTCAGTTTCCTCGTTTCTTCTCTCAAACTTCCAAAACCTTAACTTTTAAATGTTTTCACTTTTGGTCTCTTCCAACAGATGTCTCTTTGGTATTGAAAGTTGAGAGCTTTCATTAATTTAGCGCCACTGCTAGCACTCTTGCGACTAGCAAGGTATGTTTTACGCTCTGTTTCGTACTCTTATCTCTCTAGGAATCACTGGTGTCAACTAAAATCATGATTAGTTTTTACAAGACTCTGAATTCACTCTGTAGTTACTGTGTCTGAGTCCAAATTGCTGAAATTTCTAGCTTAGTTCACTCTGTGTTTTAGGGTTTTAGTACTAATGGTTGCTAAAGATGAGATCAGCCGTCTACCAGACGAGTTTCTTGGACGTATTCTGTCTTTTCTCTCCACAAAAGAAGCTGCTTCAACCTCAGTACTGTCTAAGAGATGGAGGAATGTGTTTGTTTTGGTTTCCAATATTGACATTGATGATCGTCAATCTGTGCGTAAGACTACTCGACGAAACCGGAGTGACACCCCCAAAAATTTCATGGCTTTCGTTGACAGATTGCTTAACCTTCAAGGTGATTCTTCTATTAAGAAGCTCACTCTAAAGAGTCATGTCGGTGTTCGAGGTGGCACTGACTCAACTCGTATTCGAAGCTGGATTCTCAACGTGCTTGAGCGTGGTGTTGTGGATCTTGATTTGTTCATCTCTTCCAAAGGAAAATCTTCACCAGTGCCTTCGTTGATCTTCAAGTGCAAGACATTGGTTAAGCTGAGACTAGCTCGTGGGTTCACGATCAAGCTTCCTCCGGATGTTTCTCTTCCTATGCTTAGCAAATTATATCTTGACTCTGTTGATTTTGATGGAGATGGTGATAATGTAGTTGGAACTCTTCTATCTCGTTGCCCTGTTCTGGAAGAATTGGTTGTTGAGGAGCAACGACGGGTAAAATGGAATGGTTCGGTGTATTCTCCATCTCTAAAGAGACTACACATCCGATCTGATCACAGTCTTACAAGTATTTCCTTATATGCTCCTAATCTTGTCTACTATAAACACTCTGGTTATGTTTTGGGTAAGTATCCAAATGTTAAGCTGGATTCCCTCATTGAAGCTAGACTCAATCTTCGGATGGATGAAATAAGAATGCAGGGAGTGAGACATGGATCTGTTGGTTTTATCCCCGCTAATATTATAAATCTCATTAATGGAATCAAAAATGTTCGAGTACTTCACTTATCCAGCGGCACTCTAGAGGTAAGCTTCCTAATATCTTCTTTTTTCCGTGTACCATTCTTTTTTAGGCTCATGGAGCATGAGAATCACTCGTGGCTTTTTTTTTTAAATTTTGTATTTGAGTGACAGACTAACACATTTTGTTTGGTTTGTTTTGTTGAAGCTTCTTTATTTCTCCTGTCAAGAAATGCCATTGTTCGACAGCCTTGTTAGTCTATCCATTGGGAGTGACAAGGAAAAAGGATGGCAAATGCTGCCACTTCTGATCAAGAGTTCTCCAAATCTAGAAACTCTCATCTTCATGGTATCTCACGACACACACACACACAAACACATCCTAAACGCCATAGATATTGATATGTCTTTAACCTTAGATTCTTTGTTTCTATTATGCTTCAGGGTCTCGATCACTACATAACAAACAAATGTGGGGATGTATGTGTTTGCTATGACTCCGAGGAGAGCATAACGTCTTGCCTATCATCATCCCAAGTGAAGGTGCTTGAGATACTGAGCTATCGAGGAACTACAAGGGAGCTGAACCAAATGAAGCATTTCTTGGAGAAGTTACCGTGTCTTGAGCTGGTGAAAATTTGCGTGGTAAACAACTGTAGTAACGTTCAAGTCAACATGGAAATGAGGAATCTTATGATGCTTCCAAGAGCTTCATCAAAGTGCAAGATCCAAGTCATGTTTTTAACGAAACACAACCAAGTGATGTGATGAGTAGCAGAACATTGTCATATTGTTATGTTTTTACCTAACTAGTAAGGAAGCTTTATTGTTTAATGTTTATGAACATATCATGATATGTTATGAAATGATTGTGTGACTTAATTCTATTAAGTAGAAGAATCTTCTTATATACTTTTGTTTCAAATTCTGAGCAGCATTAGATCTTTTTGGCGTGTGCTATTTTTTATCAAATATAAAAAACTTTATCAAACAGCCAACACATTTATATATTTGTTATTATTAATAAAGAAAAAGCAAGACTTATGATGGCCTACTCGAGTTACGGACTAATGTGGGGAGCACTCCCTTTGTTTTATAAGCTCTCAAACAACAAAAAACTAAGGAGACACAAAGACAAAAGCCAATTCGATCCATTGAGCTATTAAAAGACTAACCTAGGAAACAACAAATCATAAAAATGTTTCAAAGATTCAGCATTCGGAAACAGTTTCCTGGAAATGAAAACACTGCGACAAGCTTTTATCTTTTGACTCTACTGCTCATTTGAGCTGCAATTTGGTATAGTGATCCGCTGCCCTAGATAACGATTGAATCGATACCGGATAACCCTTTCCCATCTGCATAGAACCATTAAAAAAAGTTTTCATTTATGCTCAATGGAATCTAAAAATGTATCAAAGAGGAGATATTAGTGGATTTAATTCAAAAGCTTACCGTACTGCATAAGTGGAATGCATTCACATAACCTGCATATTTGGAAGCTGCAGAAAAAGCAAAAGCGTAAGCACTCAAATCAACCAAACAAAGATCTCTATACAAAATTATAAACTTGGTAAGACTTATTACTCTTTTTCAATCCGGCAGGCTTAGCCAGCAAAAGGGCGTTCATAAATGCACCAACATTCTCTCGCAAAGCATCCTCAGGAAAGCTCATCTGGTTAGGGAAAGTGTTCTTTGTAAGAATAAAGCTAATGAAATTAGGATAATTTTTAACTCTTTGGGAAGGGATGTAACCTTTCCAAGCGGCACATGAAGAATCGAAGTTTTATCCATTCTGAATTTTGTATGTCCAGCTTTTGCGTCTTTCACTGCTTTCGCCACATCCTTGGTCACACTACCTTGCTACAACAACAAAAATTATATTGGTTATAATAATTTAAGGGCAAGAGGTAAGCATACTGAGTGATACATTAGAGTAAGATGTTGAGTGAAGACTCCAACTCACTTTGGGGTTTGGCATCAAACCGTGATTGTTAAGGATCCTTGATATCTGTGAAGAAGCAAACAAACACCATTTGAAAATATTTAGTGAGAAGATATTGCCGCCATCATGTTTCCAACGAATTTGGATAAGTGCTTAAATCCAAGAACCTTGTAAACACGGGGCATCATTTTCGGAGTTGCAAGACATCTGTCAAAGTCGATCTTGCCACTTTCTGCAGATAGAGTTAAGAACGAATAAATAAATCTACCATCGGAACAGAATTCGACAAACAAATATTGCCACTGGAAATGAGATAATTCAGGAGAGAGCCAAAGGCAAGCTTATGCAATTCGATGTCAGTACTGAATTATGGAAGCAGGATGAAGTAAAATGCATTGGTTCATTACTCAAGATTTCCTCAATAAGCTCAAGACCACCGACGACATCAGCTCCTGCAGCTCTTGCATCCTCTGCATCAGCTCCCTCAGCAAAGAAAGCCACTTTCACATCCTGAACAAGTGAAGATCATTTCTTCATATCACATAAAGAGCTGATATATATCAATTACCATGAGGGATTAGAGAGGCATTTCTTGTACCTTTTTAACAGAATGTGGTAGAGCCAAAGTACCACGAACTATCTGCAGTTTAAACAGTGATATCAGAAAGGGAAATGATTTAGAAGGACGGATAAGAATGAGAATTTTTAGAGAGAACATGATAGCGAAACATGAACAAAAATTTGCAGAGAAAAGAATACCAGCTCAGATCGGCCTTTTTCAATGCCCAACCTCACGTGCGCCTCAAGAGTTTCATCAAATTTCGCCTTGGCGTTGGACTGAACCATTGTAGGAAACAGCATAAGAACGAAAAAAAAATGACGAATATGATGGATGAGTCCAAGTTTATCTCTAGCCTTCCTAGTTACTCTGTCTCTTCAACGTTAACACAGCAATGTCTATTACAAATTTATAAGGATCCACGACTCTCACACTACCACCATTAAACAAAACGTGTTTCTATGTTTATAGTGTTTAGCATCCTCTTTTGAGAGGTTTCTATGTTCACATTATATAGTCAAACTAACAAAAAAAACGAAAATCATCTAATCCCCAACAATTGTTGCTTCCTTTCTAATACATCATTTGAAGTACCCTAACAACGAAACAAGCGAAAGTTTAATCCTTTCACATCATATAAACAAAAAACTAAATTGAACCCTGAATAGTGTAGCTTCCATTCTATTACAATGGCAGCTCAGTAACTAATACTGACCTTAATCTCTCTAATGGCCTCCATGAGATCGAAAATAGGTTTCTTTCCATGCTTCAACTCTGGTTTAAGCAATGTTGGCAAAGGAAGAGAAGAAGTATCCTCTTCCACAGCAGTAGCTCTCAAAAACCTTCTTCTAGCCCGATTCTCTGATTCAATCCTCTTCCTCTCCCTCTCCATCTCCTCCGGAGTTCTCTCTCCCTCGTCCTCACCGGCGACGCGATCCTCCGGAAGCGGAGCCACGCGCTGAGCGTAAGAAACGGGACTGATTGAAGGAGCGTCTTTCACGTATCGGATTTCTTCTCGCGTCCAGCTCGAACGATCTTCCTGGTTCGCAGATAGTGGAGGAGAAGCGACATCGGAGGTTTCAGATTTCTGATCCTTGGGTTTGGCGGCGTACGACACTGGCTCGAGTTTTTTGCGGGATTCATTCGGCGGCGGATTTAGATTCGAATCAGATGATTGAGAGGAAGAGAAGAGCCTCGGGATTTGTGGAAATGGAGATGAAAAGGGTTTGGTAAGACCTTGACGGCGAGCTTGAGAGAGTAGAAGCTTCATTGCTGCCATTGTTCACTTCTTCACTCGCAGGTCCCTTTTTCGTGTGAAGTGCGGTTTTGTGGGTTTAAGAGGATTTCCGATTTCTCCCAATTAGTTAAAGCTCTTTCTCAAAATACTATAAAACCTGAGGGGCCAAAGATATAAATATTTTGGGTTTAAGAGGATTTCGGATTTCCCAACCCAATTATCTTGTTTTCTCTCGAAAATGGAAGTATAGTTTTGTAAATTAACATTTGATCATATTCATGAGTTTTTCTAATACATAGCTAACGACAGAGACAATGATTGAGAGTGAAGTTCTTTGAAAGAGATCAAAAATGGCTGAACTGTCCCAGCAATAACTCGAACATGTCGTCAGGATTTAGAAGAGTCGTTCCTCCAATAACCAGACCAATGTCCGGTCTACCGCTCTCCGACACAGCCTCTTGAGCTTCCAAAACCTTGACAATGGAGGAAAATAGAGACAGTTGTTACAAAGATAGGCCTAAAACTGGTTAATGCAACAGAGATTAGGTGAATTTTGTACGTGGTGAAGAAACTTACCTCTCGACCATTGATTCCTCCAATGACAAAGACAAGAATGACACTCTGGTCTGCGAGGCTCGGTTTTGCCTGCAATAGTGTTTGCAAAACTTCAAATCTGTATCTCGTGAGGGATGAGGCAAAAAGGAAGTATTAGGAAGAGAGAATGAGCTAACTACTCACCTGACCAAGACCAAACCTGCCAAATCCGCTTTTGAAAATCCTTCCTACAGTTGAGGAGTGGTATTCTAAACCGGGTATCTCGTCTTTGCTCAACACCTTTGTTATAAGCCTGTAGAGTAGCCCTTTGTTTCCAGAAGGATCGCCTGGAAAGCTGCTCTCTGAAGCCAATGAGCCTTCTCTTAGTGGTAGATTCCTCGTTCTTAGACTCGATAACTTGTGGAGAAACCTAAATAAGCTGTCTACTCTATCACGCAAATCCAGTTTCAGCTGCATATCGTCATAGGACTCGTCTGCTTTACTATTGCTGTTGTCTTCTTCTTCTTCCTCCTCACCCCATTTTCCCCATGGATCATCATCAAGAGCATCAATGTCTAATTGATCATCAGAGGGAATTTCTTTGGTGTCCTCGGACTTCAGGCGCTTCAATCTGCCTTCAAGCTCTTCTGTCAACCCATTAAGAAACTTGAGATTTCCTGCCGATGGATTCTCGAGAACAGCATCGACAATGGCTTCTTTTAGAAAATGCTCTTCTTGCCAAGAGAAAGGCCCGCCTGAGCCAGATGTAGGAAAATTCTCTCCAGCAAGGATGTAACCAACTATTGTAAGAAGCAGGGCATCTCGGAAAGATAGAAGCCCCCGTGATGAGGAAACTGGTTTCTCATTTTTCTTCGCTTCAAGTTCTGCTAAAGCGCTTTTGTTGATCAGGTCACTAATTTGAGCAGCCAAACCCTGACTCGTATCACCAGCACTTACATTTAACATCATCTCCGCACTGCTAAAAGCATCCCATTTGGCACTTTGGGATTCATCAAGTGCAGCGGCTGTAGCTGCCGCTAACTGAATAATGCCTTTGTTTTTCAAGAAACACGGCTGGCTTTGGGACAATGCCCTGATCATGGCTTGTAGCTCTGTTTTTGTGGCATAACCAGGACGAGCCCTCACATTAACAGAGATATTTTCACGACGCAGAGCCTCTTGAAGCCATTTCTTCACCAGTACACTTCCATCCTTCGTTCTCCTATCAATCATGGCCTCTAAGTAAGGCGTTCCTCTATAACATTCAGTGGCGACAAGAGATCCATTTAGTAGTTCAGTCCAGTTGGTGGAAAATATCTTGTCACATTCATTAAGCAAACCTACACTTTGTGGATCAGAAGTGAATGAATCCCACCCCCGTAAAAAGGCTTCAATTCCTTCCCGAAGACCAGAATCATTAATCTTGCTTGGTTCTTCATTCAACAGTTCCCCAAGCGGCACTTGAACATCAAGGGAAGGACGATCAATGCTTGGAAGTCCTTGTTTAAGCTGTGCTTGAGAAGAAAATCTTTTTGCACGAGGCAAAGATGAAAAGATACGATCGAAAAGTGAATCCCCGTGACAGCACGGAGTGATAAGATCCAGTGTACGGTCAACAAGTAGCAAGCCGGCAGATCGCTTGCGACGCCCTACATCATAAAGACTTGACATGTCTGTCAGAATCTTTCCGACATTCTTTGATAGATCACCAAGTGAAAATATTTCCAACTTCAACTCCATCTACAATTTTTGTAAAGCAATGATATGGTCACAATCTTCAGAACAGATGAAATTAAAATTTTGACAACACAGACATCTTGTAGTGTTGTAGCTCACATGCTTCATGTACATCATGAAATAAGTTCAAAAGCGATTTATGCACTGCTAATTTACCTTTAGCGCCAGCTGGTATAGAAAATGTGCGGTAAGAGTTGCACCAGGAGGAACATCATCAGTATCAGACATAGATCCAGTACTTATGGGAGGCAGCCCAAAACTAAGAGAATCCTCATGTTGACGGGACAAGGACGCTTCAGCGACTGATCCTTGGGAAGGTAAGACAAAGGCTCTAGGAGTAAAAGGACAGATAATCATGGGGAAGTGGTGCACCAAGACTACCAAACCTTCTGCATGACCTGATGAAGTATCTACATTTTCACTTATAATAGGCTCCATAGTAAGGGATTCAAGTGCAGAAGAGAACTTAGAAACCCCTTTGTTTTTAGATATTTTGTTGCTTTTCTTGGTATGTTCATTGTAATCCTGAACAAGTAAGATTTCGTACTCTCGATATGCGTCTGGACCTAGTGGTGAATCAGGACAGGCTGAGTGAGATCCCTGTTCGTTAAACAGTTCAAATTAGTATAATTAGATAAGAAAAATTCACAGACTCAAAAAACAGAAAACCTGTTCTGAAGAGTCTTATGTATGGAAATTTCTCATATAGAAAAGGCAATGAGATTCAGAACTGCTTAATCAAATAAGGGTATACATTAATGTCATTTTGAATATGATTATAACAATCGCTAGTGTTGATAAGTCAGATACAACAAGTTGTGCTGATAAGCCACATAGCTAATGATTGTTCTTGAAAATATAATGAATGAGAGCAAGTATAGAGTTTACGATGAGCACCTCTGAGATAGAGGTGAATACTGTGCAGCTTTGAACACCTTCATGGGTGCTTAGACAACGTAGCATATATCTATGAGCATCATTGAGAAGCCGAGATGTCATAATCACAATTCTCTTTGCACAGTCAAATTTTGAATTCCAATCAGCCGCCTAGAGCAAAAAAAAACACATCAAAAGTCAAATCCTATGCCATAGATCAGAAGATATCTCATTTTCTTATACCAAGAGTATGGAATTTATGCAATCAAACAAAACAATTACAAGTAAAAAGATAAAGAAAAAATTCGGAGAGACCATCTAAGTGGTTCCTAAGCTATTCCAAAATCGCATACATTAGTATCAGTAAAATCAAACATCCCATTAAGATTTTATTATAATCAAAAGAATGCGACATTGATAACAATCTTCCCATTCTATGTCTAGATCCTCAATAACCAACACTAAACGTTGACACCCTCTTCCTTAACCAATATTGTGAAACCAAAACTACACCGTAACGAGCTTACTGCATCAAGGGAAGTCATATTTTCAAGGCTGCACACTGCACGAGCACCAAGTTCCAAGAACAGAGGAAACGCTCCAGCAAATTGAAAACTTTCTGTGCAGCCAGCATCGATATACACAATGGCATCTTTAACATCCTCTTCTATCTGCAAAAAAAAAAAAAAAAAAGTTGAGAACTTTGAGATTTCCATTTCCTCTCATCAAAGACATAGCCCAGCAAACACAAATGAGCAAAATAAGATTATGGAGAAATCCTAATGATTCGGGAAATGTCAAAATTTAGGTGCAGCAGATCAAAACGGAAAACGAAATAAGACAGAAAGATTGATAATTTCAGACTTACTTCTCGAATCGAATTGAGACAAGATATCGCGACATCGATCAGAGCCATAGCTCTCAGCTACGTTTGTCGCTAATTCCAATTACGAGAAATGGATACAGTCAGTCGGGATATAGATTGAAAATCGCCAGAAGATGAAAATACCATGAGATGTGTTGTCTGAATCAAACTAACGCCTGAATCCGTGGAGAAACTGATATAGAATGGGGCTTCGCCGGGAAATCTCACCGACGACGAGCATCGTCGCTTAGCTTGATATCGTTCGTATGATCGTACCACTTTGTTGGGCTTTTACCTCTTTGTGGGCTCAAAGGAGTTTTCCATTCAGAATGGGCCTCTCTACCTTTAGCTCATTTTTCTAAGTCAAGCTTCTACCTCTTTATTAGACATGAAGTATATAAACGATTCAAAAATATAACCTCTTAAACTGAGTCAATATTTTTATAATCGGAGTAGAGAAACCAAGTACCGATTGTCCTAATCATATTTCAAAATCAAAGGTATCGTGGATAACAACTAGGTTTAGATTTAATATTTGGTGTTTACTAGTTTAACAATGAACACTAGCATATTCGAAGGCATATATAAACAAGATCAATTAAAGTGTTTATCATCCAAATAAATAAAAATAGTGGCTCTCACGATTACATAGATAAATAAAATCTCAATGGGCTAATTAATACACACAATCCACAGAGAAATCAAATCATCATTAACCCTTTTGTACGTCAAAAAAAAGAAAGAAAAATAAATAAAATCATCAATCATGGTCGAGCCATCATGGGAAGAGCTTCTCGGCCAAGACAACTGGCAAAACCTATTGGAACCACTTGACCAGTCACTTCGTCGACTCATCCTTCGAGCCGGCGACTTCTGTCAAGCCACTTACGACACTTTCATTAACGACCAAAACTCCATATACTGTGGAGCCAGCCGTTACGGCAAACCATCCTTCTTCCACAAAGTAATGCTCGACGATGCGAGACACTACGAAGTCGTTTCTTTCCTTTACGCCACGGCTCGTGTCAGCGACCACGAAGCCTTCTTCCTAAGCTCCATGTCTCGAGAGTCTTGGGACCGTGAGACTAATTGGATCGGTTACATTGCGGTCACGTCTGATGAACGGACGGCTGAGATTGGAAGGAGAGAGATCTATGTTGTGTTTCGTGGGACGACGAGGAATTACGAGTGGGTTAACGTGATGGGAGCGAAGTTGACTCCGGTGAAGGAACTGTTGATGGACGGTGAGGATGGTCCTGAGGTTATGCTTGGCTGGTTCACTATTTATACCACGGCTAATCCAAACTCACCTTTCACCAAGTTGAGTGCACGCTCGCAGCTTCTCTCTAAGGTATTGAAATAACAAAAATGCGAATGAGTTTCCTTTAACTCGATATATAAACAAGTTGATCCCTAACTTGAATGATCTTATGAAAAAAATACAAAAAAAAAACCAATGAATATGTACGTAGCATCACAATTCTTACAAAAAATTGTCTAACAAAACACGAAACACGAATCATAGCCTTGTATTGTTCTTTTTAAATAAAATACCATTTAACAACAACAGCAACAAAAAATACTTGCGATTAGACTTTTTTTTTTCTATAAAAAACAAATATTTATAAGACGGAGAAAAACTTGTTTTAATTCTTCATTCAGTTAATTTTAGCAAAACTCGATTTTAAGTCGATTTGTTTGATTAAGAGTAAATTATGCTAACTTGTTTTACTATAGATAAAAGAGCTGCTAGAGCAATACAAGGACGAGAAGCCTAGCATAGTCCTCACAGGACACAGCCTAGGTGCAACTATTGCGACCCTGGCAGCATTTGACATGGCAGAAAATATAACAAGCAGCTATAGCGACGTGCGGCCAGTGACGGCTATTGTGTTTGGTTCACCAAGAGTGGGCAACAAAGAATTCTCCAACAGAATTAACCGACATAATAACGTGAGGATATTGCACGTGAAAAACGAAATAGATCTTATCACTCGTTATCCAGCTAAGATAATGGGGTACGTCAACATTGGGACCAAACTCAAAATCGACACGAGAGTTTCACCTTTTCTTAAGGAAACTCATCATCCTGGTGATTGGCATAACCTCCAGGCAAGTCATTCTATTTTGCTTTATTTAAATTTAAGACATGCCTGTGAGTGTGTAACCTAGTCTAACGACACGTACTCCTAATTCGTGAATGATAGAAATAATTAGGTTTAATCAGACGGCCTGCTAATTTTTTTTTTTTTAATGCATAACAATATTATGTAGAATAGTCCGTTTGCAAATAAATGAGAACCTTACCTTCCGTTTGAATTTACATTTTGCATAGTATTCAGTAAGAAAATTATATTATTTTGTATTTTAAAAGTAAGAAAAATGTGAAAATGTAAACGCAGTTCATACGAAAAAAAAAAAGAAAATGTAAACGCAGACACAGAAAAATTGACGTTTCTAACACAGTCGAGACTCGAGACTCTAATGTTATAAGTAGAACGACATTGGTTTAAATAGTTATGGACATTTTTTTGGTTATAATTAACAATTATTGTTTGGGGTGGATGTAGGCAATGTTACATGTAGTAGCGGGATGGAACGGTAAGAACGGGAAGTACGAGATGAAAGTGAATCGAAACATAGCATTGGTGAACAAATCGTGTGCACTATTGAAAGAGGAATGTTTGGTTCCCGAGTGTTGGTGGATCGAGAAGAACAAAGGCATGTTCAAGACAGAGGATGGTGATTGGGTCATGGCCACTCCAGACGACGAGGACATGCCCGTCGTCGAGTTTGACTAATTATTTTTGATTTTGCATGATTTTTCTTTTTTTTTTCCTTTGTATGGTTGTAACTTGTAAAATGACATGGAGCTTTGTGAATTGTGAGACTACTATTTACTAATAATATTCCCAACGCCTTTTAATTCATGGATGATATATAGAGGTGCATTAGAATATATATATATATATATTTTTTTTTTTTTTAATTCACCCGAAAAAGAAAACGGTTTCAAAAGTAACTCATACGAATTTGGTTGATTTTTCTTCTCTTCTGGTAATGATTGATGAACTGTATGTGGATGATTTTTGTTTTTATGTTTTTTCTCGTTATAAATGAATTGTGAATGATACTATTGTATACTCTATGGGGTATGTGCCAATAATATTCCCACAACTTTTACTTCATCAATATTCTAGATATGGATATTTATATGTGGGTCACCATTCACATGCATTATTGGCACCATCATAATCACCATTCATCACCACTTAAGTAAAAAGTCTTATCCTGTTTTATATCCCCAATAGTCACTTACTATCTCTACACAATCATTTCTCCCCAATGGCTACAACAGCAACACCATGGGAAGAACTCTTAGGCTCCAAGAATTGGGACACTCTTTTAGAGCCATTTGATCAGTCACTTCGCCAACTCATTCTCCGTTGCGGCGACTTTTGTCAAGCCACTTACGATGCTTTCGTCAACGACCAAAACTCCAAGTACTGTGGAGCCAGCCGCTACGGCAAATCATCCTTCTTCGACAAGGTCATGCTCGAATCCGCATCTGACTACGAGGTCACAAGCTTCCTCTACGCCACAGCTCGTGTTGCTCTCCCTCAAGGTTTGCTTCTCCACTCACAATCTCGAGATTCTTGGGACCGTGAGTCTAACTGGTTCGGTTACATTGCTGTCACGTCTGATGAACGAACTAAGGCTTTGGGACGCCGTGAGATCTATGTTGCTTTAAGAGGAACGAGTAGGAACTATGAGTGGATCAATGTTTTGGGGGCTAGACTTACTTCTGCTGATCCGTTGCTGCACGGACCGGAACAGAACGCTTCTGGTTCTGATTCTGGTGTTGTTGGAGCTGCTAGTACTTATAGTAGTGACAGTGAAGACGAAGAAGGGTGTAAAGTGATGCTCGGGTGGCTCACTATCTATACCTCTGAGAACCCGGAATCAGAGTTCACAAGGCTGAGTCTACGTTTACAGTTGTTAGCTAAGATGAAGGAGCTTCTGCTTAAGTATAAGGACGAGAAACCGAGCGTTGTGTTGACTGGACATAGCTTGGGAGCTACAGAGGCTGTTATTGCCGCCTATGACATAGCTGAGAACGGTTCCAATGATGATGTTCCAGTCACTGCGATTGTGTTTGGTTGCCCACAGGTAGGTAACAAGGAGTTCAAGGACGAAGTAACGCGTCATAAGAACTTGAAGATCCTCCATGTAAGGAACAAGATTGATCTCTTAACTCGATATCCAGGAGGACTCTTGGGGTATGTGGATATAGGAACCAACTTTGTAATCGATACAAAGAAGTCGCCTTACCTAAAGGATTCAAAGAGTCCAGGGGATTGGCACAATCTTCAGGTAAAAGACCTTTAAGAGAATCTTTCAGTTTCGATGAAGGCAACAGAGTAGAAACTTGCATTTTTTTGTTTTTTTGTGTATGTGCAGGCAATGCTCCATATCGTCGCAGGATGGAATGGGAAGAAAGGAGAGTTTAAACTGATGGTGAAGAGAAGTATCGCATTAGTGAACAAGTCATGTGAGTTCTTGAAAGATGAGTGTTTAGTTCCAGGATCTTGGTGGGTGGAGAAGAACAAAGGAATGATCAAGGACGAAAATGGTGAATGGGTCATTTCTCCGGTGGAAGAAGAACCTGTACCTGAATTCTAAATTGAATTTCTGTATGTTTCATATTAATCAACAATAAAAGCAGCTCTTGCTCCTGTGTGTGGTTATAAAACCAAGTTATTGATATTGATTTAAGTTTATATAAGATGAGTGATTTTATCAAGCAAACATTCAAACGGTTTTATCTTTCTTACATCAGGAAAGATTCTTCTTCGCAAAGTAACGACATTAGATCAAACCAGTGATTGTTGTTACTACATCATTAAAAAAAGTGAAACTGCGATTAAGTTTTATGTTTATCTTCAGGACTTCGCTCACTTCTTTCCACGAAGCTTAGCTCCAAGTGCTCTCTCCAGCTTAGAAAGGATCTGCTGGTTTGGGATTGCTTTACCAGACTCATACTCTTGGATCACCTGTGGCTTCTCATTGATGATCTACACAAAGAGAAGCAAACAAGTGTTTTCTTTGTCAGGAAACAGAGTTACATAAGACTGATAATAATAAGAGATATAGAGAGAAGGATAACATACTTGAGCAAGTTGGGACTGGGTTAGCTTCTTCTCTGTCCGGGCTTGCATAATGGCTTTCTTTAGCTCAGTAGGCACACGCTCATCTGGAATCACAATGGTAGACACAACGTTAAATGGAGCTTTAACATCCAATACGCATCAATGAATCAAAATAAAAAGCTACTCTCGCTAAAACCATCATAGAGACACGGAGCCAAAAGACAAAATCCGGGATTCCAATTCATCATCACCCAAACATCAATAGACAACAACCATTATTGCCTAGCTTGTGACACTTTGCATCAAGAAATGTAACACATTCAGTGTAAAACAAAAATATGAGATAGACTTACGAGTAAGGTTCTCAGTGTCATCATCAAGCCTTTTTGTGTTGAGAGATGTGCCGCTCGATGCCGCCTTGTTGGTTCCAGCATTGACTGAACAACAACACACATTGAAACAATAAAATTCAACAACATAAATCAAACCGATGTCAAACCAAAGCAGGAAAATTTTGTATCGAACAACAAACAAATCGGCGATATCAATACATCCATTTAACGCGAACAATCATTGCCCAGACGATAATTTTTTAATTAACGAACATTAACGCTAAATATTTCCCTTGCAAGAAATTGCAATTCAATAGCTGAGAATTTTTTTGCTGAAAGCTAAATCGAGAGCTAAATACTATCCGGAGCTCCAATATCCAAATCTAAATAATATTCCAGAGAGTCCTAAACCGGATTATATAACTACGACACCGAATCATTCAGGAGCTAGGGAAATAAGAAACTAAGGTTAGATCGAAAAGAAGAACAAACATTTTCTGACGGTCTCGATATCGGCGCCGGATCGGCGAGCGGCGTTGACAGTTTTCTCGTCGCGCTTAGCGGCTGAGTTGGGGGCTTTCTTTCGGATCACCACCGGCTCCCAATCCTGAGTCATCGGTCCAACTCCTGCCATGGTTTCGTCTCGAGCTTTTTTTTCTCCTTCAACCGCCTTTTTGACAAAATCTAGGGTTTACTCCTGATATTATTAGAGAAGATAAATAAAAAGAAAATGATTGAAACAAACTCGGATAATATAGACAGCAAAAGAAAGCCGTGCGTGAGCTTCACGCTATTTGTTTAGTGAAAAAGTTATTTATTATATTCTCCGATAAATTAGTTTGAAAATTACATAACAGAACCAAAAAATAAAAAGTTACATTTTTTTTTTGTTGTAAATAAAAAGTTACATAAACCTCTTTTCATTTAACTTTTTATCTAAAGAATCCAAACAAAAAGCAAAGCAAAGCACTATCAGAATTTCAATTGAACTCTGTTTAATTTTTATTTTGTCACCGATTTTGAACATTGTAGTGAGCTATTTATTATAACTTCTACGCTATTTGGATTAAAAAAAAAATGTATATTAATGCATATTTTCTATACCCTTTGGTTCTCCTGCATATAAAAATTATGACCAATAATTGTTTGCTCTTCGGTTTTGAAAGGTTAATTTCGTAAATTTACGTATATATGGATCCCACTTGAGAAGAAATATCTGGGAATATGGCAACAAAATGGATCCTCTTTGATTTTTTTTTTACTCTTAACTAAACATAAGGCTAAAATTATTATTTACTCAAGCTTCTTCGTCTTCAACTTCTCCCGATTGATTCTATTCCTTCCGGATCTTACGCGACGGCTCAGTTCAGGTTCTCTTCATAGATTTCTCCCGTTTTGCTGTATACTGTATAATTTTGTCTGATTTTTTTTGTCCTTTGTAGCTTCCGTTTTTGTGTGGTTATCTGAGAAAACCAATCTCCGATTTGATGTCTTCAATGTATTAAATCAGATTACATGTCTTCCTGTTTGTGGTTCTAAACGTAATGGATGATAAATGCTTGCTAATTATATTGTTCAATTCGATTATATGGTGAGCTTTCTGATGTTTTGAATTCTATCTGTCGGGCTTGTTTGCTGTATTTGCGATTAGGCTACTCAATTCAGTTTCGATGACACAAACAATGTGATTCTGTGATTTAACCTTTTATGTTTCCTATGAGTAATGCATAAAACCATTTTTTTAATATACTTTTGATATAATCCTCATATGCATCAAGCAAGAACGTGTTGAAATTTTTTACATTCCTGTAAGCTGGTATTCATTTTGAGACTTTGGCCTTTTTCCCTTGTTTCAGGCAAAAATGGCTGTATGTTGTAGAAGAAGGAAATGATATCTGCAATGACGTTTTAGTACCGTCACTTGTGTTTAGAAAGCCAGGAGAAGCTCTTTTCCTCTGTTATCATTCACAGGTCTGGAACCCCTTTTTTCGGAAAAGGGGACATATCTGGTGAGCCTGAGAATTTTGGAATTGGATTCAGATAATGCCTTACTTTGCTCAGAGGCTTTACAACACTTGCAAGGCGTCATTCTCTTCAGACGGGCCAATATCAGACGAGGCTCTGGAGAAAGTTCGCAGTGTGTTGGGTATGATTACGTGTTTATTCTTTGTCTAGCGCTTTTTTATCTTCTTGTTTCAGTTTTCTCGCATTTGGATCATTGTTACCGTATTTTCTTAGGTTCTTGTTAGTGTTCTGCTTGTGACAATGAGTTATTTTGGCCCACAGCATATGAAACGGTTTATCTGATCATTCTGCAATTACCTAATATGATTGTATTAGTTAAGGTGTTGGTGGCAGTAATCTTATATCTCACTCTACGATTTGTTGTCTTAAATTGCAGTGGTCACCTGTTGCACTTAGAGCCTTAATTTTTGTAATTTATGTTTCAGAGAAAATCAAGCCATCTGATGTTGGAATTGAGCAGGAAGCTCAATTGGCACGGACCAGGTCTGGTCCTCTGAGTGAACGCAATGGAAACCATCAGTCACCCCCAGCAATAAAGTATCTTCATTTGCATGAGTGTGACAGTTTTTCGGTAAGCATAATAATTTGACAAAACTATGGGTGATTAGTCTTAAATCTTGTTATTAACTTACGGATAATCAAAAGTGGGGTTTTGAAACTCTTAAGAAACTGTGCATCTTTTTGTGATCCAGTTTAAGTTGTCTTAAAAAATCATTGTATAAGAGTCCCATTTAGATAGGATTGCTTCTGCTTGGATTAATATCCAGAGACCGAACACTCTGTAGTGGTAAAAGGTTAAACCGCCTCGATAGCCAATCCTGGGATGATGATTTAGTTGATGTTTAATATTCTCTTTTTCCGCATATCAAAATTAGGGGAATATAGGGGGGCATCCAAACATGATCCTTGAGAGAATCTCAGGAACCGACCATTGAAGCCATGAGCCTGAAGTCTGCAAAAAAAGAAAATAAAAAAGCCTATGACAAATGATCTAGAAAGTATGAGTAACCACAGTTCGAGTCATATTCAGAGTCGTCTCTAGCTGGGGTTTTGTCATCATTACACTGCCACTATCATTATCTCTCACTTGATTCATTTTACTTCTGTCAAAACAGATAGGAATTTTCTGTATGCCACCTTCCTCTGTGATACCACTTCATAATCATCCGGGCATGACTGTGCTAAGCAAGCTCATTTATGGTTCCATGCATGTGAAGTCATATGATTGGCTAGATCTTGACCAGACCGAGCCAGAGCCAGAGGATCCATCACAAGGTATAACCGTCGTCATTGTCTAGCTCTCAAATTGTAAAACGATCACTTCTGGTCTAATTGTAAAACTCTTAATTCATTTAGCAGCAAGACCCGCTAAAGTGGTGAAGGATACGGAGATGACGGCTCCAAGCGCAGTAACCACGTTATATCCGAGAAGCGGTGGCAACATTCATTGTTTCAAAGCCATAACCCATTGTGCTATTATTGATATCTTATCTCCACCTTACTCTTCAGATCATGATCGGCATTGCACTTACTTCCGGAAATCCAGAAGAGAAGACTTACCTGGTAACACAAATCACAAACTAAGCTCCCTGAAAGCACACGATTCTCAGTTAGAAATGGCTTAATGATTTGTTTTTTTTTTAACGGAGCAGGTGAAATAGAAGTGGATGGGGAAGTGGTGGACTCAGACGTGACTTGGCTTGAGGAATTTCAACCGCCTGATGACTTTGTGATAAGGCGAGTTCCGTACAGAGGTCCTGTTATTAGAACTTGATCATTTCATGGTATCTCATATTCTTATCTCTTTTATACTCACATAATAATTTGGGTGGGGTTCGGATTATTAATTATGATTTATCATCGTTATCATCGTTATTAGATAATAGCGAACGGGATTGTACATACTGATTGGTGATAAGAAGGTGTCTCCGTTTCTCATAATAAAGCTCACCGGGTGTAATTTGATTGTTTTCAAAAGTAAGGGAACAAAGCGCGTCTTTGGCTTTTTCTATGACACACAAAGCAACATAGACCCAAAATAGTGAATTTTATTTTTATGATGACTCACACTTACGATTACATTCCGTCGTCGTTTTAAAGCACTCCATAATTAATATGATATAAATGAAGAGTTAGATCATACAAAAAGTATAATCTAAAATTTGCTGCCTTGGCAAAAAAGAAATAAAAGACAAGGGGAGCAATTTCAAACTTGGGAATCTAAATCATGCGATCATCTCAGCGAAGCCATAAAGCCATTATGTTTTCCAAAATGTATTCTAAGTCTTCTTGCGTTAATTGTGTTTCTTTGCCTTTTTCTCTCTCATTCCATAGAAATTCTATTCCTTTGCCTTTTTCTGTTAACAGATAACTCCCCCTGTCATTCTCACGTAGAAAACAAGAAATATTGATTCTTATGATTATGATGAAGAGTATGGTGTTCAACCACCACCATAAGGAAAAGACAATAACAATAAAGAATTTTAGAGTAATCATGGTTGTAATAAATGAATTATTGCTTAAAGTTTATAAGTCTATTATTTCTCTATATATCTATTATAGACAGAAATCGTGGAAAATGTTGTTCGCATTAGCTAATGCATATTAGTTAGGGGAGTTTTGTTGTTGGTCTAAAAACTAAAATGTGGAATTGCTCATTGAAGTGTGAACAGCATCTACCCCAACCGCCTTGAACGCAACGCAGGTCCGGCCACTCACGGGATATCTTAGATAGTTACTCTTATACATCTTCACAATTAATTTAAGAAATTACATTATTTTCTATTATTTTTTCTTTATGATTTTTTTTCTTTATGATTATTATAAAACAATTTATAAATTTGAGAAAAGAAAATTGAAGCTAATTATGCCGGTCCTGGTAAAGATACGTAGGCATGTGATGAGGAAGAGTTTAAAGACGGTGCCTTATTTTGCGGCGATTCTTTAGGGCAACATGCAAAAATTTTAGCTTCTTGCATGTATATAAATAAATATATTAACTGGATCAACGTCCTTTTGTATTTTCGATTTTCTAGAGACCTTACTATATAATATTAGTACGTATAAACAGAAAATTTTCAGTTATAAACTCCAAACAACAAAACTTATGAGCTTTTAGTTATGAAGAAATACATAAATTAATCAATGACCAAAAAAACAAAGTTCATCAATGACCATATAGTAAAGCTTTTACCAATTTGTAAAAAAATTGTAAAATGTGATGTATATAATTTCGTGATTTTTTATTTACTTTTGTTTTGTTGAAACCTAACTTTCTAGTCATCTTATTTCTAACAACGGAATGGTCTAGAGTTTTCAGATAGTAAGTATTCGCAAAACTGAAGCTATATGTATAGTTGGACTGCTGATTACTTATTTCAGAAAGAATGATCATTTATTCTTGTCGAAAAAATTGTTTTTTTTATTAATTGATCAAGGGTATCTAATTAATAGATGCTGGAGCATGGTTTTGTTTTGTTTTTCCCTCTGAAATTAATAGAGGGACCGATTTTTTTCTGGAAAACCATCGACAAAAGATTCCCTTAACCAAATACACAACACAAGTGTCGATTAAAGAAATGCAAACATTATAAAGGCAATTTGAAACATACTATATATTCCATAAAAAGAGAGCATGGGAAATGGAGGAATTGTGAATGGATTGTCGGTACGTAAATAGGTTAGGACAAAAAACATAGCTTCCTCATCTTTCTTAGTGCCCACATGAGTCCCTTCTCTCACAATCAATGCTCTCTTCAGTCTTAATTAATTACTTCGAATATTTGTCCTCTCTTCTATCCTATTGCCTCTCTCAAAACCCTAAATTTGAAGATCGAGAGCGTTGAAATTTGATCCTATCGCGTTGAAATGTGATCCTATCGCGTTTTTACATACATATATATATATTCCAAAATGTTTGTATAGATATGTGTGTGCATAGAGTGTCGGAATCTTGCATCGGGACGGTTTATAATTAGGGTGGTGATAACTTCACATCAATTTTAGTTCAGTTTTGTAGAATGTCTTTGTACCTAGCTACACTAATTTGTTTTCTTGAATTATATTGCTACGGTATTGAGGTATTAGTTCAAACGGGTACATCTTAATAATTTAATATTTTATCAATTTTTTTTTTGTAACAAAATTTTTTTTTAATCAATGTTTATAGATTCAACTTCAAGTTCTTCACAAATGATCAAAAGACAAATGCTATTGCGTTGCTTTTGAACCATCAAAATGGCAATTGTTATACGGATGCTTTGGTTAATTTCATAAAAATGTCATTTTAACGCACCTCATGCATATTAAAAAAACTTAAAATTGTACTGATGTGTTTTTGTTTTATATAGCCATAGTTCACTGAATTATTCAACTACAAAACTAAAAGACTGGGTAAATAATAAATTTGAAAATTAGTTTGAAAAGACGAAAGTAGAGCAAGCCCTAAGCAGGTGTGTGACCCAATGCCCATTGAAATTTGAATGTAGTCATCAATAATAAAACCAAAAAAGATAAAGACAACTTCTAATTTTGTACAAACGTGAACCCAAGAATCTTTGGGAATCACATTCTTAAGGACCTTAACTATTTGACAAAACTCCCTTCACTTACTTTAGTTTATACGTTTTGTTCGTAAACTTTGGGATTGAAAACCGGTCATGTATTATATATTTAACATATATATACCTGTATATCATGAGAAATTGAGGGTAGACCACGACCTTAAACTTGATGTTTTAGAGAAATATTGGGTTATTTTTCCTCATCATGTTTAATGTGAATAGCAAAGACATTTGTTCGCAATACAGATAAATACTTCCAATAATCGGCTTAGATCGATGGTTGTCATATCCGATTTGGTTTTCTCGATCTAAGAGAATATATTGGTACATATAGGTTATTTAGATCTACCAAATTTATTGTATTTTATTTTTGAAAGTGGTTTTGAAAATATCGGTATAATATGACAAAATGGTAAAGCGTAGTCTCCGGCAAAGGTCAACTTAACTGGAGATTATCAAAGAGAAAAGAGTTTATAAAGACAAAAGTGGTTTGGTCGGATAGAAATGTTTAATCATTCACAAAACTACAATTCTAATGACACAAAATATTCGATTGCTAATTGTATATACATATAGACTTTATTATTTTGACCAAGATGCGTATATGTGACTGATAAACCAATTTAAACAGCCTAGCTATATATACTACCATATTATATATATAGATGGCATATTGCGTAAACAGAAGAAGGAACAACATTCAATATTCACCCCATTTTTTCTATTTTCCTTAAAGCAGGGAATTTATTTATATGTATTAGAAATAAAGGCGATAAGTTTATATGTCTTTGTCATTAAAAGAACAATCGGATATTTTTCTGGTCTGTTAACAAAAATGAAGCAAAAACTAATAACTAATATGATTTCACCAAACGGAAGATTCCAACACACTTTTCCACAAAAAACACATACACACACACGTAAACATGCATGACATAGATAAGAATATAAATGTCTATATATTATAGTTTATGACAAACAAGAGGACTATATAATAATGCGTGTGTAGTATATATGTGATCATATTTGTTATTAAAAGCTAAGTTCTACCTTCGAATCAAAATGATCATAGGGAGACTACACACACAACTTGAGATTTAACCTTTCTCATACGTTTTTTCTTTTGAGTAATAAAATATAATTAGCTACTGATTGAGAGAGCTAGAGCTAGAGAAACCATTCTCTCGCCGGAGAGACATGGCCGGGACATCTTCGCCGGAGAAATGCTCCACGTGGCTTGATCTAAACAGAGAAGAGGCGGTGGAGAAGAACAACGAAGAAGATCAGTCATCAGTTGAAGACGAAGACCAACATGTCACGAGTAGTAATAACGTAAGACAGTATGTTCGATCCAACATGCCTCGGCTTCGATGGACGCCTGATCTTCATCTTTCCTTCGTCCGTGCAGTCCAACGACTAGGCGGTCCTCATAGTATGATTCTTTCTCTCTCCAACTCTCTCTCCCTTTCTCTCTGAATTGTTGGTGATTGTAATTGTTGTATATATGATTTTACAGGAGCGACACCGAAATTGGTTCTTCAGATGATGAATCTGAAAGGATTGAGTATTTCACATGTCAAGAGTCACTTGCAGGTCAATTAATACACTAATCTTCTCTTGTATATGTCTTCTCTAAGATTACCTCAGTTTTGTTGGTCGTTTCTTTTCAATGTTTTGATGTTTCTGATTTCTAGATGTATCGGGGTAAGAAGCTCGAGGCATCGTCTTTCCATGGTATGTTCATTTTGATCAGCAGTCAATTTTGAGTTGATTGGGATCGATTTTCCCAATATTGATGATATGAAGATGGCTTTTTTCCAAATGACTTTTGAGCAGAGATTGGAGCTATGATGGGTGGACAAAGAAGGTGTTTGTTAGACATGAGTTATGGCGATTTAAGAAATGTCTATAACACTAAAACAGTTCCTCTAAGGTCACATAAATTCCATTTCCTAAAGGTTTCAGATTTGTAGCCATTTTTGCGATCAGGAAGTTAATTAAAAAAAGCCTTCTTCTGCAGGGTACACAACCAAGGCGCGGTCTTTACAAATCTTGGAGGTAACTTTGTTATACGACCTTCGAGCTGGTGTAACGGAAATGAATGGCATGGTTTCTGTGGAGGACTTGACAGAGACAGCACCAAGAGCAAGACTCTGCCTCTACTCGAGGTAGCTAATCTTCTCTCCAGTTTAAAAAGTTATTGATGAACAGTTTTGGTAAAAGCAATGGAAGGATATTGTAATCTTGGTGAAATCTTATGCAGATTAAGAGGACGACCCATGAGAAAAGAGTCCGAGAAGAACAGGGGAGAGAAGTATCATCATTAGCCAAACGATCAAAACTAATGTCCGGAGGTGGAACTCAGTTACCTGAATTTGGAAATTGCAGGCAGAAACCAACAGATGGTATCAACACGATGCTCTCGCTCTCTCTGTTCTCAACATCATCAGGAGACCGTAGCTGACGTAGTAGAGACATAAAGGTTGAACTTTTAAAGGGATTCAAGGATAGATCGACTTTTCCTTAGCCATTTCTTGGGATGAGTACTTAGCCAGGATCTGAGTCAGGCTTGATTCAGATCCTGTAAGTACTTTTCTTTCAAGTAAATTCTTGAGTTTGTCTTCTTAGAGAAAATCAGTATCAGTCGGATGTAACAAAAATTGTAGAATGCAAACAAAACACATATAATAATATGTTTCCTGCTCAAAACCACTAAACCAACAACATGAAAAGCCACTGATTTGATGAAACAGTGAACGATAACAAAGGCCTAAATGTATCAGAACCATGATGGTAAGAAAAAATCATAATTAGTACCAAAAAACCACTTCAGAAAGAATAGAATACTTAGTTATACATATACTTATCGAGCATCTTCTTTGGATCACTTATCAACGAAAACTCTTCCTCCTCTTAGCCTTCTCTTTTAATCCACCACCAGATTCATCAATGTCATTCTTTTTCTTTTTCGACTTTAACCCATTCTTACTCTTCTCTTTCTTCTTCACAATGGCTGATTTCTTCACCGGTTTCTCACTCACTGCAGACTTCTTACTCATCTTCTTCGTCTTCTTCTTATCTCCAGAGCCATTGAGATCTCCAGTAACCTCATCTTCAACATTCATTCCGATTTCATCATCCCCAAGAGTCTCAGATACATTACTATCCATATATCTAACCTCATCAATCCTCCCTTTCTTCTTCTTGTTCTTCACCGAGACAACAGTACTCTCACTCTCATCAACATCACTTTCAACTGATTCTTCATCAAATGAATCGATTTTGAGCTTCAAATCAGGCACCGCCTGATATATAGGCAAAGCCAGACTCTCACATAACTTCAAATGCAACGACCTAACGTAATTCCAGTTACCAGGCAAAATATCGACTACTCCACTCAAAGTGGCCATCACATTCTCGGCGATTTCATCGCTCTGCATCGACAATTTCCCAACTTTGACGACACTACAAGTCCCTGTTCTCAAGAAGAACATAGTAGCTCCACATGCTTTCTCGATCTGCTCCTTCCAGTTCTTATGCTTCAAGTCGATCGGCAATGGAACCTTCTTGTTCACGAAGAATTTCTTCCCAAACAATCTCGGCAACATATGAATCACTCTCCGATCGGAGAAAAACCTGTCGTATGAATCGCAAAGCTTCCGTTTCGCCATGAAAGGTCGATAATCAGTTTTCAGCTTTGAGAGCTTAAGAACCTTAGTGATGGGTATGTTCTCCGATTTGATCTTCTTAATCGCGTCTTCCTTGGTGATACCGCTTTTCGGTCTATCGTCGATGATGAGACAGAGCTCCGGCGAATCTTCGGTAGGTTTAATAATCGGATGAGGAAGACTGATACGATAAGGATTAATACGGCTCGTCTGTGGAATCTTCTTCAGTGTTACGATTAGGTAAACGAACTCGTCCTGCTCTACAAGCTGCTCCTTCTCCGTCTTCGATTTCTCGTTTCTCCAGTTGACCAAGGACTTGACTGCATCTTCCACTGTATTTGGACTCACTCTTGACGTCTGTAATTGAGACATCGACGGCTGAGATCCGGTGGTCATCGATAGGTCGGACTCGGAGAGGTTGAAAAATTAGGGGTTTGTGAAGAATTAGAGGGTTTTAGAAAGGCGGAGCAAATATATGAAAGCTTTATGAGTTTTAGGGTTTCTTGATGGGCCATGATATAGTTAATGGGCCGAATTCTGTTGTTGTATTGTAAAAAAGTTTTCTGTTTCTTGTGTAGCAAGCGAAACAAACGTTGTCTTTTTGGTAGAGAGAAAGAGAGATTATTCAGTTGGAGTTTAGCATTGTCTTCGGTCTTCCCTCTGAGCCTGAGAAGAACGTACTGTGGTGGCAGAGCCTTAGCCTACACGGAAGCTATGTGGAACCTCATTCAAACACACATGGGCTCGTTAACTTAAGTGGTGAACAAACAAGGTTTTCGTGTTGTAAATCGTAATACACATTTTGCCTCTTTGGTTTCTTCGGAAGGAGAAGAAGATTCGATTATTCATATTCCTACGTATATAATTTTGAACATAGCATCATTTTTTGGGATTTAGTGTTTATTATGTACAAACATAGTTTTAGGTCCACACTTTCAGGATTAATGTTTAATTTTTTATCGTTTATAGTTTCTTGATCTAATAGTTTATAATTTACGTGACTTGGGTTGGATCAAATAGTCTTTTTTTTTGGTCGAAATCGATCAAATAGTCTATAGCTATATATGTTTTACCATGCTTTAGTTTATGTTAGTTACGTGTATCCTAGTAATTTTACCAATTTCATTTGGGGTTTAACTTTCCTAGTTTCGATCTCTTCCAATAGAAATTACTTTTCTTATTATTTGTAATTTTTTTCTCTTTTATCTTTTTCAAGATGCTGATGTAAGATGGATGATACTCAAATTATGTTATTTTAACTCTAATTCAACTAAGGTACATTTCTTTCTATAAAAATATTTTTAATAAAAATGAGGTTAATTTTAACTATCTTTAGATGCAAATTATTAATTTTTAATAGATTTCAATGTAGTATTGAAATCATTATATTTAATTAGACAAATGAGCACTTTTCGATCAATAAGACCACTGACAGTCTGGCATTTCAATATGACTCTTTCCGCCATTTTTAGTTTAGTTCCTTTTCCAAAATTTGTTATTCTAATTAGTTAGTAAAACTAGACAAAACAATATGTTTTTAATAGTTAAGATAATTGCATTTATTTAATGTGTCACTTTATAGATAAAAAATATGTCTCAATAAGTTTCTTATGTGATTTGTAATATATAAAAGGAAGGATTTGATAATGAACAATATGAGGAATGTTTATTTTTGGCTTAATGATAAATTACTTATTAAATCTTTTATGATAATGACCCTGTCAAAAAATAATCATGTTTTGTTGTTGACGTATATATATGTATCACAATACAGCATACATAGATAACAAAATAAGTTTTTTTCATTGTTTATTCTGATAGAAAACCTTTAAAATTCAAAAAAAAAAAAATATATATATATATATATATTAATTATCATGATATCTTGGTATTTAATTTTTTTATATTATGTAATCATTTTAAAAAAATTAGCATTTTAAAAAATTCAGTCTTTTATCTCTTCTAGGATCCAGTAGATCAATTTTACCTGATAAATGTTAATCTTAGCATCAATTGTTTTAGGTGAAAAATATGGAATTAATATAATATATTTTGATGTGACATTAAAAACATAACTTTTAATTAGACAAGATGAGGACATTTGGACAAATGACAGTATTAAAATTTAAATATGACTGTTTTCTTTCATTTTTAGCTTTTATTCCTTTCTTAGAATTCTTATTCCTTTTTAATTATTTTCATAAACTAAATAATTAGTTATATTTAATAAGTAATGATAATTATATTAATTGGATTTCTCACTTTATAGATGATATATTGTGTCCCAAAAAGTTTTCTTATATGCAAAATTGTACTATATAAATGGAGAAAATCTTACAATAAACCATAATGTCCAAAGTTCTTTTTAGTATTCAAAGTATATGATTAAAACTAAATGATAACGTTGCTGTAAGAAACAAAATTATCCATTGTTCTTGACCTCTAGGTATGACAATCTACATTAATATTGAAATACGAGGGTCTACATTAATCTTTTTTTTTGTATTAAAGGGTTTACATTGATCATTGTTGTTGAATTTTTAAAAATGCATGGTTGAATTGTCTTCGAGTTCCTAAAACATTTGAGAAACAAATGCATCATCTTTTTTCCCAAACACATGTTTAAGCTCTTGTGTAGTTGCCAATGATTTTAACTAATTCCATCCATGTTGCAATCTGTTTGCATAGACGTACATACATATACTCTTTCAATTTGTATGTGTATGTACGTATTTCTCTTTGGGTTGATCAGGCAATTTTCAATTCTTTCTCTAGCTGTCTTGCAGTGCGATCGAGCTGTCTTTTCTGTATTGCAAATTGTTTCGTTGTTAGAAGTTGAATTGGAACGAGTTCATCAAACTTTGATCTGCTTGCGGTGAGTTTTTCATATTCTTCTTTTTCTCTCTCTAGCCTTTTCAGTGTCATTTTCTTTCTTTTGGGATTTTTGACCATTTGGTTTATGGATTTCTTATAAGTTTGGATCGATCTTGGTGGTCAAGATTTATTCTACTGGTTTTATGTTGATGGAGTTTTCCATTAGGATTGATATTGAGTTGAAGTTTACACTTGGGGTCGATAGAAAGGGGATTGCTCTTATCAAAAAATTTCATATAATTTATTTGAAAATCTATGCAGGTTTTTGGAATTTTGTCATCAAGGGCACAAATGGGATCTAAATGTTGTAGTTGTCGCGGAGGATCCGTTAACAATTCCGTCATAACGTAAGAGTTGCTTATGTACTTCTTTTGGATATGCGGACTATTTCTTTCTCTTTTCATTTTCATATTATCTGCTTTTCGTATCGAAGTTACTATCGAAAATCCATCAATATAAATAGTTTGAAGCCAGTCTTGAGAATTCTGGAATATTCAAAATATTCATTTAGTTAAAGCTTTGATAAGGAAATAGAAATGCAACTGTTTTGTTACTAGAAAATGTATAGATACTAAAGTGGAAGCATTGAAAATGCCTCCCTTTTTTTCATTTTTCCTTAATCATCAATGTTTTCTTTTTTACTTAACCATTCAGTTGTTGCCTATGCAGGTTAGCTGACCTCCAGGAACAAGCTGCAGGTACAAGAAGTTTGATTCTCAATATTTTTGGTACTTAATTTCTTGTTTTTTTTTTTGTCTCTTCTTGAGGGAGGCTAAAGGGTTAAGGTGTGGATTTAGACCTCAAGGAGATGGCGGTGGAAGAGAGAAGAGACGTCAATGTGCCATCAGAACCAGAACCTTCACAAGTTTTAGAGAGTTCCGGTGCTGTTCCTATTGAACAAGCAGAAACCTCTTATGCTAGAGAATCACCAAAAAATCTTGGTCATGTTGGGATGTCTGCATGGTATGCATCAAATATTCTTTGGAGCACTGGGTCGTTTTCTGATCCGATCCCAAATGGTTTTTACTATGACGTTTTTTCTCTCTTTTCATTTTCATATTATCTGCTTTTTTAAAAAAATTAATATAGAAGATATGAATAATTTGAAGCCAGTCATGAGAATTCCGGAATATTCAAAATATTCATTTACTATTTAAAGCTTTGATAAGGAAAATAGAAATGCAACTAGTTTGTTACTGGAATGTATAGATATATATTAAAGTGGAAGCATTGAAAACGCCTCCTTCTTTTTCATTTTTCGGTTCCTTAATCATCACTTTGTTTTTTTTTTTTTTTTTACTTAACCATTCAGTTGTTCCCTGTGCAGGTTAGGTGACCTCCAGGAACAAGCTGAAGGTACAAGAAGTTTGATTCTCAGCCATTTTGGGTACTTAGTTTTTTTTTTTTTTTGTCTTTTCTTGAGGGAGCCTAATGGGTTCAGGTGTGATTTTAGAACTCAAGGAGATGGCAGTGGAAGAAAATGTTGCTGTGCCTATGGAACCAATATCAGAAACTTCTAATGCTAGAGAATCACCAAGAAATCTTGGTCAAGCTGGGACGCCTGCATGTTATACAGCATCAAATATTCTTTGGAGCACTGGGTCGTTTTCTGACCCAATCCCAAATGGTTTTTACTATGTGATCCCGGTAAGCTATATATCTTTAGGTTGATATTATTCTTTTCTAGTAACTTGTTTTTCAAGAATCATTTTCTTATTTGATTACCTTGTTGGAATATCAACAGAGATTGAAGCAGTTTAAAAGCATTCCTACATTAGATGAGCTCCGTGCGCTGGGTGACGAAGGTGTAGAGGCTGATGTAATTCTTGTAGATTTCAAGAAAGATAAAAAGATTAATATGCTAAAGCAGTTGATCACCAAACTTGTTGAAGGACTGAACCCAAATCCGGTTAAAGCTATCAAGAAAATTGCTGGACTGGTAAGAATGGGCGAGCATAATCTAGTATCTCCTATGCTAGTAGCTACGACTATAGGTGGCTACAATACAATAATTTTCGTTACTTTTTATCGTATAGTTGCATGCAATGAAGATTTGGTTCTAATTAGGTTTAGGGTTTAGAGATTGATGAATTTGTTTTGTGTCCACCCTTAAATCTAAAAAGAAATCTTTTATCTCATTTATTATTAGAATCTTCAGGGCACATCACAGCATTTTAATTGAAATTCTCCTTCATTTGGCAGGTGGTAGATGTTTACAAACGACCACCTCTGCAGAGTCCAAAAAAAACTACACAATCATTTGAAAATCGTGGTTTCCCACTGCTAGGGCAGATAAGACCTGGCTCTTGCCGTGTTCGAGCCATCTTGTTTAAAGTTCTAGCTGATACTGTTGGTCTTGAAAGTAAACTTGTAGTGGTAAGTACTGTACACAAAAATACGCCTTGCATGTATATCATTCCATTTTGCACAATGTCATTGACTGGTTATGACTTATGAGAACTTGGCATTTCTTGTTTAATCAGGGTTTGCCTCGTGATCTAAAATCTTCTCCAAGCGTCGACTCGTATGACCATATGTCTGTTGTGGTTGTGCTAAATACTGTGGAAATGATGGTCGACCTTACGCGTTGTCCTGGTCAGCTTATACCAATGTCAAGCAAGGCAATCTGTATGTCTCATATCTCAGTTACAGGGAGTGACTTTTGTCATTCACCATTAGGGCAAAAAAGCCCCATGTACAGTTATGTTGACCAGATAGACAATGAAAGGTAACGAGGATATGTATTGACTGTTTGTTTTTTTTCAAGATATGCACGCACAAGTGTGAAAATACGCCATTAATCTTCCGAGTTTTTGTTATTGTTGTTTCTTCAGTTTGTCACGAAGCGAACCAAACATAGCTACTAAATTGTTGCGGTGTAGCCAGGGAAATGGCATCAGGATACAGCGTACTGCTAGTTCCAGGTTAATAGTTCTTGTTCTATGCCTACTATTATTTGCATGAGATCATCTTAAAGCCAAGACATTGATCATTTTCTCTCATTTATGTGATTTTAATTTATGTTGACTCTTCAGTCCTGAGGGTCCTTACGTCAGAACTCGTGCGAGGTTCATGCTAAATGGTGACCATAAACCAGAATGTAGCAATGATGTATCAAGGTTCTCTTTCGCGCCCCTATTTGGATTATATAGCTAAAATAGATTTGATTTAATTCTTTCAAAAGTTATGTGCATTTGTAATACGACAGAAAACAATGTTGGATGTGTATATATGGTATCATTACAGATTTGTAGCAATGGCATTTAAATTTAAAGCAAAATCCACAATCTGTTTCAGGTCAGAGCGAGATATAAGTGAATCCTTGAAACAGAGCCGCTTCTTGAAAGAGGGAAATGGTGATGATTCATCTCCTAATGATCTGCAGACGGCAATATCATTACAGTCATCTCTCCAAAACAATCCAAGCCAATCATCTGAAAAGAGTGAACCTTTACATGAAAGTATAAGCCAAATCTGGAATGAAGTGCTACGATCTCCAATGTTCCAGGATAAGCCTTTGTTACCAAATGAAGAATGGAATATAGATTTCTCCGAGTTAGAACTTGGAACTCCTGTTGGAATCGGTAAGAATTGTGGAGTAGTGTTTTTCAAATTCCATCTATCCATTGTGTTTTAGCCGAAAGACTATGTTCACCAAGAAAACTTGGATATATGGATCTGTAATTGGCACTTTGAAAATCCAACTAATTAAGTCACTCTTTGTTGTTGGTGTTTACAATCCAGGATGTTCCGGAAAAGTCTTCCGTGGCATCTGGAATGGAAAAGATGTTGCGATCAAGATGTTTCTTGATCAAGAAGTTACAGTTGAGAACATAAAAGAATTCTGTAATGAGATATCCATTCATAGGTATATATTTATTCCCTCAAATCTATTAATATGTGTCTATTTAGTTTGCAGCGAATTACGTCTCAACTTATCTTCTCACCTCTCTTCATGTCTTTTCATCTGTGCAGCCGTCTTCAACATCCCAATGGTAATAATCATCTACTTCCTTTTTTTTTTTTTTTGCTGTGGTTTATTTTTCCAACGTTTTGATCCCTAGATATCAATTTTGGGCATCTGGATTTCTTGTAGTTATTAAATTTCTAGGAGCTTGCACAAAGTCGCCTCAGTTATCACTGGTAACTGAGTATATGGAAAAGGGCTCATTGTATAATATGATTCATTCAACTGAGAAAATGAAGAACCTTAGCTGGGGAATCAAGCTACACATTCTGCGTGATATCTGCAGGTATTTCATTTCTACACTGAAACTAATACTTGTCATTTAGATTTTCACCACATCATCAGGAGATTTGGTACTCATTTGAATCTTTATATATGTGTGTGTTTGGAAGGGGTTTGATGGGCATCCACCAGATGGGGATAGTCCACCGTGACCTAAAGAGTGCCAACTGCTTGCTGAACAAAGAATGGACAGTCAAAATCTGTGACTTTGGGCTCTCGAGAAAGATGGAAGGCACGACGATGAGTGAGAGTGAACCTGCAGGAACTCCAGAGTATATTGCTCCTGAAGTTATCCGCAAAGAGCCCTTCTCGGAAAAATGCGATATCTTTAGCTTTGGTGTTATAATGTGGGAGCTCTGCACTCTGTCTAAACCATGGGAAGGAGTCCCAAAAGAACTAGTATGTTTGTTTAACAAGAACAACAACACTTGGTAACTAAACCAAACAGTTTATCTGAAAACGCGTTTTTGTTTTTCAGGTCATGTATAATGTTGCAAACGAGGGAGCCCGGCTTGATATACCTGAAGGACCGTTAAGCAAGCTTATTGCAGGTTTTGTGTGATTCCTCAAAATTCTATTAACTGCTGTTTCTTTTATTGTTCTTTTCAGTAAAGAGATGCTTATGGAATCTTTGTCTTGCTGTAGATTGTTGGTCGGAACCTGAGCATAGACCGAGCTGTGAAGAGATACTGACCCATCTAGAGACCTGCGAGTGTTCGCTTTGCTGATTCTATGAACTTATTTTTTTGTTTTTTTTTTTCTTTTCAATAAGAACTCTTTTTGAGGTATTAGGTATAATTATGCGTCTGTGTTAAATAAAAACTATCATCTATATCATTAATGAGTTGGTATAAAATTTGGGGTTTTCTCTCTTCTGAAACCATTGATCATACTATTGCAAATGTACATTATATCTTTGCTCTTTCCTTTTTACAAACATATATAGCAGTTCATTTCCATAAAGATAGATACTCAAGTTTCTCCCACACTGTATCTTCAGAACAGAACCCATTCCCATCACTGCTTGGAAACAATGAGCAGTGTTCTTCCTCAGATGAATACTTGCACCTCTTCTGGCTCCTCTCGTAATCATCATCATCATCATCATCATCCTCGTGGTTAGTCTCGCTTGTTTCCACCCTTTCTCCTCTTCCCTCCCCTGAACCAGACCACACGCAATCTGTATGCAGTTTCTTGATCCGATCGGGCTCAATCGCCTTCAAGGAAGCTCTTGTATCAAGATTCTTGCAGCAGGATATTCTAACATCAGTCAGAGTCTTCCTCAGGAGAGTAATCATTAAGTATATAGATATAGATTGGTGGCATTTAAGCAATTGATCGAACCCACACGGAAAGAAGGAATTTTTTTAGTAATAGGATTTATAAAGATACGTATAATGGCAATCTCTGTAATTATAATAGCCTTTTAGACATTTCTGAAAAATGTAAGGATATATAATATATATAAAATGTAAGGATATATAATAACTATTCCCTCCCGATTCTTATCTTATCAAAACCCTAAAAAGCGGATCATGGCAACGTCAGAATCGAATCGATTTTCTGGAAATCGACCAAGTGAGAATCAGTCAAATGATTGCGAGACCGAACCTGACCCTCGGATCCGGAGAAAATGGGGACCTATACCACATATTCCGGTGAGTTATCATTCATTCTAGATTTTGTTTGTGAAATTAATAATAAATCTTAGAGACCCTCGATTCGATTTTCAGGACAGGCGTGATGAAAATTTTCAAAAGTTTTTTAATCGTTGCCGTGAAAATCCACGACCAAGTGAGAATCAGTCAAATGATTGCGACTTCGACTTCGATGATGTCGAACTCGAACTCGACCCTCGGATCCAGAGAAAATGGGGACCTATACCACATATACCGGTTAGTTATCATTCATTCTAGTTTTTGTTTGTGAAATTAATAATAAATCTTAGACACCTCCATTCGATTTTCAGGATAGGCGTGATGAAAATTTTCAAAAGTTTTTTAATCGTTGCCGTGAAAATCCAAGACCGATTACAATTCCAATTCCAACAATTATTCCGGTGAGTTGATATCAGATGCCATTGTATGTATCATACTAGTTTTGGTCTGAGAGAGATAATAAAATAACTTTTCACACAGCGCGAGATTGAGAGTATGGATCAAGAGTCTATTAATGGACCGGAAGAAACTCACAAACTGTCTATCACTATCATGGATTGGAGTCGTGTCTCGGTAAGTTTACTCTCATTCAATGATGGTTCTTTATGGCATTTCTGATATCCTTTTATGGTTTGTTACAACTTGTGTAGGCGAAAGACTTGTTGTTGTTTTTGAATCCGTTTCTGTCGGAAGGTGGACGCATTTTGTCTGTGGCTGTCTATCCAGGAGATGATGTCGTCGAGTAAAAACCTCTGCTTTTTCGTTTAAATTTTTGGTCTCTCTCTAGTATTATTATTACTTACTGAAACTGATGATCCATTGCTCTCTTCTTCCTGTTTCCAGGGGCTATCATGCAGTTGCTATTTGTGATTCGAGTGCTACTGCAGATTACTTGTACAAATCTCGTCTTGGAATTGAGTCTGAGTTTGAGAGATGCTCAAACAAGCTCCTCGACTTTAAGTTTATTCCGGATTCCATGGAATTCATTCAACTTCCTCGTGATGTTGCAACACAAGAAGACCCTGCTCCGGATCCGACAATCTCAGCTCTGGTCCAAGGAGTGCGACTTACGCAACTCAATCAGCTCTGAAGTTAAAAGGATGAGATCCTAATTAGACAAGACCTGTTGAACAACTCTGATGCTTGTCTTTTTATCAGTTTCTGTTTTACATTTTATTTCAGAGCACTGGTATGTTGAACAAACTTTGTTTTCTTTTTTTGTTTTTCTGTTTTAAAAAACAAGTTAACAATTTCAATCTATCGGAGTTTCTACTTCCAATATGAATATTTCATGGCTGGGACCTGGATATTTGTTTTTAGACGATATGTCGGAACCGGGGCTACGCAACTGAAAACAAAAAAAAATGTGGAGTCTCGAGAGAATAGAACCAAAAAAAATAAACTGCTATATATTATTATTCGTGCAATTTGGGGTTTTCTCTCTTCTGAAACCATTGACCATATTGTTGCAAATATACATTATATCTTTGCTCTTTCCTTTTACAAACATATATAGCATTTAAGTAAACTATAAAAGATATATATATATATATATATATTACTATGGAGAAAACTCCCTGCTAAATTTCAGTCAATGATGTTGCGGCTGTTCAACTGGTCTTCGAATCGACTACAAGAACCAACTCTCATCTCTGTGCTCATATCGTTCTCAGGCGCTGGATAATAGTCTTCTCTTAGCTGCACGTCCCTTAAGTTCGGTATCCTCAACAAAAAATTCATGAAATGCTCATGAGCCGTTCCATGGATAAAAAGCTTCCTCAGAGTCAAGCACTCTTGTAACAGACCTGCACCAGGAAGCGAAAGACTCCTCTGGTTAACATCTCTGTCCTGTGCTGGCCAATAATCCAGCTCGCTCAAGCTCAAGTTCCCAATTCCAGTCAAGAAAAACCTCTCCCACAAGCTCAGATCCATCTGCATCGGCGGTGCGGTCAGTGCGTAGCCGATCGTGTCCCCGCAATCTAATTGCATCTTTGAGAGCTTTGGATACAGAGCAAGACAGCTTAACCCGAGCTCCGGCTCAGCTGGCTTACGCTTACCCCTGCAATCTCCTTCTATCTTGATCCTAATCTCTTCCAAATTCGGACAGTCATCTAGTCCTGTCATAGGTAATGGTGTCAGAAATTCTCCAACACTGATCCATAAAGACAGATACTCAAGTTTCTCCCACACTCTGTCTTCAGAACAGAACCCATTCCCATCACTGTTTGGAAACAGTGAGCAGTGTTCTTCCTCAGATGAATACTTGCACCTCTTCTGGCTCCTCTCGTAATCATCATCATCATCATCATCATCATCTTCCTCGTGGTTAGTCTCGCTTGTTTCCACCCTTTCTCCTCCCCCCTCCTCTGAACCAGACCACACGCAATCTATATGCAGTTTCTTGATCCGATCACAGATGGGCTCAATCGCCTTCAAGGAAGCTCTTGTATCAAGATTCTTGCAGCAGGATATTCTAACATCAGTCAGAGTCTTCCTCAGGAGAGTAACCATTGTTCTTAGTCCCTTCACTGTTACATTCTCACACCCTTGAATCTCAAACTCAGTCAGCTTACAACATCCTCTCCCTATAGCCACCAGACCCATATCAGTCAAATCGCCCGAGTTTTTAATCGACAACGACTGCAATTCACCGCACAAAGCCACGCCGTCAAGCCGCCAATCTGTGGCGGAGCAAACTCCTTGGAACTGTCCTAGCTTCAGTGTTCTTAGCTTCTTGCACTTCAGTTTCAAGGACTCTAAAGCCACACCACTGTGATTCAAGTTCTTCCCAACATCAAGCACAAGCTCCTCTAGATGCGGAAGAGCAGAGAAAACCTCGATGAGATTCCCCGCCGTGACCGCAGAATCTCCGGTTTCGTTACCTGGAATCGCCCTAGGGCTCGCAAGCGACGCCGTGTCGACCATGTGGAGGAGCGTTAATTTAGGGCAATTGGTGGCTACGGCGGAGAGAGTCTCGTCTCCGACGAATTCAACGTATCTAGGATCAAAGGTGCAAGCTACACGGAAATACCTCAGATTAGGGCAGGATCTGGTGATATCGACGATCTCGCTCGATTTGTAACCCTCGGTGAAGGAAGCCGTCAAGAGATCCAAGCGATTGAGCCTCGCCGCGACGTCAGAGTAACGGAGGAGAACGGGAGGAAAGGTCCTCGGTCCAGTGGTAGAAGGCGGAGAGATCGAGAGACTCGAGGGAACCACAGTGCTCGAGATAGGGACGAAGTCGCCGCCTAAGGGGATGTGAGAGGCGCGTTGGTGCCATCGGACGAGCTTGATGTGGCGGATTCTGGGGCCATTGAGGGAGCAAAGCTCGAGAGAAGTCGGGAGCGAGAGTAGAGAGAGAGAGTGTCGACGGAAGGGAAGCAGAGCTGGAGACGGGAGAGCGAGAAGGTTCTGGTGATCAATGGGCAAGAGGCGAGAAGGGAGTGACCCCAAGGGGAGAGGAAAGAGAGATCGAGATGAGAACGGATGGGAAACAGCCAGGGAGGAGGTGGAGATCACGAGCGTTGCCACGGAGAGTGAGGTGAGAGCGAGTGGATCGCTCGAGGGCGAGGAATTTGCGGGAGACGAGGGAGAGAGAGTTGCGAGCTCTGGAATCGGAGACGAGAGCGCAAATGTTGGATAAGATGACGTCAGGTAGATCGGAGAGGGTGGTGGTGGAGTAAGCAGCCATGGGGAAGGTAGAAGAAATCTTGGGAGAGGAGAGTAATCGAGAAGATTTAGGGAAGACGAAGAAGAAGAAGAAGAAGAAGAGATTTGTCTTGGGAGGAGAGAGAGCCACGTGATGCTGACATTCCTCTGCTCTCTCTCTCTCTCTTTTTCTTTTTTTTCGTTCTGTTTTTTATTTGATTTTAGATAAATGTCTCTTTGCGCTGCGTTATGGGCAAAAGGATCTAAACATAGATAATTCGATTTTTTTTATTATTATTAATCTTCCATTTTATTCAAAACGATATTACAACTTTCGATTATTGCTCTAATTCTTGTTTGTTTTGTTGATCATAAGGTATTGTTGCAAATAATAGGACTCGTTCAGTATTCCGGTATTGAATACCCAAATCACAACGATATGACTATTAAAACATTTCCCAAAGTATACATGGTGCTTAATGTTTCATATATTGAAATCTATAAAATCATGTATTTTTGGATTGATTATTAGAATATTGGGTGTTTAGATAACATAATTGAAACTTATTCTGCTCGGTCTTCTGGGTATAATGGCCAAATAATAGATAACTGATAGTATTATCTTTGATGATAAGGTTGTGAGTATGTCATACTTTACCATTTAAAAGTCTGGGAGTATTGTAATGTATCATGCGCACTATTATTTTGAGAATTCATAACTATAGTTGCATGTAATGTCCTGACTACTCGGTAGTCATTATTTACTTCTGAATAAAATATATAAAAAAATAGTATTATCTTACATCTAACTCAAAGAACAAAGATTTTCGAGTATGCTAACTACGGGTACATGTATTCACTTTTACTGTGCATGCATTCACTCTCATGTATATATGCATTGTGTCAGAGTTATTTAAGCTCGTTTAAAATGTTTTACCAGAACCATATAACCCTATATTTGTTCTAAGTTGACCATGATCCAATAATAATGTCAATAACATTATGTTATATGGACTTCTTAAATTCTTCGGAACTCTATCATACATCTCTCAACAAAAAATATATATATATATATATCGTTGATTTAACCGACCTGCCACCATCCAATGGTCGTCATCTAACAGTTTCTCTGACTCTAATATAAATCATTTTACATTTAAATTTATAAAATTTACTGAGAAATGTTAAAATACTTTAGGGTAATTAGGTCCAGTTGTTATCTCAATGGAGATCTAACATACTAAAATTGATTTTTAATGATCTAACATTTTTAAATGCAAGTTAAGTTGTCTATATGAAGATATGTTGATGCTTTCATTCTGAACAATAGATCGGTATTTATAAAGTTAAGACTATTTGATAATGTGATGGAGTAGAAGTATTGACATTTTATTGTAATATACTAAACCTAAACATATTACCAAATTGAAGGAAACGATATATCCATAAACAATTTAGTTTAGTAATCCAAAAACATATATATAATAAAATATATACATATGTATATATGTGTTATATATATAGACATATGTATTACTGCTATCATATCTATGCATTGTATTCAGATATATTGTGAGTTATACACATGCCAAGAGCCGGTACTGATTTTTATGGTGGTTACCGGGGGTTATCCATGTATCATTTCACAAAAATGTTTACAACTTTTCAAAGAAACTCTTGACTAATATATATAGACCTATATAAACTATGAAGGGTACGCCGTACGTATACTATGAATGTAGCACAAATTAAAATGAAATTCTGATGTCAATAGTGTTCGCATTCATAAACACCAGTGAAATATTTTTGTTATTGTTTGATGGTTACGGTAGAGCAATCTATCATCGCTGTGACCTTTGAAGACATATTCTCAAAAATATGTTGCTAGCTTCATGTACCGTTTATTAATAAGATGATCATTGTATAGAAGTCTTATTTACATCTTATTGTTTTCGGATTTTAAATTCAGTTGCAGACAGAGTTGTATATCGTGAGAAACTGAGAATGGTGCAACATCTCATAGTTGTGAATATCATATATATATATATATATTATGGAATTGGCGCCGTAACTTGACAATATTTCCAAAGCATCACAAATATACATATAGGTAGTCAAAATCAACCTCCCTCTCTCTCTCTCCCTTATATATGTTCCCACTTGATGAATTGCATATTTTCTCAAAGAACAATCTGCCTTTTTCACCAAAAAAAAAGAAACAATCTGCCTCAATTTATCCCTTATAGGTGCATGCACCTACCATTTATTTATTTTTCTCGAGAATAACATCAAACTCCTTTATCAAAAAAGAATTAATAATAGTAAATATCAAACACCAGATTTTGCTTCCTGGTAGATATGTGTTGTTGAAACAAGAAAATGGGAAATTAAAACTCTACCCATGACATTTCAAAAGTTATTATAATTTAAATGAAAATATAGTCGAAACAATATCCTAATATTTCTTAAAAACGATAATATCGAAAGGCTATAGGAAAGAAAGGTGAAATAAAATCAGCAACACCTATATATATATATATATATTAAGTAGATACAAGCATTAAACGTAAGTTGAGCTCATTTCCCGTTTTAAGAAAAAAGTATATAGATCCAAAAATGGTGAATTGATTCGGTTGAAAATGTATCATATGAATAGACTTTTGTGTTTTCGCTTTTTTGGTAGGAACTCATTTCTCGGTCACTGTTACAAAAAAAATGTTATTGATATTGCTAATTAACGCAGATACAAGTTTTTATTTCAAATTAAATTTTTGAAAATATTGTTAACGTCATTTATAAAAAAAAAAAGTTTAATGGATAACTCAGTGAGCATAATCACGAAAGCAATAGTGAGTAAGTGGCTTGCAACTATTTTTTTTTTCTTTCTTTCTTTCTTTCTCTCTTTTTTTCTTTGCAAAGTGAGAAAATTAAGATTTGTGGGGCACGCATTATCTCTTGCCTACTCATCTTGCCGGTCACAAAAACACATACACAAATACATATACATGTGATTACACATGCGTCGACATATAAACGCGACTATATTATGTATTTTGTGAATTAAAATATTTTCAAAAAGTTTAAGGATCCCATTTTCTATAAAATATAAATATTCGAAAAACAATCCCAAACAAGATTAATCAGGATGTTGAGTGCATTAGTTGTTCGTACTAAAAGACGGTGTATGGCCCTAGATCTGTGATACATAAGTGTGATTACGATTTGTGACGAAATATTTGTTGAGACTTGCTCAATATGCAAGTCGGAGAAACCTAAACTATGAGTTATAAATATTCACTTTTCTTAGCCCTTTAAATAAATAAAAAATAATTTCACATTTCTCTTCACACAAAAGGGAATTCACTTTATCATGAATCCATGCCTGGTAAAATAAATTCGTAGGATTATCATTGTGATAATGAGTCCTATATAATCTTTTTTAACAAAATAATCAGTCATTATCTGTATCGCATACTTACCTTTTAATTAGCACGCATGAAATCATGGAGAACTTGGAACAATGGATGGTAGAATAACCATCAGACATTTTTGACTTTGTAGACATAGACAACTACATACGAAGACACGTGTGCGAAATGTATATCCCAATCATATATTGCAAAATTTTATATGATGTTTTTACTATTTGTTAGACAAATTCTTTTTGACACAATTCGAAAAAAAAAGTATTACTATAATTTAAACGTGGTTGAATCTCTTGTAGATCATTTCACATTGGGATCATTTGATATATCGACACTGCTGTTAATTAAATATTAAATCAGCAAAAATAGAAATTGAATATAAGCTAACAAATAGAAGTCTCATCATACAAATATTTCGAGATTTGAATAATTTTGTATTGTAGATTCAATCTTTGTTTGATTATTTTAAAATTTGAGCACATTAAATAGCAAAAATATCATATTCTTCAATCTCATTCAACTTCTCATATGTTCATTGGCCGATAAAATTTACTAGTTCTGATATTTTCCTCTGTTGAAATATACGCATTATCCATTCGCCAGTATTTCCTTTTTATCGAACGGATATGTTACTAATTTCGTCTTAAAAGTTAAATGCAAACGATAGAAAGAAAAAAAGAAAATTTTCGTATTTAATACATTTATCTTGTGCCTGAAAAAATAGACCAATAAGTGGAAACTTTGGTGGGCCTGGGCCCGGGTTTTGAATTTAATGATGAATAGAAGTAATAATTTAATAAAAAATAGTGAGAATGGAAAAGAAAAAAGAAGTGGTGGAAAACGAGAGTGACGTGGAAGTGGATAAGTGGTGACGTGAAGTGGAGCTTTGTTTTTGGTTCCGTAACTAGTCATTTCCTTCAAAGTACACACATGCTGTCTCAGTCTCACGACGTTGCCTTGCATGTCGTTTTGCTTTTTTTCCTTGCAATTCTCTCATCAAATCTATTGATGACGTGGACGTCTTGTAACAAAGCAGTTTCCAGAAATTCCACGTGTCACTTGTAGTTTCGAGTTTAAGGCAACATATTGAAACTCCATCATTTAATGATTTCAACGGTTTTTTGTGTGTGTAAGGATAGATGTGTGTGGTGATTATTGAGGTAGACATTTCTTGGTTTAGTTTTGAAAGTTTCTTTCAATTTTGAATTTCATTTTGGTTAATCAAGTACTCCCTCCGTTTCACAAAGAGTATCGTTTTAAGGTTTTATTTTTGTTTTACAAAGAGTATCGTTTTATATTTTCAATACAAAATTTTAAATAATATTCCAGTTTTAACCTTATTAATTTAATGTATTTATTAGATAAAAACAAATTATTTAATGTATTAATAAGGGACAAAGTTGTACTTTTAATAATTTTCTTAATATGTGTGAAAAATGTCAAAATGACACTTTTTGTGAAACGGAGGGAGTAGTTCACAATCGAAAGAAATTATTTTTTTCCAATCGGGTTCAAAATCCCTTGCAAACAAAGTTCAATCAAACCTTGGTATATGAAACACGATTTCTGGAGGCAATAACGACTCGTAGAACTAATAATATGTGGTAGTTATGATAAATCGTAGTTTTCATAACGAACATTAATCGAGATTTTTTTGGGCGTGTAGCAAAACAAATATTTGGTTTCTTTGGTTAAAACTTAAAAGTAACTTTAAATACAAAGATTCAATTATCTTTTGTGCATTAATTATAATGAAATGTTAGGTCATGAAAAAAAAAATGTTAGGTCATGACTTTAACCCAAAAGAAAAGGAAAGAAATATTAAATCATGACTCATGACAATTGAGTTGAGAACTTGATATGAGCTGGGAACTTCGCGAGAACTTGAGATGAGCTGGGAACTTCGCGATAACTTGGGATATGTACAATAAAATGATGATGAGAGTTTTATGGGCCTATCATATTGGGTTATGAGAGAGTTTTATAGCCCTATAATATTGGATTATGCTATTTTTTTTTTTTACATCATATTGGATTATGCTATTGTAGAAAACATTTGAGCAATTCTTTTAACTATCTTATATGGCCTATGAAGATTATATATAGCCATAACATTATTAAATCTTGTTGCTTTGACTAAAAGCTGATTATTTTGTTTTTGTTTGCGTTTTATATCATGGTAAACGTAAATAAAAACTGTAGACAAAAAAAAACATAAATGAAAATCGAAAATGGCGCACATTTGTTGTGAAGGGAGACGCAACCCCAGTTACAAGAATCCAACTTAAATTCCTTTGCATATATGCTATGATACACAGAAAAAGTTGAACTCAAATCATTTAAAAATGGGGGTAGGGTTAGGGACTTCGGGTACATATAAATTGTGTGGGTTAGCATTGCTCTTTTTATTTAACATCCAAGATTTTCAAATTTAAATTTAGATTCATAGATGAACAAATTATTATCGTATATAGTTGAATGTTATGCAACTTTAAAATCCCTCGTTTAACTAGACATCAAACACATTTTCATTCAAATATGTTTAGAAAAAAATTCTAAATCTAGAGCATCTTTTTATATTTTCAAAAACACGCTAGACATAATACATAGTATGTCATTTTGGTACATGACATAATATTGATATTAATATTTTTCTTTGACACTTTTAAGAATATATATTATTCCCATATATAATGTCTAATTTCTCAAAATTTTATTGTTGAACTCATTTGACTGATTTAGTCATTCAACTGAGACGGCTCGATCAGGTAGAGTGGTAGATATAACTCTTAAAATAAATGAATTTGAGTTGAAGTGTTGAACTATCGGTAAAATATATTAACATTCGTAATAATGATGTACGTTGCATCAAATTTAAGCTAGATTTTTATTTCCATGAATAATGCTATTGAATTATATTTAACTGGTTTAAACGTGATTTTCGTTTACAAAAATTTCGGAAAAAGTGTATTTGAGTAAATAATACATATTAGAATCGAGTATGTGTTCTCTTGTTTTGAATGTTACAGTCTCTTCTCGGACGGAAGATCAAAACCGTTAGTACACTTACGAATTGTCTCTTTGAGGCTAGAACTCATGATCACTTTGACCCTTAAATAATAAATCATTACACCAACTGGAGGTACACGTTATACTTGACAATTAGAAGATGATAAAGCATTTACGTACTCAGAAGCCAAATATCTGATTTGAATTGCCTTCCCATTTTTTTTTTTTTGGTTTGTTTAATAGTTTACCATTTGTTCGTCTTTTTGGGAATAATAGCCTTTTCAAACCAATTAGTTTTGTAACTCATCGACTATCGTTACCAACATTCATTTTCCGTTATTGTTTTGTATGACCTTATAATGATCAACAGTCAACTCATTGTTAAAAGTTGCAAAAAAAAAAACAACACTATGTTCTCACAGATTGTTGTTAGTTGATCCACTAACAAATTTAAACTAATCTACTAGTTTTGTTTAACGTTATTTCGCCAATCCATCAATTTCATAATATGCCAAAAAAAAAAAAAAAATCAATGGTCAGACACAGCTATTCCACCATTGTCCATTGTTATCATTTAAAAACAATATGTTGTACTTATAGAAGACATAGAAGTACAAAACAAACTTGTCTTACAAACTTGTCTTAAGTATATAAAATCTATACACTTACTTATTCAAAAAGAGCTTAATAAGAGAATAAAGATGAAGATATATAATCGATCGATAGCTACAGAAATGAAGGAGTGGATGAAGATCGGCTAGAATGGGCCGAAATGTATGTTGAAGATAACACTTTACTTTGACTTCTTGATCATCAGTAGATAGATTTGAGCTCTCTTTTACATTTGATCCCTCTCTGAGATTTTATTGATCCTGCAAATCTCATATGTTATAAACAAATGTAGTATGCGATTTGCTAGCTAGATTCTCAGATGCAAAGAGATTAATATCGAGAAATGCAAGTTTAGATCATAACCATGCGAGATCATGCATCTTTGTGCGATATAAATAAAAATTAACCTGAGTATAAACTCATACTTCTATGCCAATCATTCAAGATAGATACTTTAACTTATGTTTCGTGTGACATATAACTTATGTTATATTGTATCATCGAACAAGATCTATAAAGCTTTGCGGGGGACAAAACAAACTTTCAAGCTTTTCCAAAGTTAGTGGTGACTGGTGACAAAGATCCTAAAGGAAGAAGACTCATAAAGAGGATTCGAGTAAAGTATATATATTTATATTGCCTACGATTTAAATTATATCTGAGATCAAAGAAAATAAAATGATTTATTGGATTCACAGAGAAAATTACTGTCCCACAAAATCATATATTATATAATATAATCTCAGAAAATGCCAATGCATAACTACTCCCAATGTTCATGCAGTAAAACAGCCTTTTTAAACGCTCTCGTTAATATGTCACAATCCAAGCTCTGAAATCTGTGACAATTGGTTGAATGGTAACTAGGATTTGGTTGAGTTGAAAATGTTAAAGATTTGGTTGAACTGTTCATATTGAGATCAGTTTTCCTAAGACCCACATTGCAATAATTTAAAACAAGACAAAAGTCTTAATATGTAATATGTGTAGTAGTTTTTATTCTGAGATAACCTTATTAACCTTTAAGAACACCCATGGAATCTCAATTATTAATCGATTTATTTGGGTTATAAAATGAGGGGGAAAAGGTTCAATCAATTTCTCCATTGATCATCAATGGGGAACAAAATCTACACAAATCTTTAAAGAGAAGCATTCTATGAGCCAATCATTGCTTTTTTGAACCACTGTTTATATAAACAACAGTGGTAAAAATGTGTATATATATATATATATATATCTTTGTACTCACACCCATATATCTGTTGATGAAGAAAGAATATAATCCATCATTGGAACATCATATGCTTTTCCAAAAATTGAATGAGTAGCTTGCTAGGATAACTTAAATATCTTTACTTTCCACATTCATAGAGTTAAACATGTGATTCATCTAAAACTAAGGATTTCAATAAATCTAGTTTTTTCAAGTATGTGATATGCTAGGAACTATAATTTGTTTTTCTGAGTTTGCCACTCTAAAACCAAATCTACTTTCATTCAAAGAGCTAAAATGATTTAAAAGAATTTGTCTAACAAATATCGACTTCCATTAAGTTCTAATCAAAATTCGGTCCCTTAATATCAGAACCCAACATCAATAAATAGTATATATCTGATCAAGGATTTCTCAAAAATCAAAAACCTAGAACTATATATTTCTCCAATTAGGGTTTTGGTACATAGACCATTCTACAATATAAACATATACATATATTTGGGGTATGTTGCTAGGTAGCGACACCACACTTTCATAAGTTTCTAGTAAATAGATCAAGTAACAAAATATGATGTATAAATGTAAATGAATGCAAAGGCACATATATAATCAAAGAAAAGTATAGTTAATGGAGAAGTATATTACCACAAAGTCTTTCACCAAGAAGGAGAATCTTAACAGAAGCTGAAGGAAGAGGAGGAAGAGGAAGAGTCGTCTCCTCCACCACCCATCTCTGTTGTTGGCTTCTTCTTCTTCTTCTTCTTGTAAGGAATCCCTCTAGCCTTGGCCTGACACTCCCTAACCTCCCTCAGATAAACCCTTATCGCTCCACTAGCGAAAGGGTTTGTCTCCGGAGATCCACCGTTCTCCTCGTAAGCCGCTCTCAGCCGTCCGATCAAAGCATCAAGACTCCCCCAAGCTTGTCTGAGAGGGCACGTGCAAGGAGCTGGTGGCTCAGGCTGGCCGTAGAACATACATCCAGGAACGTGCACCTTTGTCTTACCGAACTGGTCTAAGTACCTGAGAAAATCAAGCACGTGGTTGCAGCTGCAGTGAGACATCGGCACGGATGGTCTCTGGTTCTTCAGGTACTGTCCGAAAGTGTTCCAGTCGCGCCTCTTCTGTGATTCGTAACGGCTTGGTGTCACCGGTGGCTCTGATCCTGATGATTCCATCAAGCTTTTCCCTCTATCTCTAGGAGATGACATGATATATCTTGTTGAGTGTAGAGAGAGAGAGGTGTTGGTGAAGTTTATTAAGGGAACATTTTGTGGTTTATATATGGATCTGATCATGAATTAGGTAATAAGAAGATGAAAGGTTGAGTGAGTTTGATGAGAGGGTGAAAGTAATAGTAGTAATGGAGAATGATGTTGACGTTAGAGGACATGTTATGGGGCCGTTTGAAACTTTGCTCTCTTTCTTCCTCTCTCTCTCTGTCTCACTCTTGGATTATCTCCCATTTTTCTCTCCCATTAACGAATAATTATTAATCAGTTCATGATAATGCAGCTGTGAAATATTCACTATTCACTATGTGTTTAAGGATTATAATTTAAACTTTTTCAATGTGATTATTATTATCGTTCTAGACGCGCTTTAACTAAATAGTAAGAAAAAAATATAGTTTTATCATTAATCTCGAAGATTAGTGTAGACTTCGATTCATAGTCTCACAGTTACCTTAAAAGGAAAATTTGCGATGTCTATGTAGACTTTCATATATCGTGGAGTGGAAATATGGTACTCATGTACTCATGTACTCATGTAGGGAATCGTGTGCTGTATGCTAACATTTTTATTGATTATAATACAGACAAAAAGCATTTTACGTCAGATTACAACTACTTAATAATGTGAAGAAAAAAATATATACTTCTTGCACATGTCATAGTTTACACTTTACAAATAAAGATGTGAATAGCGGTCTTGTGTATGAAATCAGGTTGAAACATAGAGGTTGATTTGTCAACATATCAGATTAGAATGGGTCACGTGTAGTGTATCTATATAAATATTATAAATAACCCGGATGCGACACCCTAGCTAGTCCATCCAGTTTTTCCAAGTCCGCGGATTAATTATAACAGTGTGATATATATTATTTATTAATTTATCGTATTTGCGGTATATATATATATAATGTATATCGTACTTTTCGATATCATAAAACAAGAAAAGTTGTCCTATTTTTAGGTGTTGAGCTGTTGATATCCCTCTTATCGCAATTTTATTTGTTCTCTAGATTCATATTTGCAATCTTCCAATCGATTTTTGTTGATGGCGAGTGATGTTGTTGTTTGGCCAAAGAAAAAAAGAGAGTGTTATTGTTTATTCACAATCCGTTGCAGCCTTGTAGGGTTCACTCTTTTTTGTCTTCATTTAATTTAAATTTATATTTTTCAATATAAACGCTTTTATTTTTTCAATGTAAAATGTACATAATATCATTAATTCTTTATACAATATATACTTATTATTGTTTAAGTTTTTGTTCGTCGTTTACAACTCACTTATTCATATTATAGAATTTGATTATGGATTATAAGTTTATAACATAGTATAAACTACTATATTATTATTACGAATTCCAATCGATTAAGATATATATATTTGGTTAATAGTTATTCCCTATAAGTGACACAAAATTACCTAACATTCATCTTCATTAAAAGTTTCTAACAAAAAAAAAAATCTTCATTAAAAGTTCGACGACACAGAAGAAGGAAACCCAATTTTTGTCTTACGAGTCAAAATCACTGTCATTTTGGATTTGTCATTAAATGATTAAATATATTCTAATTAGGGCTCTTGTTTTTTTCTCCGAAGTACATTGCACAATAATATTTTCTAAAAATCCAAATTAAAGCCTAATTTAACGATAGATTTAGACATTAATTAGTCATTCCATATTTATAATGATTTGCAATATAATAATAATATAGTGAAAAAATAATTGAGCAAGATATAAAGTAGAGTGAGCCTATGTCTCTCATTGGTTCATGAAAGACTAGGTAATAGGCTGTGACTCACTAACCACTATATTTTACTTTTTTTTTAATTAGACATATCTATGTGACTATGTTAGTTACATATGGAATCTTTTATCATGCCCCATCAAAATTAATCACTTATTGTTTCATTCTCAACTTAATTAATCACTTATCTAAACTGTGATAATGATATGATATATGTGGCTAATTGGCTATACATACTAGCATCCAGGACTTAAATTTTGATTTGGTTCATACAAGTTTTGATTTTATTCAACCAGATTGAACCGATCTTTCAAAATCGGATAAAACAAGATCTGAAAAACTTACATTTTTTCCTGTAGTCATTTTGTTTATTGTAGAAATTCGAAGTTGCAATAATTTGGAAGTTAGAAAAACCTGAGATATACGTCATGTTGAGAAGAAGGAATGATCACCTATTCGGAAATCTCAAATTTCTGCGGCCCCACATTTTTTAATATAGTACTTCACAAGTGATATCATTATATCAACAAAAAGGGTGATATTAATATTATAAAGAAGACTCGTTTAAGAATGGAAATATCATGCATATTCAAAGCATAATTTGTTTGATCGCGAAACAATTTATCACTTATAAATCCGTAATTTGATTGTCCGTTTATGGCCATTTTGTAATCAAATTGCTTTGGCTAATCGTCATAAAAGCGATAATTGCTTCTGTATATTCGTTCCGTAGCATTTAAACACTACAAGAAAACATCTCATATTCCTATGAAAATTTTGACGAAATTTTTGGTAAGAAATTTTTATAACCAATTTTCTACGTAATTTTGACAAAAAGTAAAAGTGATAAGAAATTGGTAGGAATTTTCCTACCAAAAATTTTGTCGAAATTTCGTAGGATATTTCCTACCAATAACCTATTATGCGGTCAAAATTTGAAAGGAAAGTGATAGGATACAATTGACCATTATACTGGTAAGTATTTCGTAGGAAATTTCCTACCAATTTCTGACGAAATATTATGTGTAAGAAAATCGTAAGAATTTTGTAGGAACATTCCAACTTTGGTTTTGTCCCACATCGATGATCCGAGATAATTTGGATGATGAAACTGCTCTATAAATAAGATCTTCATCTCTCTTTTAAATAATTTGTTTCTATATGTATATATATATATATATATATTAATAATCGAATTAATAGTTAATTCATCTTTTAGTTTAAATTTAATTTCTGAAATTAATTTAATTTTTTAATTTATAAAATTAATTTTATTTTTTACAAAATCTCAAGTGGTAGGAAAATAATAGGAATATTTCGTAAAAAGATGGAAGTAATTTGGTAGGTATTTTCCTACGAATATCCTACCGCCAAAATTTTCCTACCAAAATTTTCGTAGGAAATTTCCTACGATTTTTCTACCTTTTAAAATTTCCGACGGTTTAGAACCTACAAAAATAGTTGGTAGGAAATTGATAGAAAAATCCGGTTTCCTACGATTTTCTGATGAAATATCTGGTAGTAATATGTGATGTTTTTTTGTAGTGAAATGATGGATTAATCACTATAAAGGATATATAAAATAGCAATCAATAGTCGACAAAAAATAGCAATGAAATAGATATTTTGGATTTAGCATTGGATATCCAAAGTGCTTGACTAATAATGAGGGTAACTATTATTTTTGATAAAGGATATTAGTTTGATAAATACATTGTCTCATGTTAGAAACCAGAATATGTATTGTGTAATTGGATGAAGAACGATGAAAAATTTAAAATTTTAGCAAAAGCTAAGAGAAAATCGAAAATTTAAGAAAAATATTATTTGTCTATGATTTTCTTTATAGACTTATGAATGCATAATATAAATCATTATATTCCTATTATCCTATATATAAGTTCCACAACTCCATTGTACTATTAGAATTAACAATATTAATTAGCTTCTTTCACAATTCACTAAGATTTTTTAGTCATTTTGACAACAACATATATATATATATATGTCGGCTCCCAAGTGTCATTTTTATTATGTAATCTCTAAACTTGGTTATACTATCCTTAATTAAATGATAAAACTAATATGTTGATGTCTAAACCATCAATTTGTAACAGGGCGGTTAAGAAGATTTACAATGAATAAACAGTTAAATAATGGTTATGATTGGTAGCAAATGGTTGAATAGTAAAAAATAATCGAGACTGGAATAGTATAACATAAAATCAATTCAAATATAAATAACATTTTCAAAAAAATAAATTTATTTTATTAATGAATTTTTTTTTTAAAGTACAAAAAAAAAAGTTACCGCCGGACGATTGCCAATTTGCCAAAACCGTACTGTTCTTTGGCAATCATCTTTTCTAATCACTTCTTCAATTCCTTTTTTGACTATTTAATTGGTAATTCTTAAAGCACTTCAATTCTGATTACGGTAGTTGAATATTACCAATCAAACCCTATATATTATATAGATGAATTTCGTTGGAATTGTTGGTCGAACCCCTTACGTAGTTGCAACGCTCGATAAGTGTTTCATTAAAGTCTTCAATTACATTTTTAAGGTATATATATAGTATGTAGTTAAACATATTTTCCAAGGTTTATATCATATGTGGTCAAAACAGTTCAATATTGTCCATCAAATGTATGTATTGTAGTTGGATGTAATTTAGTTAACTACCATGTGGTCTACTGCAGATGAAGAGAAGCGAGAAAGGACCAAAAGAGAACATGTGGTGTGTTATGAGAATTGTGTATACACAATTATTTCCCAACCTGTCAAATAAGACTGTTTAGAATATAATATTTTAATATTGTTTTTCAGTGTTTACTAAGTTGTCTATATATACTTAGGTTTGATTCATTTGAATATGGGTGGCATTCTTAAAGCTCACGAGCCCACACTCTTAATATAATGCATTCGTTGTCTATTGCTATCTAGACCTGAATAGAGCTGAATAGTATTTGTTATATTAATATAAGAAGCGATGTACAGAGGCTTATATATACACGCCTAAAGGATCTAAGATTCTAAGATAGATAAAAATCTTAAAATAACAACAATTAGAGAATCTAAGACAACATCATATCTGCAACACAACTATATAACTCGAGATATTAAAAAATATATATATGTAAGCTTAAAAACAATGAGGTTAAGGTTTGAAACAAAAAATGAGGTTATAGTAAAATCGGTTGTGTGGTTACTACTAATTCCGAAGAAATCGTCCAGTGTAACTGTGTAAGGAACATATATTATATGCTTCCAAAGAGAAGACAAACGCATGATTTAACGTGGTAATGTTTTTGTCTAGTTTCTACGTTTTATAATTAAATAATGTTTTTGAATATACAATTTTTAGGTCTAACATATATTTGTTCTTCAGAATAAATCTAATTAAATGCTTTTGCACCCGAGATTTTTCTGGTTGATTTAATTAAAGCCATGATCGATATCTTGTTAAATCGTTGTATCTTAATAATTTACTCAATTACGCATGTAAATGAGTCGATTCTAATCTTTTAAGTTTTCAAGGAAGCATTCTAACACTTCAGGAATAAACAACAGTAACAATTTAGTGGAAAGCTTGTTCTCAACAAACATTATATTCTACACTTTTACCAAAAACAACAATAACTATTCAATATATCTTACTTTCTTAACTAGGCTTAGTATAGTATATTATATAACTATATGGGGTGTGTCATGTGTGCGCGCAGTGTAACATACTAGAAATGGGTCAACGATGCAAGACATATTTCCCTTTATATTGTGGATCTAAATTAGGATATAAAAAGTAGAAGTAAAGATCTACTGTGCGTCATTGCGTCTATAGTAGTTATAAATATACATAGATTGGTAAATGTTTAAAGATTCTATTAACTCGTTCCAATATCTGTAAGAAATTAAGTGGCATCGACATTAATTGTCTGACGTTTTCTAGATCACTTTTAAATTGAAAATTTTGTTTGTCATATAGTGACAGTGTACGGTTCTTTTAAAGTTTGCTTTAAACGTATTTCGTCTTTTTCTTACACCTTGTTAGAATTAAGAATCTTTATACAATGCCACTCTTTCCATTTGTACGGTATGTTTTTAGCGTTGGAGTATTCTTAAAATGAAGATGCTTTTCAGTAATTAATATCTTGTAACTCACATAAGATTAGTCTGGTGGGAACTACCATATCGATATTGCACATCGAAAATTAAAATCTTGAAAAACGAAATTAACAATCGGACCCTGGGCACTCCCATGTTCCAACGTATCTCAAAATTCACATATAAAGTGATTAACCATGTTCTAGTCAGTTGTCTCGAGTTTTTTCTTGGATCAATATATAGGACAACCTATCTTACTATATATGTGGAACACCACTTGGTTTGGAAAAGTTACTTTAAAACCTGCAAAACAAAAGGAACCCTAAAAATAGATGATATACATCTAAAATCATGTTTCTTAGCAACAAAAAAAATAAAATAAATATAAAATCATGTTCAAAGAAGAAACAATGGGCAAGAAACATCTTCACGCATGAGTTGCCAAAAATGTCACGGTCTCAAAGGCACACCTTTGCATTCGTCCCCTTGCCCCCACAAATCTTTTCTCTGCTTCTCTTTTTGTTGATAGTGATTCACCTGTCTTCCCACCCACCCCCATTTTTTTCATTATTTTTTCTTTCCCTTTTTGTCAATTCATCACTTTAACCGGAATCTATTTCGGCTTTAGATTCGGTTAAAAGTTTTGGACCGGTTTGATGTACTATACATTCACATGATATCAGGTGTTAAATTAGTTTGTGCTCCGATTATTGGAGTTAGGGATCGTATGGATGCGTGAAAAAGTTTATAAAACTAAGTGGAAGACAGTGACTAAAGAAAAACAAACAGTTTAGTAGATTACATCAGTAATTTGAAACCAAAATAATAAATGATTGTACTTCAACCGATTATAATATATTAATCGGTCACTATATATATACTATAAAGGAGGGGTTGTGGTACTGTAATTTGAAACCAAATTAACAAATGATTGTACTTTAGATGATTTAATAATATGTATCGGTCACAATATATATATATATATATATATAGAGGAGGGATTGTGGTACTGTAATTTGCAACCAAATTAACAAATGATTGTACTTTAAATTATTTAATAATATTTATCGGTCACTATATACAGTATATACATTTGAGGAGGGATTGCTAACGTAAAAACGAATAAAGGCCTAACTTACATTCTTTATTCGAGTATATTTATCGGCAAGTCTGACAAAAATTAGGGTAACGTACTCATTCTACAATTTGTAAGGTAAATTAAGATAATATAGATTTTGGATAAAATTTCATAAGGTCATATTACTCCTTATACGAGCCCGATACGGCTCAACACATTACGGATCCAAACCAGTCTTATTCATTCCGATCCGACCTATCTACTGTACCCAATCAGTTTGGTATTGGTCTGTGATTGCGTGAATCTAGGTGGGCTAATCGGACATATGGCCGGGCCTGTCTCACTCAGCCCATATGAAATATAATCATTTCTAAGTTTCAGAATAGCGTTAGATCTACTGTGAATTTCTCCATCCTTTGGGAGATCAGATTATCTTCTACTTTATCACAAATAGTTTCCATCGTTACGTGTGATTCTAGCTTGCTGAGATTTAATACGTTGACATGTGCACCAATGTAGACTAGAGATAAGACTCCAAAAACATGTTTTGCTGAAAAATTCTTAATTATGACTTTCGAATAATCTTGCTATCTTTTGTCACTTGAGCTAATGATTGTTGACTACTTGGATTATTTGTTTTGTTTGTATAATATTCTTTGAAATACATAATATTGAAAAGCTTTTAGGATACATATCATGATGCTTCTTTCATGATTCACAGCTACAAAGTCAGTTTTTCTATTGTATTCATTGTAGCCAAATGGATGCTGCGAACAAGCAGTTTGGTAATGCCGACTCTACAGAGAGGTACACACAATTGACTACAAAAGAAAATGATATTTGTCATATAATTGAAAAAGTAACAGCATAACAACCTTAAATATTCAACTCTAACAGCATACCAACCTTTAACATTCAACTCTAACAGCATAACAACCTTAAATATTCAAATCTAGGAGGTAAGAAGGTTTGTTTTTTTGTTCATCCATTAACTTAGAGTTTTATAAAAAAAAGCCTTTTCCGTGGTCTTGCTTGCTCACAGAACCTGATCTTGATATTGCACTTGGACGATCTAGGAATCTTGAGCAGATCTTTGGTGATCCGAGACTTTTTCTTGTCGTTTGTTGCGTACGCAAGAACTTTGACGAGCTCAAGAGACGATAGTTTCTCTACGAACTGCTTCATCTGCTTTAACTATATACTTATAGATATATTAAAGAGAAGCTTGGTTTGCAGCTCGACGAAGATACTATGGCAGGAACAAATTTGTAATAACTTAATGTCTTTATTTGTAAAGAAAACAGTTTTTTGAAATATAATTTTAACATATTTTCAAAAAAAAAAGAGAGAAATTAGGAAACGAGAGAGAGAGCATTCTTTATTTACCTCCCAAGTACGAACAGATGATATCTCCAAAACCTCAACATTCCTTAACCCCTTGATGAGATTTGTTGGATTGCTAGACATTAGCCTAACATGGAGACCAAGCTTAGCTTCAACAAGGGACTCGAGATTCACAACTGGAACCGCTCTTGGTACTACATCAGAGTATTCCAAGTAGACAAGACTAGGAGTGTCGAAAGATATTTCCCAATTATCAAAAGCATCACGAACCTCGATAGTGAGCTTCTTAAGTGTCCAAGAGGACACGATGCAGCAAAAATTTCCACTCTGCCATCTCGCACTACGAATGGTTAGTTCCTCAAGCAAAGGGCAACCAGAGACAAGCTTTTCCAAAACACAATAACCACTATTATAGAAATACACCGCATGAAGACAGAGAGTCTTGAGTGATGGAAGAAAAACATCATCACCAGGAATCATAGCCTCGAATCCTTTTGCTAGTTTCAGCTCAACCAATGTCTTGCAAGTGAAGATCTCGAGTGGCACCAAAACCACATCATCAGCGATTACGTCTATATACAGATTCTGGACACCGTGTTTCAAAACGTCAATCATCCAGCGTGTGACATGACCCGTGTCGTCTTTAATACTCTTTCGACATTTTATCGAGATCCTCCTCTTTCTTGGGAGATCGCCTGAGGACGACGACACAGCCAACACTCTATCCACAAAATCTATGAAATCTTCTCCTCCATGATCATCATCTAAATCAAGGTTTGGTGTCAAGACAAACAGATTACGCCATCGCTTTGAGAGGACAGATGTTAAAGCAGCTTCTGTTGTCGGAAGGAAAGATAGAATGTGGCAAATAGTATCATCTCCTAGTCCGTTGTTCATATCCATCCTTTTTTTTTTTTGCCAAAACCTAAACAACTCGAAAAGAACCCTAATGATCCTTTTCGGATACGAATAATATTTTCAACGACTAGATCTTCACAATCAACCACAAAAGTATGTAAAACCCACCCACTGCAAAATCAGATAAAAAAAAAATCTGCATCAAGCCGAAGAAATATAGATTTCATCAATTTGGATAGACCCACCATGAAAAAAATAAAATCAATGGAATGTAAGCAAATGCAGAATCTAAATTTAAAACATTATGCTTTACACAGCAACCAACAAATTCTCGCCGAGGCCCATAAATCAATTCATACTATCAAAACTTTTGAGCGCGTGTAGAACACATTCGCAGCAGGCAAATGTTCGATAATTAATCCGCTGGATTTGGCATCAATCCGATGGACTTGGGATCCTAAGAAACAAAGATTGGAGAAGAAAACTAACCAGAGGAAAGCGACGGAGGCAAGGAGACAGCGTCAAACCTTCTCTCCCACTCTCTCGACCAATCCACGTATATGCCCAAGTTTATTGACAGAAGAAAATAATAAGGAACATGGGCCTTTGGGCCGAAAAGGAAGAGGAAGTAAACCGGGAGACAGAGTTTGGTTAATTAAGAAAAAGACTCTAAAAGCATAAGCATAATTATTTTAGAGATCCATTTGAGTTTCTTAAGCTATATTTTATTATTATTTTGGGTTTAGAAACTGTGATTAGAAATGGTGTGTGTGTCAATGACTCAATGTTCTTGCTCTGTTTCTTTACTTCTTTAGTCGTGAGTGTTTGTTCATGCATCGTTAAAGATTCGAATGATATATTGTTCCAGCATATGTACATGTAACATGTTTGGTATTATTGTTAGTTGTGAAAACTGTAAAACACACGTCTTACATAGATACAAACTTTTTTTGATTTTTATATCATCCGAGTAAATAATAACGATTAAGAAGTAAACTTATAAAACCATCTTCAACAGGGGGTTATTAGAGAGTTGTTAGGGAGTTGTAAACCCATTTTAGCATTAAAAATAAAGATTAAAGCTAATAAAACACAATAACCGTTGCTTGATGAAGAGTTTTAACAACTCTTTATCAACTCTATACGTGTCATTTTCTTGTTGGTGGAGACAATAAGAATTTTTTTTTTTGTTTTTCACTCTGAAAATTCTCAAACCCGACCATTTCTCTCTCAAACGACGAAGTCAAAAAATTTTGCTCTCTCTTTTATGAAGAAATCGAAACCCTAAGTTCATCTCAAAATCTCACCCGATTTTCGATAAGCCTTTTTTTTTACTTGCATGTCGATTCAAACGGATTGAGGGTGCGAAAATCTCTCTCACCGAAGCTCTTCTCACCGGAAATCTCTCTCAAACCAACACTCAGATAAGTTTCTCGACTCTCTTCAAATTTTGTAGATTAATCGGTTAATTATGCTTGCTGAATCGATTTTCTTGTGGAACGCCTTCGAATTTGTTGCTGATTAGTTAGGGTTGATGAATGAATCGATGAGGTGAACTCTCTAAAAATTCAGCTGATGCATGATTAATTCCACTTGTTGAATCGATTAGTGGTAGCGATGTGAAGCTTGGAATTGCCTCGACGGTACGTATTCTTCTTGTTCGTTGGGTATCTCTGTTTTTAATTTCTTGTCTTGGCTCAAAGAATGAGCATTTGACAAAAGATTATCCTTTGTGTAAAGCAGGTAAAGATGCGTTAGTCAAAGCCAAAACAGGTCGCTGCAGAAGGCAAGGCTCTGCTCAAAACCATGAAGGAATCGGTGTTCAGACTCTGATTGGAGGTACCCGCTTCAAACTTGATCAGCAACTCTTTAGATCATCATGGACCCATCAAGTTTTGTTCTTCATATTAACTTGTTGGTTTTATATTGCAGAATCTATTTGTTGCTGCTGCTAGGCCTGTTCACGAGGTAGCAGGACTAATTGGAGGTAAATAATTTGTCTTATGAATCCTGTATAGAGCATGTTGACTAGATTTGGTTTCAATGCTTTGTAGTGTTAGGGTAATGATGATAGATATGGTTTCAATGCTTTGTAGTGTTAGGGTAATGATGATAGATATGGTTTCAATGCTAAAGAATTGGTTTATGATGATAGATATTGATTCATGTTATTGCTGATATTGGTGTATGAAAGAATGGTTAATGATGTGTGATCAATGCTGCTCGATTAGGTGACTCTTAAATGTGATTTTGACTGCTAACCACACTAACTTAAGTTTCTCTAAAAGCTTTCACCTTAACATAACTAAAAGCTTTCACCTTAACATAACTAAAAGCTTTCACCTTATCATAACTAAAAGCTTTCACCTTAAAAAATAAAGAAGTAGCTACTAACCTTTCAGCTTTAAAGAATAAGACATAAATTTTATAGGTGAACTCTTTCCTTCTCATTTAAACCCCATCGAGCATTTACCTTTCTCTTTGTTTCTCTTTGTTTCTCTTTGTTTCTATTTATATCTCCTTTCTCTTTGTTCTCTTTATTTCTCCTTTGTCTTTGTTCTCTTTGTATGAGACTGATTGGGCTTCAAATATGACAAATTTGATGGGCATAAGAAATAACGTTCGTGATCAAAATACGCATTACCGATTGACAAATGATTTAGTTGAACATATATAGAACAAATTTGGTTGAAATTATAATTTTAACTAATTTTTTTCCAATTTATGTATTGTCTTTGTGTTTTTTTTTCTTTTTTATGTTAAACATTGTAATTCTATTTTTATTAATGTATTTCTGTAATGTATGTTGTAATTTATGTATGTAATGTATGTTTGTAATATAAATCAATGAAATAATTTTTAATTATAACATTTTAACATTTTAGATTATTACAATTTTTTTTTTAACAACCCCTAAATGAAGAACCTCCCATTGGATCCTTAAAAACATAAAACCTCTTCCATATATATATATATAGGTATATGTATCTCAAACTAATAATTAAAAAACAATCAAGAGCTCCAATGGGTCTCAACCATTGGAGATGCTCTAACAACACTTATTTCGTACGTAGCATAAAAAAGAGAGAGAGAGAGAGGTACATTAAGGGCTCAAGAGAGGGTCTTCTTCTTTGATAAGCACAAAGACGCTTCCACCGTCTCCTCTCGAGATCCTAATGTTTTTGTCCAAATAAGTCTTGACTCGTGAGTAACCACGATTATGCGTTGTCCCCTGGCAAAAGAGAATTTCAATGGTGGTTGGCTCGACATGGTTCTAGTCACAGACGAGGCTGTGTCTTGTACCGAGGTAAGCAACCCTCTGATCGGGTTAAGATCAATCTTTTGACCAAGAACCTCAACATAACCTGTGATCTCAATCGAATCTGTAAGCTGAGAAGTCTCGATTACGCTTTACTCGAGCTTAGTCTACAAGAAACCAAACCCAAAATGTTTGATTGTATCGTTTCAGCGTGTTAACTATCAAATATTGGTTGATGGATGGTGAAACTAACTGGATGCGTTGAGAGCTTTGGATTTCAAATTTTGGCATTTGTGCTAAATGAGGTTGTAGCTAAAGGAACAACTAAATGGACTGAATTATGAACTGTGAAGTTGTCTGAACCAATGGTTTTGTTAGATCTCATCCACTTTTACTAACAGGATCTCTCGTGAAAGCAACAATGGGAACAAACCGATGAACACTGTATATATGTAGCTGCAAAAGAATCTCAACCAAATCAAGAGCATTTAATTTACCATTTGTGGTTACATAACAAGAAGATGAATTCATTCACATTTATGATTAATCAGAAAAAATTAACTACTACAAAAATTTATACTAATAAATTTTGCTCGAAAGTTAATCAAATTGTTAAGTGTTTGTAACTACATTTAGAATTTGAAGCGTGTAAAAAATAGCGTCACACACTTTTAACTTTGTGTACATTATTAAGTTGAGAAAAAAGAAAAAAAAAAAGATGAGGTCACTAATAATGTAGTCAACAAGCGATTAAGCAAAAATGGAAAAGAACCAATAGAAAACTATATAGCCCAATAGATGAACAGAAAAATATCAACAATTATGGATAGAAAAATGGATTGTATATCGTGAATTACTGGACTTTGAATATTTATTTATTTTAGAATTTTATCATAAAAGATATTGTGTAAAAAGTTATTTTATCTGTTTTTTGTTTTTTTGGGTCAAACAGTTAGTTTCTTTGTTATCAATGTGAAATAAGCACCATGCAAATGGCATGATCAATGTAAAAGGCTAGGAACTTCCGCAGTATACTACTTTCTGACTGTTTCTGATCATCGTCCACTGCCAACGATTTTGGTCTTCGAACGGTCGAGATCTGTTAGCAGGCAATAAAATATCTTGACACCGTCTGCGTTCGCTGGCGATCCGCGATTGAGAGGAACATACAAAAAATATACGTTTAATAATGGGCTTAAACAGATTAAATGGGCCTTTATATTTGCATCTTTAAAGAGCAAAAGAAACGTACAAAAGTGTAAAATGAATTTGGTGTCTAGCGGCCTCTCCTCACAGTAATCACGTGGATCGAGAACTTTCAGCCGTCCGATTCGTTTCATAATATGTCGAGGATCTCGATGATCGGACGGTTGCAAAGAGGACACGCGCCTGGGTTCAGCCACAGCTCTCTAGAAACACACTGCCAAAAACAAAAAAAAGTAACGAATGTCCACATTGGATGAACGCCGCGCCTTTCTTTCTTCCCATACACACTCAGCACACCGAATCATAACACGTTAACGTAACCATCGACGCCGTTAGTATCTCCGTCTCTCCTCCGTTATCAGCGGGCCGTCTCGTCCAGCTACCTCATCACGACATCTCGTCGGCGTCCTCCGCCTCCGTCGGATCTCGCCGGTAAAATATATCCGCCTCTAAGGCCGTCGCGAGATTCATACCCAAACCCGATCCAAAATTTAACCCTAAACTAGTTCGAGTTAATTTCATCGAAATGATACGAAATTGATTTGACCTGTTTTTCCTTTTTTTATTTAGTAATTCTAAACGAGTCTGAGTTAAAATTCAAACAAATTCAAACAAACAGATAAAGGAAAAAGCTGTCCACACCATGGATTATTGAATGTCCAGAAAAAGAAAAAAAAAAGAAACACGAAGGTGACCATGGATTCACCGATTACTACTGAATACTTCATCTTCTTCGTTACTCATTTCAGTCTTCTTCATCATCATTGGAAGCCTCTCTCTCGGCGTCAAAACCGTCTCCTAATAAAAACATACAAATCAGTTGCTCGCCAAAGCTGTTCTCAGTTCTTTCGAGATAGAGTTAAAAGAGACTTGCTTACCCATAGGCGACTCGTCTTCACCGCCGATGCCGGAACTTGTTCCCTCGCCGATGCCGGAACTTGTTCCCTCGCCGATGCCGGAACTTGTTCCCTCGCCGATGCCGGAACTTGTTCCCTCGTTTCTGGTGAAGCGGATCCTATTGGCTTCTCTCTCCGCAGCATACTTCTCCTTGGCAATCCTCATCATGTCTCGTGCACTAACTGGAACCGGAGCATCTTCGCTGCTCTGATTTCCCACGATGGTCCCGGCGCTAGGAGGAGTCTTTTTGGTCATCTCAAACCTACAAAATAGTTCAAATAAACAAATGTAAACAGTTCATAAAGGATATCTATCTGACCTGATCTAATCACATAATATGGCAGATTAACAAAACAAATCCCCCAATCTAAAACGGTACTATATCAAATCACCTAATATAACAGATTTGTAGCTAGCAGTTCCAAGAAATCACATCACCTAATCGGATAGTCTTATTCATAATCACCAGATTCAAACAAAAAAAAGAACACATACCAAGAATCGCAAGGGACGGCCAGATAATTGGGGCTGTTTTCTTCTGGAATCAACACATAAGAACCCCTACTAACAGCACCAGCAAGATCTGGGAATACAATCCGAGAAGCTTCGTACTCCTGATTTATGCCTTCATGCTTCATAACCGGCGGACCTCCTTTCTTATCGTCGGTAAAAGTACACAATGTTCCAGGCGCAGAATCTAGAGCCTTGGCATCAGGTGGGAACGAGGCGAAAAAGCGCCCCGCCCTCTCATTCTCCTCTTCAGACGTGGGCTTGATATAAAATTCCTAACACATATTAGAGAAACAGTTTCTCATCAGATCTGATGAACGAAGTACTAAGAGATTAGATTCCTGGGAAAAAAAAACAAAAACAAAAAAGCAAAACCTGAATCAATCGACTGAAAACGGTTTTGCACTCGTCGCAGGTCTCCTTTTCAACCACCATAGTTCTCCCACAGTCCATACACAAGGTCATGTGTTTACATGGATTCTGGTAGAGCACCTTCTCCCACAGTCCATACACAAGGTCATGTGTTTACATGGATTCTGGTAGAGCACCTTCGTGGTCGATGCACTACGCACACACGCGGAAGAGATCGCCGCCATTTTTAGGGTTTCGATTTGGTAAAAAAAAAAAAGGGAAGGAAAATGCTACGTATGGAATATGACGCTATATAGGGGGTCTGTAAGAGTGTTTCCAGAAACTTCCACAGAAATAGAAAATAATAAAGTATAGGGAGTAGCGCATGATATCTTGCGCAACAAAAATAAAATATCTGGTGTGGTGTGGGTCCTGCAGGGCCCAATATATTGGGCTGCTCTTAGTCTTGTCTAGAGATAATAAAAATAGTTGAACCAAAGCTAATATAAATAAATACCCGACTGGATACGATAATTTTAATTTTCAAGTTTTGGGAACAAGTATATCCGAATACTTTTTTGAACGTGATTGAAGTATTTTTGGTTGATTGTGATTTATTGAAATGAACATATCTGATTTGTTTTCTTTATTTATCAAATTTTCCATATTTTCTGATTTTATTCAGGTATTAAACACACTTTCACATCCAAACCATATATCTAACAAAATATTGAATCTTAAAATAAAATTAAAAAAAAAAATTACTTGAACCGAACCTGATTCGAAGATACGAACGCCCACAGCTAATTTATGTCTGAAACATGTTAATCCTACTCTTCATTTATTCCTCCCTAATTAAGAACATATAATACCCACATGAGATTAAATAATCAAAAAAAAAACATTGTATTAAATAAGTTAAAATATCCCATCATAATTTTGTGGTTTGATCGAGAGAGCAGTTTTTAGCCATGTTTGCAGAAGGTGATTAGAGATACTAATATGTGAAGGTTCTAGCTATACTATGATTTTCTGTAAAAAATGTATTCCAGCACTACTAAACCAAAACACACAACCATGCAATAAGAGGATTCATTACACCACTCCTTGGCACTTTTAAACCAAACACTTTTCTTCGCGTTAATCTTTTTTCCTTTTCATTCATTCTCAAACAATCAAGGAATCCCGGTTATTAACCCTTCTTCATTTTTTTAACTATATAGGTCATCTAGGTGTTTTTTCAGCACAGCACACAAGTACCTTTTTAAAAAGACAACACAAATCCCGAGTAATAATATAACCCGGATCAATACCTAAGAACAAACGAATATTCACTCCTATTATTTTATGTATATATACACTTTTATATTATATATGTATATATATATAGAACTTTGTTCGCTACCCCCAACCAAACATCAAAACCCAATTTGATAATATAATCACACATACACACGTAGACCATGCGTATCTAATATCTACACTTATATATACGAACCGTATTAACCATAAACGAGACATACGACATAACCATAAACGGAGACAAGAAATTGTCCTCGGACCCTCACCTTGTCTTAGATCGAAGATGGAATGACACGGAAATGTGAGAGAAGATCAGATCGGTATGGCTCACGCGCGATGACAACTACACGAACACACGGAGTTAGGGCTTAGGAATAGATCACTTGCTGCGCAAGAAATTAAAAAGGAGAACACTTAACCTTCACGATTTGCACTCGTCTCGGTGGATCTAGGTATTCGGAATTGAAGGCTAGTCCTCCAGTGACTTTCGGCCCATAGTGGCGCAGATCGGTGATCGGTGGTGACGACATGCTGTGGTGATGATGCGATCTCCTCAACTCCTCGTAACTTTTCTTCCTCAAATCCTCGTATCTTTTCTTCCTCACAGGTGCAACGAAAACAACAACGGAGGCTCTAACTCCAGCGTCGATGGCTCCTTCGATGGCGAACTGCGCAAGGTAGAGACGAACCGAGGCGGCGGTGATGCGCGATTCGCACGGAGAAGAACGACGATGAGAATAAGGAGAAGAAGAAGAGGGAGGAGCGATGGCGGCAAGGAGATAGCGTCTCTCCCACTCTCTCGACCAACCCACTTGCGGCTAGGTTTAGGTTTAGATGAAGATGGAGGTATATATGCACCTTTTGTGTGTATATATATGCCCAAGTTTATTGACAGAAGAAAATAATAAGGAACATGGGCCTTTGGGCCGAAAAGGAAGAGGAAGTAAACCGGGAGACAGAGTTTGGTTATCTCGAATTAAGTTTTCAGAACAAGACTCTAATAATTGGTAAGGAGGTTTCATAAAAGCAATTTCATATATTAATGTCTCTCATGAATACTAGTATAATTAATAAATCTTTTGATGCTACCTCTGACGATAATGAAATTGCAGAACATAAAAACATGTGGTTCGAGTTCCTCTAGAAGATATGATTAAATCATGCAGAATAATATTTGCGTACGTACGAATCTTCTTTGCCATACGGATATACACCTCATATAGTCATGATACAAACTTAATATTGGTCTATTTCTCTTGTTTTTTTTCGTCCAACTCCTTCTTGGTTAATTTTATAAAACTTTCGTCCGGCTCTTGAAGAAATAAAAAGGTTCAATCCAAAACTTGCATTGCCCTTTCACATTTTTCAAAGCTCAAATAAGCTTTAATAATATCGTTTGATGCATGTTTACTTGATTATGCAATATACATATACATTGTACACCTCTTAACAGCAAAAACCTATAATCTTCAATATTTATGTAATACATAGGTTATCAAAAAATATATATATATATATATGTATATATATAGTATATGAAAAATATTATTAAAATTTAAAGTTTATGATGTCTTGGAACTGAAATAGAAAAGAGAATAAGCTGGAGAAAAAATGACAAAGTTTTAGGATAACATATCATGATGCTTCTTTTATGATTCACAGCTACAAAGTCAGTTTTTCTATTGTATTCTTTGTAGCCAAATGGATGCTGCGAACTAGCAGTTTGGGAAGGCCGAGTATGCAGAGAGTTACACACAATTGAGCACAAAAGAAAAATATATTTGTCATATAATTGATAAAGTAACCGCATAACAACCTTAAATATTCGAGGTAATAACAAGGTTTGTTTTTTTTTGTTCATCCATTAACTTAGACTTTTCTAAAAAGCCTTTTCCGTGGTCTTGCTTGCTCACAGAACCTGATCTTGATATTGCACTTGGACGATCTAGGAATCTTGAGCAGATCTTTGGTGATCCGAGACTTTTTCTTGTCGTTTGTTGCGTACGCAAGAACTTTGACGAGCTCAAGAGACGATAGTTTCTCTACGAACTGCTTCATTTGCTCTAGCTCTCCAGTTTCTCCTCCATACTCAGTTATCTTCAGTACTTTCACGGGACATGACGATCCATAATCATATTCTCGTTCATATCTATCAACGAGCAATGTACCCTGAAAACTCAAGAGCAAAGGTTAGAAGAGGTTTGAGTTTTTCGTCCAATAGAATACACTTCCGGGGTTTTCTTGTTATAATTACCTTGATGACAAGTGTCTGTAGATTTGGAGATTTTCCTACAAAGATCGGCAGAAACTCCCAATTAATCGTCGTCGGCGAAATCAATTGTAATGGTTAAACGAGACAGGTTGATGAACACTGGGATTGCTTCACGGGAAATACAGAATACCTGAAACAAAAGATATATATCTTTCCTCTTCATCATGCATGATTCCTTTTCAATATTTAACTTGCATTTGCATGTAAAAATTAAATATATATCTTACAGAGAAATATTAGAAAAAGAGAGAAGAGATCATTCTTTATTTAATTACCTCCCAAGTACGAACCAATGATATCTCCAAAACCTCAACATTACTTAACCCCTTGATGAGATTTGTTGGATTGCTAGACATTGGCATATAATGGAGATCAAGCTTAGCTTCAACAAGGGACTCGAGATTCACAACTGGAATCGCTCTTGGAACTAAATCAGAGTATTCCAAGACTAGGAGTGTCGAAAGAAATGTCCCAATTATCAAAAGCATCACCATGCTCCATAGTAAGCTTCTTAAGTGTCGAAGAGGACACGATGCGGCAAAATTTACCATTCTGCCATCTCGCACTACGAATGGTTAGTTCCTCAAGCAAAGGGCAACCAGAGACAAGCTTTTCCAAAACACAATAACCACTATTATAGAAATACACCGCATGAAGACAGAGAGTCTTGAGTGATGGAAGAAAAACATCATCACCAGGAATCATAGCCTCGAATCCTTTTGCTAGTTTCAGCTCAACCAATGTCTTGCAAGTGAAGATCTCGAGTGGCACCAAAACCACATCATCAGCGATTACGTCTATATACAGATTCTGGACACCGTGTTTCAAAACGTCAATCATCCAGCGTGTGACATGACCCGTGTCGTCTTTAATACTCTTTCGACATTTTATCGAGATCCTCCTCTTTCTTGGGAGATCGCCTGAGGACGACGACACAGCCAACACTCTATCCACAAAATCTATGAAATCTTCTCCTCCATGATCATCATCTAAATCAAGGTTTGGTGTCAAGACAAACAGATTACGCCATCGCTTTGAGAGGACAGATGTTAAAGCAGCTTCTGTTGTCGGAAGGAAAGATAGAATGTGGCAAATAGTATCATCTCCTAGTCCGTTGTTCATATCCATCCTTTTTTTTTTTTGCCAAAACCTAAACAACTCGAAAAGAACCCTAATTGCGGCAAGGAGACAGCGTCAAACCTTCTCTCCCACTCTCTCGACCAATCCACTTGCGGCTAGGTTAAAATTAGATGAAGAACAATGAACTAGGGTTCTATTTTTTTATTTTATTTTAGTTGTATGGCATGTCGTTAGAAATATGATTTTATTTTATTTTATTTTAGTTGTATGGCATGTCGTTAGAAATATGATTGTATCTAAATGTAAATATGTTGATGTTTAGATTTAGGACTATAATTTTGTTCTCTACGTATTTCTTGAAAGATCTAAAAAAAAAGTCTTTATCAAGTTATTAGATTTAGTTGGTTTAGGTCCAAAGTAACCTGATTTCCCTTTTTATTAATAAAAAAAGTTCACCATCTCTAAAAAAGTAAAACCAATAATATTTGTAAATTTGTTGAAATATATGATCTCTAGGAAGCTTCGTACTAAAGACCTCTACGTCTGTCTCTTTCTCTCTCTATCTCTCTCGTTAACTTGGACCACTAGATCGAAATCACGTTTTGGAACACGGCATATTGTATCTAATCTATCTCCGCGAAAATTTAGATTCTTTCACAATCTACGGATCATGATAGCTTTGACCTTTTGAGCTTGTCATAGGACGTTTTTATTTGGTCGGTACAATCCTAATCTCTATAAAATATCACTTTAGTTACATTTGTTTTTTTCCCTGTCATTATGCATATGTGATATGTGAATGTTATTTCATCATCCTATATAGCATATGCTGTACAACGATACACTGGTTCACTAAATGCTAACTCGTGTGCGTTAATTACTACCATAATGTACTATTGTCTGAGTATATGAATATTTGCGTATATATATAGAATGTTATGGTTAGTCGTAAGATATTAATTTGAACTGCAGTTTTTAACATATAAATACACGGCATTTTTAGTGTGCACGTAGACGTAGGTTTATGTTTGGATACATTAATATCCAAAGAATATCCGTAGAACAGTTAGCATATATTCCCACCACTATCTCCTCCAATTTCATTTTCAGATATGAAGTTATATATGCTTTTATTCAAAGTAGAGCAATTTCATAGATATAATGGCACTGATGCTACCGCTGGCGATAATGAAATTGCAGAACATAAAACATGTGGTTCGAGTTCGTCTAGAAGATGTGATTGAATCATGCAGAATAATTGCGTACGTACGAATCTTCTTTGCCATACGGATACTGCTGTTTGTTTTTCTCTCCGTTTAAAAAGTATAGCACTCATTACATATACAATGTGTGTCTTAGAAAAGGACAAACTATATCGATGTGAGTTGGTAAAGTTTTAAGTGGATAGTAGAATAGTAAAATATAGAACTAATGATAGAAATTTTATTAGCTATATATACAGCTCATATATATTGATGATATAAATTTAATATTGGTCTATTTGTTTCTTTCGTCCAACTCCTTTTTGGTTTTATAAAACTTTCGTCCGGCTCTTGAAGAAATTAAAAGGTTATATCCAAACCTTGCATTGCCCTTTCACATTTTCTAAAGCTCAAATAACCTTTAATAATATCGTTTGATGCATGTTTACTTGATTATACAATATACATATACATTGTACACCTCATGAAAACAAGAACATATAATTTTCAATATTTATGTAATGCATAAGTTTAAAAAATATAGTATATAAAATATTATTAGAATAAAGTTTATTATGTCTTGGAACTGAAATAGAAAATAAATAATCTCGAGAAAAATGACGGATTTTATATTCTAAAACTTGTTCATATATATTTCTATATATATCTTGCGTACTATTTAATTCTTATTTCAAAACATTTTTTTTCTTAAGGGTTAATTGGTGAAATGGCCAAAGTGGCACGATTTACAAGCTACCACCATAAGCTAGGTCGACGTCCAAATTTTAATTATAGATTGACAAAACTGCTCATGACCACCAATTTTAGGACTAGCAGAATTTCACATAAAATAGTTGAATTCGATGATAGATTCTACAACTCAAAATAATTCTAATCCATTTACCACATATAATTCAATTTTACAATTAATTTATTTCGTTTGAGTGATTTCTGAATTAATCGTAATATATGTTTCAACAGATTTAGAATGATGATGTCGGATTAAATAAATAGTTTCATTTGCAATTTATTTAGGGAATATGATTCCATTTGTCTTGGGATTTATAATGTGATACGATAAGGTGTTGATAAATTTAATTGATACGATAAGGTCTTTATATGATTCTATTTCCAACCGTCAGAATCTTTGGTTGGCAATTTGTTCTTAGATTCGAGAATCAAATAAAGAAAATAAAGAAAACGAATTTAAATACTGGTTGCAAACCATATGATAAGACCGTAATAGGCATGGTTCATTTAAGTCAAAGGTCAAAAAAAGCTGAATTATATTTCTGGCTCCTTCCACGATTATTGGGGGTTTTTCTTTTTTTTCACCAAATACTTTTGTTTTCTAAAACATATCTCTGGCTACTTCTTTTCACCTTGTGTCTTTACTGTGAAACCCTTTTTAGACAAAATCTCATAGTACTTGCTTTGATAACTCAAAAGAAAAATGTTTTCTCCCCTAGGCCCTAGTTAAACTGTTTTCATTTTATGTTTGGAATTACTTATATCTTACAAGAATAAGTTAAAGAAGAAGAGAAACTACATTACCTTTCCTTATAAACACGAAGCAAATCAGCATATCCTTGGGCATATTCCACATCTGCCCGTAATCAGTTAAACTCTTTCATATTTTCTTAGATGCTTTGTACAAAAGCATAAAATAAAAAAATAAAACAAATAGTTATATTAAAGAAGCCAAAAGAAGAAAGAAAAAAAAAAAGCAAAATCACCAGGACCGTACACATGCAGTTTGGTCCCGTTTCTAATTTCGTATGACATTGTACGATATTCAATAATTCATTTTTAAAGATAATGAAAAGTTTGCTAATGTTTTAATAACGCACAAAACAGTAGAATATTATTTACTCTTTTATTTTTGTCCCATAACCTGGTTGCTAAAAAATTATATTCTCATATTATTATTATTATTTTTGTCAAAACTGTAACGTCTGCTTTTAGTCGATTCGTAATCTCATAGAGTAAAACTAAAAAGGATTCCACAAGATTTTTATTATTTAATTGAAGAGAGTTTTCGGCTATAAATAAGCTACAACTACTTATCGAATGGACTAGCTTTTCGCTACTGAGATTTTTCTAATTAAACTCTTTAAAAAAAACAAAAATCTATCAAACTTTTGTCACCCGTCTCTTCTCTTTCCATCGTCTTCCTCGTGAACGAACGAAACTTCTCGATCCTCTTTTTTCTTTTTTTCACCTGTTTTTGGGTTTCACGAGATACTTCCACTCTACTACGCCACTCTTTTTTTTTTCCCCATTTGTTTTTTTTTTGTTTTAATTTCCCCATTTTCCGTAATTAATCTAAAGGTGAATCTTTTTGTTTGACGTGTTTCACTTCCAGCTTTATCGGATTCTATCTCCTTGATTTTCGCCGATTGTGTCAATCTGGAAATTTCTGGGGACTAAAGGGGTTTTTATTCGATTTGGGATTAGATTTTTAAAGGTGGGGAGTGTGTGAGAGAGAGAGAGAGAGAGAGAAAGAGAACCATCAACCATGGCTACGGAAATTTGAAGAAGATGGCTTCCATTGATGCTCAGCTCAGGCTTATTGCTCCTGGGAAGGTTTCTGAAGACGACAAGCTTGTTGAGTACGATGCTCTGTTGTTGGATCGATTTCTCGATATTCTTCAGGATCTGCATGGCGAAGAAGTCAGAGAATTCGTATGTTTCCTCATTCTCACTGTTTCTTAGTTGTTATCTGAAATGAAATGAGTTTGTGTTAAAAATCTGAACTTTTGATGGCCATCAGTAAATCATGATGTGGGTTTGTTGCTTCTGCTTAAATTATCGTAAAAGTTCCAACCTTTTTATGTGAAATCGGACAGATCAGAGCACACTGTGCATCAGCAAGTCACTGTTTTGCTAATTCTGGCTTTATGAGTTTTTTTTTTGTACTTGGCCATTGCTTCAATGACTCTCATTGAGTTTGTATAATTTGTTTTTGTTTTGTCTAAAGGTTCAAGAATGCTACGAGGTTGCTGCTGATTACGACGGAAACCGCAACACGGAGAAGCTAGAGGAGCTTGGAAATATGCTGACGAGTTTGGATCCAGGAGATTCAATTGTAGTTACGAAATCATTCTCCAACATGCTTAGCTTGGCTAATCTGGCTGAGGAAGTCCAGATTGCGTACAGGCGCAGGATTAAGAAACTTAAGAAAGGCGATTTCGCTGATGAGGCCTCTGCAACGACGGAATCCGACATTGAAGAGACTCTCAAGAGGCTTTTGCAGCTTAACAAGACCCCTGAAGAGGTCTTTGATGCTCTTAAGAATCAAACTGTTGATTTGGTCTTAACCGCTCATCCGACTCAATCTGTTCGTCGGTCTTTGCTCCAAAAGTTTGGAAGGTTTGTAACTCTTTTCCCGACTCCTGCCATTTTGATTCCTTGCGGCTTTGTTTTACTGATGTGTTTTTGTTTCGATGTTTTTTAGGATTCGTGATTGTTTGACACAGTTATATGCAAAAGACATTACTCCTGATGATAAACAAGAACTAGATGAAGCTCTGCAACGAGAGGTATACGCAACTAAAGAACTCAATGAAGCTTTTTTTTTTTTGCTTGAGTTTCTACTAAAACTTTGTTTTTTGTTGCATGCACCAGATTCAAGCTGCTTTTCGCACGGATGAAATCCGAAGAACTCCTCCTACACCGCAAGATGAGATGAGAGCGGGTATGAGCTACTTCCATGAGACAATCTGGAAAGGAGTTCCGAAATTCTTGAGACGTGTTGACACGGCTTTGAAGAACATTGGAATCAACGAGCGTGTTCCTTACAATGCGCCTCTTATTCAGTTCTCTTCTTGGATGGGTGGAGACCGTGATGGTACACTCTTTTTTTTTTCTTGACTCTCTTTGAAGTTTGAACCATTAAAGCATGAACTTGTTCTAATTATTGGAAACGTATCTGACTCCAGGAAACCCGCGAGTAACTCCTGAAGTTACAAGAGATGTATGCTTATTAGCAAGAATGATGGCTGCTAATCTCTACTTCTCCCAGATAGAAGATCTTATGTTTGAGGTAACTAAAAGTTTAAACCTCATCATAGCTTGTTGGTTTCTTTGGATTGTTAATGTTAGACCATTGATCTTGAATTGTTTGCAGATGTCAATGTGGCGTTGCAATGAGGAACTTCGTGTTCGTGCAGAACGTCAAAGGTGTGCGAAAAGGGATGCGAAACACTATATAGGTGTGTGTTACCTTTAGTCTTGTTTCAGATTTGTCCAAGCTCTTTAACTGGTTTGTTGTATTATGTTTGATGTATGATCTGGTTTTTGGTTGGCTGTAGAATTTTGGAAACAAATTCCTTCGAATGAGCCATACCGAGCTATTCTCGGAGATGTGAGGGACAAACTGTACAACACACGTGAGCGTGCACGTCAGTTATTGTCGAGCGGAGTTTCAGACATTCCTGAAGACGCGGTGTTCACAAGTGTGGACCAGGTGTGTTTTCTTGCTGTTTGCAGATCAACTAGAGGTGTTCCATATCATCTGAAACTGAATCAGAAAAATCAATCCAAGAACAGAAACTGAATCCAAAATAAAACTTGAATTCCTTTGTATGATTCCTAAGATCAACGTTGTTTCTTGTCTAATTGGCTTCTCTAATTATCTAACCTTTGCTTGTTTCTGTGTCTTTCCACAGTTTTTGGAGCCACTTGAGCTTTGTTACAGGTCGCTCTGTGATTGCGGTGACAGACCTATAGCCGATGGAAGCCTGCTCGATTTCTTGCGCCAAGTGTCGACATTTGGGCTTGCACTTGTCAAACTTGACATCCGTCAAGAATCTGAGAGACACACCGATGTCTTGGACGCGATCACGCAGCACTTAGGCATTGGATCATACAAAGACTGGTCAGAGGATAAAAAACAGGAGTGGCTCTTATCTGAGCTAAGCGGAAAACGCCCTCTCTTTGGACCGGATCTTCCCAAAACTGAAGAAATCGCAGATGTTTTGGACACTTTCAAAGTCATCTCAGAGCTTCCTTACGACAGTTTCGGTGCTTACATAATCTCAATGGCCACTGCTCCATCAGATGTTCTCGCCGTTGAGCTCTTGCAACGCGAATGCGGGATCACTCGTCCTCTGAGAGTTGTCCCTTTGTTTGAGAAGCTAGCTGATCTAGAAAATGCCCCCGCTTCAGTTGCTCGTCTCTTCTCCATAGAATGGTACAGAAACAGGATCAACGGCAAGCAAGAAGTCATGATCGGTTATTCCGACTCAGGCAAAGATGCTGGCCGTTTATCCGCGGCTTGGCAGTTATACAAGACTCAAGAAGAGCTCGTGAAGGTTGCTAAAGAATTTGGAGTGAAGCTCACAATGTTTCACGGGAGAGGTGGGACTGTAGGGAGAGGAGGTGGACCGACCCATCTTGCAATCTTGTCTCAGCCTCCGGATACCATTCACGGGCAACTGAGAGTGACGGTTCAAGGAGAAGTCATCGAACAGTCTTTTGGAGAAGAGCACTTGTGCTTTAGGACTCTTCAGCGTTTCACGGCTGCTACACTGGAGCACGGAATGCATCCACCGGTTTCCCCTAAACCAGAGTGGCGCGTCCTCATGGATGAAATGGCTGTTATTGCCACCGAAGAGTACCGTTCTGTTGTCTTCAAGGAGCCTCGTTTTGTTGAGTACTTCCGTCTGGTAAGTTCTTAACCAAACTCACCCTTCCCTTTACCAATCTGTAGCTTAAAAAAAAAACAAAACTTTGTATCCGAAACTTCGAAATTTTGTGTTTTGTGTGTCCTATAGGCGACACCGGAGCTTGAATATGGAAGGATGAACATAGGAAGCCGACCATCAAAGCGAAAACCGAGTGGAGGAATTGAATCTCTACGTGCAATACCGTGGATCTTTGCGTGGACTCAGACGAGGTTTCACTTGCCAGTGTGGCTAGGCTTTGGAGCTGCATTCAAGCGCGTGATACAGAAAGATGGGAAGAATCTCAACATGCTCAAAGAGATGTACAACCAGTGGCCTTTCTTCCGTGTCACAATCGATCTTGTTGAAATGGTTTTCGCCAAAGGAGACCCCGGAATCGCTGCTCTCTATGACCGTCTCCTCGTCTCTGAAGAACTCCAACCTTTTGGTGAACAACTTCGTGTTAACTACCAAGAGACCAGACGCCTCCTCCTACAGGTATAAAGTAAAAGATTTTGGTTCGTTTCTTTTTTTGCGCAAAACGGTAACTAACCCTCTCTTTCACTTCCTAGGTTGCGGGACACAAAGACATTTTAGAAGGAGACCCATACTTGAGGCAAAGGCTGCAGCTACGTGACCCATACATAACGACATTGAACGTGTGCCAAGCCTACACGCTCAAGCAGATACGTGACCCGAGCTTCCACGTCAAAGTCAGGCCTCACCTGTCTAAGGACTACATGGAGTCTAGTAAACCAGCGGCTGAGCTTGTTAAGCTGAATCCGAAGAGCGAGTACGCTCCCGGACTTGAAGACACCGTTATCCTCACCATGAAGGGTATTGCCGCCGGTATGCAGAATACCGGTTAAGGCTCTCTTTTTTAATTATCATTTTCACTGTCTTTTGTATCATTCTCTATATCTCTATGATGCTATATGTATTATTCTATGATTGTGATAATAATCTCTCTAAATCCTCCGTATAAATATTTTCTTGTTATTCTATTGTTAATGTTATTATTATTTGCCAAGAATAAAGTAAAGAGCTCAATGACTAAATTAATATAATAGATATTCAGCTTGGTTTCTTTCCCTATTGACATGTTCCAAAGAACATCTTGGTTGTTTCATCATCCTATAGCGTATATCAAACAACATATTTCCAATTTTGAGATTGAAATAACCCTTGTTAATTCATTTTATAAAGTTCAAACTACACTCGTCTCCATCATATGCTTAAGCAAGTTGCAATACATGTAAAAAAAAGTCAGCCGCTTCTGCTTGAATCGGAGAAGAGAAGCTTATCACTTTTTAGTTTTGTACAACCTGAAATGAAATTAATAGCCTCGGTGATCTCTTACTATCCAGACAACTCCAACATATTCTCCTTATCACCTCATTAATTGTTTTTTTTTCCTTCTTATGTTCATTATTCATTATTTGTTGTTTTTTTTTCTTATGAGAAAATAGTTGGTTATTATGGGAAGATAAAGTACTATTAAAATGAGTGGACTGGTGGATAGATTGTGATGACGTGTCGTGATATGGTTGAGAGTGGAGAATCACTGGACCCTACAGTAAGTATTATAATGACATAAATTCCCTTGCTGACATGGACTTTTGAGAAATGATTGCACGTTAAATTAGCGTTAATTACGGTTTTATCCCTACGCGCGGCTCAAAGATCTCTCTCTCTGTGTTCTTTCTTTCGTCTGGAAAAAAACACAAAAAAAAAACAAAAAGAACAGCGATCTTCGAGAGACAGACTCGGATTAGTCGAAAAAGCTTAGAGATTTGAATACTTTGATTTCTAAATCGTGAATATCGGTCATGGGTTCTGGTAAAGAGCGTGACACTTTCGTCTACCTCGCTAAGCTTTCTGAACAGTCTGAGCGCTATGAAGGTAAGGAATCTTGTACTTCTTCTCTTCTCTCGAATGGGTTATGTGATTTTCTCCCAAGAAGGTCTTTTTCTTACATCTTCTTAGCTCGATTCTTGTCTGGTTTTGCTGAATTTTGATTTTAGATTTAAAGGGGTTTTTGATCGTTTGGTTTGATCTTTACAACTCAATGGTTTTCGTATCGATTGATTGTACGAGAGGGGAATTTTCGATCTGAGCAAGGAATTGAATCAAGGTTTTCGGGATTTTTCCTTAGATGGGATTGAAAATGTGAATTCTTTTTCACAGAGATGGTGGAGTCGATGAAAAATGTTGCGAAATTGAACGTTGATCTAACGGTGGAAGAGAGGAACTTGCTCTCTGTGGGATACAAGAACGTGATCGGTTCAAGGAGAGCTTCGTGGAGGATTTTCTCGTCGATCGAACAGAAAGAAACAGTGAAAGGGAATGAGGTTAATGTAAAGAGGATCAGAGAGTATATGGAGAAGGTTGAGCTAGAGCTTTCAAACATATGCATTGATATAATGTCTGTGTTAGATGAGCATCTGATTCCATCGGCTTCTGAGGGTGAATCAACTGTCTTCTTTAACAAGATGTAAGCTAATAATGCTCTTTACTTTATGTTAAACTTAAGATTAAAAAAATCTGTGTCTAAAGATTTGTTTGGTTTTTGCAGGAAAGGTGACTATTACCGCTATCTTGCGGAATTCAAATCAGGGAATGAGAAGAAAGAGGCTGCTGATCAGTCTTTGAAAGCCTATGAGGTGTTCTGCTAGTTACCTATAGTGTTTATTGATCACTAGATATTCTCGGTTTTCTTGGCTTTACTTTTGAGTTTTTCTTTTTTGGGTTTTCTTTACAGATTGCTACTACTGCTGCTGAGGCTAAACTCCCTCCTACACATCCTATCAGATTGGGTTTAGCCTTGAATTTCTCTGTCTTCTACTACGAGATCATGAACTCACCTGAAAGGTTTAGAGAGTGTTCGTTACTGAGAACATAAAAAGACTCACTGTTTCAGGAATTTGAGATTGTTTTATATTTTCTATCCAGGGCATGTCACCTTGCTAAGCAAGCGTTCGATGAAGCTATCTCAGAGCTTGACACTCTGAATGAGGAATCCTACAAAGATAGCACCTTAATTATGCAGCTCCTTAGGGACAATCTGACCTTATGGACTTCTGACATCCCGGAAGAAGGAGGTGATGATCACTCTGGACCTACGCAATCTCTTAAACTATAATGTTTTGATGTCCTACAAAAGTCTTTTTTGGTGCTTTTCCACTCTAGGTGTTCACTGTCACTTCTTTCGTGTGGTGCTCTTTTACTTAGAACAAATGCTTGATGATAGATAGTTGAAATAGCTTTCGTATTTAGCTGCTGATTTCAAAGGTTTATTTGGCCTAAATGTGCAGCAGATGATGCCCATAAGACAAATGGTTCTGCTAAACACGGTGCAGGTGGAGACGATGCAGAGGTAAAGTAGATGAGATTCCTTTCCTTAGGGTGAATTAAATAAGTTGATTCTGATACGAGATCCTCTTTTGCTCTTAATGTAGTGATCTGATATGTGTGCACCCGCAACAGCGGCTCTGGACAAACATGGTTCAAGAACATCTGAATGTGGGGTGAATAATAGCGAAACGTAGAGTTCCTCTGTTTTCTGTATCATTATTGTCTATGTTGTACTCTGGTTAGTCCCAAATCCCTCTGGCTTGAGTGTATTGCATCAGGAGTCTCAGGACACTGCCTTCTTATTTGTAATTTGTAATTCACTACTCTATTTTCTCTTACTATCTATCCCTATGGATCCAATCTTATGATCTGTATTTGGTTGAAGCAACCACACCAAACAGAATAACTATATGCAGTTTTTTTTCATAGCTCTTTCGTAAATTTGGAGAATGTAGCACGCACAAAATCAGTATCAATTGCTTATTTATATATAAAAAAAGGCAACCATAGATTGATAATGAAGCTTGCAATTCTTCTGAACATTTACGCATTTAGCAATATAGCCAAAGCAAGCAGGGTCAAACTCCAAAAAATATATATAGAAACAAAAAAAACAAAAAGAATGAATAATTTGTTGAATGATAGAAAAGCTCTTTCCCATCTTTCAATTTTCTTCTCTTAGGTCTTAAAATAGGCTCTTGGGATCAAATAATAGGGAAGCAGAGAATGATGGTGATGATAGGCTTTTTAAATTATAAGAGGAATTGCTTTATAGAGTCCTCTAGAAACTGGTGGCTCGGACAAATCATCTCCTTCACTCTGTCTCCATTCTTGTACATCTTAAATGTCGGAACTTTCCTGATACTCTCTGCCTTCGCCAACGCTAAGCTCTCCTCCACATCCACCTAATAACATTTCATTTTCTCGGTTAAAACACTGCGAGACATTTGATTATATGAGTTTAAAAGAGACTGATATACATTTTTGAAGGGTGGTCTTACCTTAAAGAAATGTACTAATGGATACCGGAGGCATAAAGTGTTGATAAAGGGAGAGATTTCTTCGCATTGTCGGTTTGATGATGATTTGAAATGAAACACAGAGACACCTGAAGAAAAAACTATGTTTCCACTTGAGCAAGACTGATACAAAATCTCAACCTTTTTTGAGTTTCTGTTTAAAACTTACCGGGAAGTGTTACTGCGCTCTTGAACTTATCCACTGTCAAAACTGCTTCAACTTCGTTATTGCATCCTAAGCTTTTAGATTCTTGACTTCTGTTCATCAACGCGGTTTTCGCTCTCTCTAGAGACTCTGCAACTTCGCTGTCTCCTGGAAGTTCCCTTCTTACGAACTCATAATCTCTAACCGCGTCCTCCCACCGACCAAGCTATATTTCAACAAACATTGTCATTTATATACACTGTTTGTTCTTAACTGATAGAACTGCGTTCTAACTTCTAAGCTCACCTTTCCATATGAAGCAGCCCTTCGTAGAAGTGCCTTGATGTAATTAGGGTGGATTTTGAGGGCTTGGTTACAGTCTTCAACAGATTTCTCCCACAAACCGAGTTTATACCAACAAGCTGCTCTGTTACAGTACAAAACCGAGTTGGAATCATCTTGTTTGAGACCGTCTCCATAAGCTACGCTCGCTTCCGAGTATCTCCCCGAACTAAATAGCTCGTTGCCACGCGTACGTGCCCTCACAACCATCTTCACGTTGTTTAAAACCGATACGAGCTCGGGATTGGTCTTATCGAGCATCGCAGCTCTCTCTGCCTTTACAACCGCGTTCTCAAATCTGCAACAAACCTATCATCTCTACTCACTCACTGGAGAAATTCAAACAAGCAACTAACAAAAATAATAATGAAACATATCCTTAAGAATCACAAGTTTTCAGAGCTTGGAAAGCTCACCTTCCTAATGCCATATCAACTTGTGCTTGGATACAGAGCACATAAGCCTCAACCATCATACCAAAGAGTTTCGCCTGTGGTTGAGATTGGTAATGATGATCCAATCTTGGAATGCAAGAAAGACAAAAATCCGAATCCTCTATTTGGTTAAGACGCAGAAAGGCTTCGGCTTTACAAGCTACAAGCTGTCCAAACAATCCAAAATAAAACTCATTGTAAGTTATGTACAAGCAAATGCAACAAAGCTGGCTTATGCTATGGGGATGATCTCTAACCTGAGGAGACGAATCAGCTCCGTTTGCAATGGCTGCATCGGTTTCTTTTATCGCGGTTTTCCAATCTCCAATCTTTCGAGCCTCCCAACATCGCCGGAGATGCTTCTCTAGCGTCTGCAGCCGTTGGAGATCAGCTTGATCCGGACATTGCCCGGAATAACAAAGATGACGTCTTGCGTTCTCAGCTTCTCCCAGTCTAAACCAGCAAAAACAAGATTAAACAAAGAGTGATTAAAAAAACAACCTTTTTCTTTCAATCATCACAATTCTCAAGCTTTTACCTGAGATAGAGTGAAGCAAGTCTTTGGTGAGCTCTATAGTAAGAAGGATCGAGCCTGACAGCTTCAAGGCATTCTTTGACGGCTTCTCCTAACCGTCCTAACGCCGTTAACGCCGCCGTTTTGTTGCTTCTGTAAGCTGCATTTTCCGGCGACAATGAGATTGCTCTGTCGTAAAGCGATAGAGCTTCGGAGAAACTCCCTCTTCTGTACATATCGTTCCCCAGTCTCTTCAACTCCTCCGGGTTTTCACCGTTTTCCGCCACTCTCGCCGCCGCGTTACTCGACTTCCCGTTGCTTCCTCCGCCGCTTCTCACGACGTTTCCGTGTCCGTAATTCCCGGTTCCTGTGCAGAGAGTCTCGGTTCTGCTTGAGGCCCGAGTCGCCATTCCGGTTTTCAAGATCCGACCCGACGGGCAAATGTTGCCGGCGGGTAAAACGCCGGGACTCGGCGACACAGCGGACGTCGCGCCGCTACCGCCACCGGAGCTGTGAGTCGTTGCTGAGTAGAAGCTAGAGCCGGAGAAGATCAATGGCGTTCCAGTCGAAGCGGATCTTCTATGATTCCGGGTCGTCGGCATTCCGGATCCGGGTACAACGGAGCTTGAAATCTCGCCGGAGTGGCTCTTAACCATATGAGAAGTCACCGACGGTTTACCAGAAGCAGAGCCAGAGGAGCCGGAGCTGCTTGTGGGAGTCGCTGCGGCGGAGGAGGAGGAGGATGAGGAGACACGTGGCATTAAGGTAGAAACAGGAGAACCAAGATCGAGTTCTCGGAAATCGGGTTTGTTGACGACGTCATGGTCTCTCTGTAAACTCAAAGAGTCACGAAATCGTCCTGTAATGGAGTCTATAGCAGGTTCTAGCGAAAGCCTTCGAGAATGAGACATCCTCGTACTTTGATCTGATCTAGAAAACCAAAAAAGAAAATCTAATGGCTTCTCCCTAAGCTTCTTCTTCTTCTCAGGAGTCAGAAACTCACACCACCGAAGCTAAAAGAGAAACAAAACTCTGGACAGAAACAAGTACTGTCCAGAGAGAAAGAGAGAGAGAGAGAAAGAAGAAGAAGACAGATCTCGTGATAAATAGAAAAGGAGGAAGCAAAGAATGAAGGTGAAAAATCAAATATTTTGTTTTAAAAAAGAAAAAATTTGATTTAGCCCTGTTATATTAAAGATTACAAATTTCCCTGAGATTATGACATTGATCTTCTTCTGCTATTCATCACGCGTCTCTCTCCTCACTCCCGTGTCTTCACGGCTGCTTGTCGTTGAAGGACAAATACAGTGATTTATCGAATTTCTAACTATCATTTATTATATAAACTACATGGACTAAAATAGTTGACGCACACACTATTCGACAACAAACTAAATTAGACTCTTTTCGACGTTTTCGTATATATAATGGGATCATTTCGTGAATATTCTTAAATAATTCGGAATATTTATCATACATTGCTTCGTGTTGAGGAAAACGAATGGAGTATCCATTAAACATACATTGCATTTGTTAAGTGTACTGTATAAAATATATATTTACTCTAATCAAGCCTCGAGTAAGAAAATGCGTAAAACCTATAGAATGAGAGTAATGAGTACTGTATTTAAATAGCCTCTGCCGTGATATTAGTATAAGATTTAATTCTTTTTGCCCAAAATGTCAAGGCACGCAGATTCAAGCACGTTCACTCATGTTCCCAAAATGATACTCCATCAAAATTTAATTTTCTTACAACTTTTATTTAATTACACGATAGCATAAGCAGGCTATCTTTAGAATTTAGCACTAAACCTCTATAGCATATTCAATGCACGACATGTAACTATATTATCATTTTTTTTTGTTTGTTTGCATATTGTCATTTATCAAACCCACTTTAAGGGGCGTTGTACAGAACTCTCGCATTAAATTTGCCGCTTAATTGATTAAATTGTAATGGTAATTTCTTAGACGTTCAAATATTACCTAGTGTAAACTTAAACCTAGTGTAGTTCTATAATGTAATATGTATTGAATATTTCACAATGAAAGGAGTTTATCAAATTGAAAATAATTCAACAAATCGACTTTTTGTTGTTATTTAAAGATTTGACCAACTAAAATGGAAATAAAAAGAGTTATAGAAAAAGACTCAAATGAGAAAATGCCACCTAGGGCTTTCAACCCTCGTACTCAGAGACAGCACGATCATGGGCAAAATCGTATTTCGAAGTAGATGTATTTATCAAGCCAGCAAAACTTTTGTTCAAGCCACCATGTTTATTGTAATATTATATAACTTATATAGGCATATAAAGTAATCTTTGTGACAATAGCCTATTCATATTTAAACGAAATATTGAAATATTACAAGTCTTTAAATGAAATATTTCCGTGTTGAGAAGAGAGCAAAAAGAGGTTTAATGGAAAATGGAACAACAGCAAAAAAAAAGTGCAGAGCTGGCAAATTTGTTTAATATAGTTGATTTAATTTTGTTAACGGGCGTCCTTTGAAAAGCCTGTCGTAGCATTTTTTTTTCTTTTTTTGTAGATTATTACTATTTAAATTCATCAAACAAAGCTAGTTAATACTATAGTTAATACTCATAACTACTTTCTAGTACTACTATTTCATTTTTATTTTGTGAATAGTCCGTACCGTTCAGACCTACGGAACCACTAATTACATACATTGCACCAAGCATTATGCATGCCTTATGTTATTTTATTTGTCTCTTGGCCATGCTTCTCAGTTCTCACTCCGAAATAATTTTCAAATGAAAATTTAAATTCCTGAATGATTTTTTTTTCCAACGGATGAATGCTCTATAAATGTAAATAGCAGTTAATTAAATAAAAATATATAAATAACAAAAATGATATATAAGAACATGTCGTTAAATAATACGAAAAGAGAAAGATTACAAAACGATTATAAAAGAAAACAAATGTTGTCAAAAAAAAAAAAAAA